GAGCGGCATCTTCCTCGCCCGACTACTCTTACCCCTGCTATTTCCAACATTGTTGAGAACTCTTCCACGTGGATGTTAAAATCAAACTGCTTGTTAACTCTCGCGTGGCTCTACAACACACTTTCTCAGCTTGTCGAAGCATCACAGGCTTTCCAAGCAGCCGAGGTGCTCTACCTCACTGCCGGCGACCTCGAGATGATGGGGGATTGTCTTATAACTCATGCAGACTTACTGAGATGTCAAGGTCGCTTTATTCAGTCCCAGAATCTCTTAGAGGGTCTTCAGGACTCCAATTCTTGGGAGTCTCTCAGCGAAACAACGAAAGCCCGAGCTTGGTATTTTTTGGATATGGCCCGGATGTATACATTCACAGCATCTGCTGATGAATTATTTGTGAAGTTCACGGAAGACCACAACTGGGGCTTGCCATCCAAGATTTGGCACTGGCGGGCCAAATTTTGTCATGGGGGAGACATTGTCCAGGTGCACACCCACTTAGAGGACCTGTTCCTGCAATGCACAAGTGTCGGAAATGTCTTCAACTGCAGGGATGCACTTGAGGGGCTTGCAGATATAGCATTTTGTGAAAGCAGGCTATCCGACACAATGGATAACCTACAGACACTTGTAGGGATTTTCGAGGGACAACATTCCGACGATACCCTTTGGGCTACTGTGGGAAAGGCTGTTGTTGCAAGCAAACAACAAGGGAATTGTGACCTTGCAAGGGAGCTCATCCAGAAAGCCTTGGAATCATTCCCCATTATTCGCAACTGAGCAATGCGCGCATATTCCTCCAGCAATCTTATGGCTCGGCATGCATCGAGCTCACTGCAGGCGAGTGGGCCAGGGCTGAAAACCTATTTCACCACTACAATTGAAGCCTGAAACATGCAAAGCAATCTGGTGGTCAAGGCACTCAGTATATGTGGTCTGGGGGAGATTGCATTTGCGCGTAGTAACTTTGCTCTAGCCACACAGCGCTTCGAGGAGACACGGTCTTTGTGCACTGAGATGGGAGTGCCTCCACAGCATCTGTACAGTTGCTTACTACTCAATACATTACCAGACAGATTCGAAGGATGGGTGTTGTTTTTGGGGGGCCGGTCGCCATTTGTGAATGTTACAGTGGCTCAAAAAACCGTCCGTATGTTTTGGCATTTTTCACTATCTATAATATTGTGTGAGAACAAACAAATGCCTCAAAAACATGCTTATACCACATTGTAGTATGGCTTCAGGGCTTTCATTTGAGCCCTACACCGTGGGAATCGGTGGAGATATGGTGGAGATACAAGGCTCACAAAATGGTGACTCATGCGGACAGTTTTTTTGACTCAAGTATTTTACAGTAATAACCAGGTATTCTAGTATTTTGTATGACCTCCCCTGGCTTTAATTACTGCCTCTATCCTTCTAGGCATACTCTCAATTAATTTCTGGCAATCCTCAGCTGTGATCTTCCCCCATTCCACTGCTACTCTCTCCCAAAGCTCCCATACTCCTTTAGGGGGGTTTTCATAGGCTTGAAGCTTTTTCTTGAGTGTTCCCCAGAGATGTTCAATGACATTGACATCAGGAGACTGTGCTGGCCAGTCAAGAACATTGATGTTATGTTCTTCAAACCATTCCCTAGCTCTTCTGGATGTGTGCTTGGGATCATTATCCTATTGAAAAATGATATCTTCTTCATCAATCCCTGATTCTGCCAAGCTAGGCAGCAAGTGGTCATTTAAAATGTCCACATACTGCTCAGCATTCATCTTCCCCTCAACCTCAGCAAGCATTCCCACACCATTCCATCCCATACAGCCCCATACCATTAAAGAACCCTCCTCCAAACTTGACAGTCCCATTAACCTCTCTGTCTGTTAGGCCATCTCCCTTCTTTTTCCATACATACACCTTCCCATCTGACCCAATCCTATTGATTTTGGTCTCATCTGACCATATAACATGCTTCCAGTCCTCTACAGTCCAGTGTTGATGAGCTAAGGCAAAGGCTAGTCTTCTCTGCCTATGTTTGATGGAGAGAAGAGGCTTTTTCTTCTTTGTTACTGCCTTGAGATGAGCTGCCTTGAGAACATTCCTCACAGTTTGTGAAGAGACAGGGGTAGTGATGGTGGAATTGATATAATGGGTGGCTTGGACAGCATTATCAGCCTTTCCTGTAGTGATATGTTGGATAATAGCCCTTTTGTCAGTAAAGGTAAGCTTGGATGGACGTCCTCCACAAGAGTTTTCCTTGTCTGGGTGGCTTTCTTTGATGAACTTGGCCACAGTGGACTTGCATATTCCAGTTCTAGAGGAAATTTGGCGAGCAGAGAGGCCAGCATAAGACAGAGAGAGGATATTATCTCTTTGAGCAGAGGAGATGGCTTTCATGGTGATTATGACTATGATACATGAGATATTCTGGTTTATATAGTTAGATATAGTCATAAAATAAAATAATGACACCACTTTATAATTTATATAATAGTGGCATGATTTTTATGGTGTCTAAATAATGATTTATATAGTTTTAATATACACTCAAAAAACTGTCCACATGAGTCATCATTTTATAAGCCTTATATCTCCACCATATCTCCGCCGATTCCCACGGTGTAGGGCTCAAATAAAGCCCTGAAGCCATACTACAATGTGGTATAAGTATGTCCTTGAGGAATTTTGTTTCATTCTCACACAATATCATAGATAGTGAAAATGTCAAAACATGCGGACAGTTTTTTGAGCCACTGTATGTAGATCATGGTATTCAAAGGAACCATTGTACACCAAGTTGTATCTTTCTTGTGTCTCATACGATTTACCCAGAGCAGTTTAACGACCACATATCTATGCTATGACATGAATGACATGGACCGTCCACACCAGGTCGCAGGGAAAGTGTGTTCCATGTTCATATTACAGCGTGTTAAACTCGCACGTGCTTTAGGGCAGACTCATGAACATTCATCAATGTCCTGAATCTCGTACCTATCTGCCAAAGACACAACCAATAGCTCTAGCTGCCTGCGCAAGGATGGCGCAGGCAACATTGCGTTCGAAATGAAAGACAATCTACATGGCCCAGGGGAAATTATGCAAGAATCACGACTAACTTATAGCAGACGCAGCCCCAAATGTGAATGATTCTCCCAGGTAAGTCAAGTTTATGCTGCCCCGAGCATCATGGGGGCATTGGAATTAGTGAAGTTGGGCGTGGATTATTTGTCCAGAATGGCATGGCAAATTTGCGTACTTGTGCATGGCGAGATGATCAGAACAGGAACGTGATAAGAAATATGTACCATGCAGCTGGTACAGACAGATGGTGGCAGAATGTCAGCATATCAGCGTCAAATTGCCTTCTACAGAATGAGAAGGGCATCATATCCGAAAGTAAAACTCTGCTCTGGGACCAGAAAAGATAAGCTGTTATGCGACACTGAGGGATATCTCCAAAGCGAATGACAGTAGTGCCCAAGTGTCCTTTAATGTTGTGTCAGGGAATATGGACGTGCGCGCGAACACTGACATGGCCAAGCAACAGACAAGAAGATAAAGGATTGAAGGACAGACCTAGATAAAAGGAAGAAAAACCTTGAAACCATAGATTGACTTCGTCCAGCCTAATACCCAGTCTCTTGTTCACGAATCCGGCGCCCCTTCTGTCCTTCCATTGCTACCAGTCAAACCGTCATCCTCACCTCCCAGGTCTGACTCATTGGGTCGATCATCCACTTCAAAGTGGGGGTATCGTGTCGGTGGCGATTAAACATAAGGATATGCTATCCATGATCCCAAACGATATTATTAGTCTCACGGAGATCAGATTTAGCGAGAACTTACCAACCATGATTTGCCCCACCCAGAGGTCGTCGACGATCCTCGAGCTAGTCGGATGCATACTTTGCCACCTTATGCTCTTGTTCAGTTCCTTGTAGATTGTATCGCCCAGGTTCAAACTTCCAGCGTTGGTTCGCCACAGCAGGGATTTAGGAGGTATGTAATAAGCCTTGTGGCAAGAGTCGAGTAGATCGATAGATGGATGGTCTGAGAGACCTGAGGTATGCAAGTTTGTTGGGGGATCCAGTGTGTCTTGGAGATCGGAAGATAGAAACATATGACTATCAGCTCTCCCGGACGATGGAGTAGAGTTGATGATCTATTAGTCGAGGATGTGAATGGATTTGGCTTCGAGCTGAAACAGGCAGAATATTGTAGAAGGGGATGTGTTGGAATGGCACATGTTGAAGACAAAGTAGCAGCTGATGATGTGACATTGGATGGGGGAGAGTCGAGATATAGTTCCGATCGAAGCTAGTCGATCTGATGGCTAAGCTGTTTGACTGTGAGCCTGCATTTAGTGTCATGTATCTTGAGAAGGCCAGACTGCTCACCACGTCACCTTTTCATCATACAAGCTCCCTTTTGGGCTTGGTGAAACGTTCAGACATAACATCTCGTGGCGTCATAGATTAATCTAGTTTCTCATCAATGTTAATATACCTGGCTAGACGAAATGGGAACCCAGAGAACGTGCAAGGGTATTGAGACGATCGTCTGCACATCTCGAGCTCTGCATGATAGATCTGATGATCGATGATTAATAGCCACAATGGGTACCCATGACCCATACCATCTGACCCACGAGTCACCCGCGGGTGTTGCCCGGGCGGGTACCCGGGCAAACCCTACCCATGACACGCCCTAGACAGTTAGTTGTAACTTGTAATGTCGATCGTGGTTTCATTATTTTGATAGTAATTTCATCAGGCTGCAGCATTCTCTCAGATATTATGCAAGGCTCATCGGTCAATTTTTCCCTCATCTTTTAGGACTCAGACTGCTCCATCACTTTAGGCTCGTTGTGTAGCCAGACTAGATATGTCGATATGACTCAGATACAGTAGGTTGAGTCACACATTTGTGCTGCGCAGTTTCTCACCCTGAAGTAGTTGGAGGCACTCGTTTGACTTCTCAATCCTACTTCCATCACACAAACACAGGCAATGTTATCCAAAGCCAAAGACTGCAGGGTCCAGGCGACTAAAGGCAAGAAGGCATACATCTACTATGTTTCGTATATCTGATCTAACGTAATAGGACGACCTGCAAGCTAAACAACCCTCTTCTCAAATCAAGCAGTCCCAGAACGATAGTGTATATCAGCTGCTGAATGTCACCATAGCCGCGTTCAACACTACGAAAGATCTCATTCCTATCGCGCTTGCCCAAGGCATCCTCGGGACAATTGCAAACATTCTGACTATTGTGCAGGTGTGTTGGCCTATCTTCAGAAATATCACTGAAGCTCTACCTCTATATACAGTCAGCGGTCAAGAACAAGTCCGATTTCCAGGCGATAGCCGACAAGTGTGAGACTATCAGGGATATCCTTCAAAGAGCGACCGAGGATGCTACTGAAGACGATGCATCAGGAAATCGCCCAGGCCTAGGTTTTTCTAGTTAGATGTGATCAACGTAACCAAACATGGTAGATAAGGATCAACCATTTTAATTCTTGACTACGTGATAGCACTTAGACATTCAATGTCTACTGAGTTATGATACAGCTCAATATTGATTGTCCTTGGGATTCTCCTGTCACTACAGGCCTCCTAGGTGATATTCTGGCTTGGGGCTACCATTTTTCACCTTTACTTATCTCCAATTGTCTTGTGTTCACTTTTTGGTGGCAGTGTTAGAAGACGTGGCCATACAGTAGCACATAGATATTCAACGTCCCTGTAACTTATGATACAGGCTCAATATTGATTGTCCTTGGGATTCTCCTGTCACTACAGGTCTCCTAGGTGATGTTCTGGCTTGGGGCTACCATTTTTCACCTTTACTTGTCTCCAATCATCTAGTGTTCACTTTTTGGTGGCAGTGTTGGAAGACGTGGCTGTACAGTAGCACTTAGACACGCAATGTCCATGAGTTATAATGTAATGGACTCCACATCGAAGCCATGTACTGTCCGCTGATTGGTAGCCCTCGTGGAATCGGATATTTTGATCTTTAGTTAGGAATAAGCGTGAAGAAAATAACATGCTATTGCATGGATAAACTATTTCATACAAGTGAGATTTCGTATGCAGCTACATGAGAACAGCAAGTTAAACGAAGAGCAGCAATAAACCAAGTGAAACCGTTTTCAACATCGGCACTATCATCGCCTTGCTCCAAGTTCGCAAAGGTCGAGAATGCAGCAGGTTGGTGATCCTCTGCCCAGAACAACAACGGCGTGTCCGTTGACACTGTTCCGCTTGCCGAAATCCTTGGACTCAATGAGTTAGAGTTCAAAAAGTGTGTGGTATCACTCACTGCCAAGATAAGATCCTTCATTGCGACCTCAACCTTGATCCGTTCATCATCTGTAAGAGTGGGCCAGACGAAGTGTGGTTTTGGCGAGAGGTAGATACTCATGGAGTCGGACGCGTAGTCCAAGAACTTGGCACGAGTATAACACTCGATATCATGGGTATCGAAGTCGCCCCAACGAAGCTGAACGTCGATCCAATATTTATTGCTGGTCGTGCCATCCAAAATGTCCTCGTTCTAAATAAACGGAGCGATCAGATTAATGTCCAACCAGGTATGGAGGATGACCTACGTCTGTAACCAGTGAAGGCCGAGAGATGTTCCACCATAGACGTGCAAATTGAAGTTGTGAAAGTAGTACAATTCGAGGGCGCAACATGATGTTTTTAGTTAGTCATTGCGTAATCAATCAGCTAATGTAAGCCAGTGTATCCTGATACTATCAATCACTGCCCAATATCTAGTACTTCGCTACTTAATCTCTAGAGCACCATGGCATCTACTCTGGCACCACCTACTAACAATCAAATCAACAACAACTCACTCGTAAGTCGTTGTATCCTCAAGTTGTACTCATTAACCCAACCGTCACTAGAATCAGGTACCCTCGATTCAACCTGACATTCCAGGCCCGCTGATCATCAGCGATTCAGCAGTTGTATGTTATGAATACATTACATCAATATGAAACTAACCTACGGTTGTAGGGAGTGTGGAATACTGCCATCGAAACGGCCCAATACCGCATCCAGAATCATGCCACCATGCCGCCAGTTCCTTTTCCGACAACCGTTGAGGAAAAATGTTGGGTGACTCTGATGGCGTTGAGGAGAGAAGAAGACCTGCAGGAGACAACTAGGTACTTGGAGGACACGTGGAGGGAGCTGAGAGAGGTAAAGAAGTTATTGGGGATTAACAATTAGGATCCCGCATAGTCCACCTGTGAACGTCTTCGATGAGCTGAAGCTGAGGGGAGGAAATTACATCTTTTTGCGATAAACTGCTCGCGCTTCTGCCTTCTGATCTCAACCTGTTGCTGCTCTCTGCGGTGTGATCGTCTTGCTTCAAATCACCTTTATTCTTATAGTCTGATCAAACACGCATCTTCAGCAACCGATATCAAGATAAAAAATTGAGACAAGTATACTGGCTCTGCGGTGTTCCATAGTACGTGACTCCATGACAGATGGCTGGATCGAAAATATCAGTGTAGGAGCTGAAGCTGATGGGAGGAAATTACGTCCTTTTGCGATATTCTCCTCGTGCTTCTGCCTTCTGATCTCAACCTGTTGCTGAAATTTTTGTCAGGCGAGTCTACAGCCGAAGAGAATAGAGGCTACCGGAGGTGAAGCATTCCCAGGTCTTCCAAAGGGTCCCTGATGAGGCTGAGGAACGTTGCGCCTGGAGGCTAAGTCAGATCGTTCGTTGTTGGGACCATACCACTGGGGGGTGGGTCGTGTGCGGGGGCATCACGCCTACTGCTAGACCAGAATGGATCAAGAGGCACGCTTTGGACACCTAAGATGTTCGTCGCTCGACTGTCCTCTCAGTGGAGGGACGCGACCCTGCACACCAGTGAAGGCGCTATGACCCTGCATGGATGTGTTGTGAGAGTCGATGCCAAAAGCCAAGGATGTTGCTGGAGCAGCAGGCTCTGGCATCATATGCCTTGATGTAAACCGTGCGCTATAGTATTATGGAACATTCAGCGAATGGTTCAATGGAAGTTATACATAACACTAACCTCGTGGCTGCTGTGCGTTCCCTTCCACGCCTTGGCTGCACAGATATGTCAGTACCAGATACATCATGCGATTTATTAAATGATACACACCGATATACCAAAGGCAAAGTAAGAATCCATGCCATCGCTATCGTTATCCTCATCAGAGTTCCCGAAAGAAAACATTGTGGAAGGCTCGTGAACGGGAGGCATCAGTTCTGGCTCTGGTACACGGGAATCACCACGTGCTTGGTTCGCTTGTATTGACCATCGCAACGAATCGTGGTATATTCCAGGCGGGAACATATCCAAGTTAACGCTGCTAGAAGGATTAGATCTCCCAGATGTGTCACCGTTCAACACCTGTGGTCATTCCAAAGACATGCGTGGTGGAGAGCGCAAGCGAGCAGCACGCAGAGTGTGCAGAGGTGGTGTGGGTGGACGATAAACATATGGTGGCTGCACATCTCCCTCAGCTGAGTTTGTTGAATCCGGGATAGCATTGATCAGGGCGAACACAGGGTCAAAGATACTGTCGGGTGAGTCTTCAGAAGAGAGGTGATTGCGGTCTCTTGACAGAGATCTGTTAGTCCCACTTCTTGTCTGCGGATGTCTGTGTTTGGATAACATCTTGGAAAATCGTGCTCTCTCCCATTCGTTCAAGCCTCCTCGTGGAAACTGAGAAGGTGACCCCGGACCGTTTGATGCGAACGGTCTTGAAGGAAGGTCACTTGTTCGACCAGATGACAAAGGGTGGGAAGATGTAGTCGATGAGGAGTCCGTTTGACTGGCTATAAGACACCTCAAACGAGCAGCTGCAGTCAAACTTGAAATGTCTGAACTGTCTTGAGGAGGCTCGTCAGAGCTGGTACGTGAAGCAAACAATTGAGAGCGAAGATGCGCCCTGGCATTGGTGCGGCGATGTTCTGCGGCACTCTCTGATACTAATGAGTTGCTGGATACTGTCGTAGCAGAGGAATGCAAGCAGGAATGAAGGCGGATAGCGAGCTGGAGGATGATTGGGCGGCTCATGGCGGGAAGGTGACCCAGACAATGAACGGGCTAGATGAGAGAGATTAGTGAATACAGTTCACATAAATGCGCTGCACCTTACCAGTTTCTACGCCATGCTCGGGTAGACCGCGGGCATTATGAAGACCTTGGATGATCTCATGCACACTGTCTGAATGGGAGGGGTCGTCATCGTCTTCATCATTTTTGCCGGCAAGATCATAACGATTATGAGCCATGACCCTGCGTCTTCTCTCGTTATCCATGGAGTCCTCTTCACTGAGACCCTCTACGTAACGGTCAAATGACAATTCTGCTTCATCCGAATCTTCAAATCCCTGTTCCCTGGAAAACGAAGAAAAAGCCGCCGAGAGAGGATGAACTGGTGATATTTGTAAATAACAGGAAAAAATAACACTTAAATCATACCTGAGTTGCATGAGCGTTCGATAACTGTTCTAGCACGTGCAGCAACCTCTTGGTATCTGTCAGCAGAGCGCGAGGGAGATGAGTCATTGTCCTGGATTGTATTCAAAGTTACTCGAGGCCGTTCCTCATCAGCAGCGTAGAACTGAGAAATGGAGTCTCCAAGCACTGGAAAAATAGTAGCTTTTAGTCAATATGATCATCACTTGTGTGGGACAGAGCACCAACCAGAGGATGACGCAGAAGCGCTTGCTGACGTACGCGCAAGTACTCGATCTCCAGCCAGTATCTGAATGGGTAGAATGTCTTGCAGCCTGCGGCCTAGCAGCTAGATCTGAAGTTGGTTGCTCAAATACGCTGTCAAGCAATCCCGGATGTGACTACATCTGGCGAGGGCGCAATTGGCGGCGAAGGACGGGAGGAGGTAGGAGCACCCCATAACAGATTTGACGAGCCAGAACTTGACCCGCGATGGACATCTTGCCTGCCGTCGGGTCCATGTAAGGCATCAGTATTGTTTCTTTCAGTTTGCAGGACTGACGGTATGGAGGCAAGTGATCCACTGGAAAACTCATCAGATTCTCGTGTAGATGCGTTTGTCCTTGCTGATGAAGAGATCGATGGGGGTGGGTGGTATGAATGATGAGGAGGGGTGTTGGACGAACATGTAGAACTGGAGACATTGCTTGTAGTATAGCCAGGACGTAATAAGCCTGATATGTTCGGTGATATTGCGTGAAGACGGAAGGCAAGGGCGTCTACGAGGTTATACATTTGTCAAACAAATCTACAAACGTTACGATCAGCGTGGCCTTTCGAAGAAAAAAAGAGCAGACATACCGATTAACTTGTTCTCAAGGGTGAACCGGATGATGGGTAGAATGACCTCCTGCACCTGCGACAAAATCTCAGGCGAGGATTTAATGCATGAGACAACCTGCACAACTTTATCAGATGCTTTGAACTAACATGATGGCGAGAGTACACGCACAGTCCAAATAGTTTTAGGAACTCCCAAAACATTGTTTACTTTATCGTTGTCGCCATCCGTCACGAGAGATTCCACATCAAAATGCTGTCTGGAAATTGTTTTCTTCTGCTGTGCCAGACCCTCTTTTGCCAGGCGTAAGTAAGATTTACACTAGATACATGCCGTCAGTGTATCATATTAGCATCTACAAGACAAGGCTCACCAGCCAGTGCAGTGAGCTGCGACACCACAGGCATTGTGAATATCAAGGTCCATTTCATTGGAGAGCTTGAGAAGATCTGTAACAGCCACCATCAAAATCAATGAGTGCGTTAACGGGTTTGGACATGAAACACACCTTGCTGCGGGATGATACGAGACCAAGATAAGGAAAAGCAGTAGGACTTGACGCCAAACTGAGCAAGTAATGCAATGTCCTCCTTCCAGAGCCTGTATGAATCAGTGGCCACATCCCTGTCTCGGCCGTCCATTCTCTGTCCAGGTTGCTTGGAGAAGTCGTCCCAGATAGACTTTCCATGCGTCCATCGACATTGGCAGATCCTTCGATCTGAAAACCCTGCTGTAAAACACGTCATTGCTTGATGGCAGCGGTAAAAATTGTGAAATGTACCAGTAGAGGGAAAAGGTACCTGGTACGTTGGGTCGGTTTTGGTGAAGAGGACGACGAATGGTTGCCAAGTATCGATATGTTTGACGAAGAGGGTGATGTCAAGAAACTTGCGGTAAGCGCGGATGATGTCCTCAGTCGAGGCGACGAAAATCAGCAATCTGCCCATCGGAGAAGCCCATGCGTTTAGCATGCTTCATGAGTTCATGGTCTATTTCTTCAACGAAGCCAACTACCTTGATTCCGAGGGCGATTTTAGCAGCAGTGTAGGCAAGCGGATAACCAGTAGCTTGAGACGCAGAGCACTTGAACGACATAGACTGATGAAAGTCGTATTAGCATAGACAAATATAAAAAGAACCATGAACGTACCGGGCAATAACCTTGATAACACAGTATTCCTTGGACATGGGGATTAAGTGCATACTGGACGAAAAAACCAAGGGGCAAGACGTTATGAAATGATACAGTGTGCATGTTAGCAGGAGCAGGAAGAAGAGTCTGGGCTAATGACGTTTGGGATTGGGATAGAGACGTTGGGACAACGCGAGTGATAGCCGTGATGAATCTGTCACGAGGGATATCGACGTTTGGGAGGACGCAAGAGAAAGCCTCGATGAATCCGTCGAGTTCGAATTAGACGCAGAGTGCGAAGAAGAGGAAGGAAGAGGCGCAAAACCTAGGTTTGCCCCTGGGAGACGAATAGCTCTTGTGGAGCACATCATTCAAGGAGAAGTCTTTCCTGGTCATGCCATCGACCAGTGCTCTCAAAGATGGCGGTTGTCCTATTGGCTTGACAGGCATTGGAAGTTGGGTTGTGGCATCGAGCTGCAGCGCTTGCTGGGAAGGAGATTTAGCTGCTTCTGCAACCTCCTGTATCAGCTTCACGGCTTCCGCTTCCTGTAGATAAAATGAGCCATGTGAAATGTTAGCCACGTCGCAGATACCTACTTGAGCATTCTTCTTCTCCTCGTTAGCCTTGCATTTTTCCTCCAATGCGGCTGCATTCTGTCGGGCACGTTCTTTCTCTTTCTCCCTGCTCTTCTTCTTCCACCTGTCGTCGCTGTTTTGTGCGCTCAACTGAGATGTGCATGGCGGTTTTGTGAACATCTTCGATGCTTAGCGTAGGAGTCGCGAACGAGGCAGGGGTTTCGGAGGTCACTGAGATGGTTGATAACAAAGGTGACTGACCAATGACGCTACCCCCATGAGTTGTGGTGGGTGAATTGAATGACGCCGAGAGGCAGACAGAGGTTGATGTGGATCTCTAGCAAAAAGCCTTCCAGTTGAAATATGGGGTCGAAGCTGCCGAGTGGTATCACACTTCAATAATGACGGTAATGGTGGAGGCCCCATGGTCGACAAACGGCGACCTCTGCTATCAAGCATAATTTTGCGTTTCTCAATAGGAGAAACAGATGGAAGCCTGTCCCAGTTAGGCGGCCCATTCATTGAGGGAGATAGTAAACTGTCACGAGACCTGCCGAAAGAAGTATAGTCACCAGGACCATGTCTCAATATGTGCGATGAGCGATCATAGCCACTTACAGTTTTTTGGAGTAATTGCACTGGTTGTACAGGCGACCGCATTGGTCCATCTCGTCCACTACGGATGTTCACTGGAGGTGGAATATGCTTTATATGAGCCTCTCCTAGACATCGGTGCCCCAGGGAAATGCCGGGTGTTTGGATGAGAACTGTATGGCTCGAGTCTGAGCATTCATTGAAAAGAACTCTTGAACCTTCCAAAGGCGAGTAGCTAGGATGCGAAGATGCAGGAGACATTGATGAATGTCGAGGAGTACGTGGTAGATCCTTGTGCACAAAGGATGGGGAAGGCCTAGATCGTGGCCATCTCCGGTCAAAATCGTCTGCAATAAGCCTTTGTCTGAGAGATTAGACTATTCGCCAATATTCTCCTTTAAGTTTGTCAGACTGATGCGTGAATAGCACAAACATTGTAACATACCTCATCGTCCAATTCGCATGAAGGTATACAAGAGCACACGCATGATCCGTAGCAAAAAAAAAAAAAGCCGGAGACGCCCAGAAGAGCTTTTGTCTCATCGAATATGCACATTCTTGGATTGCTTTTCGATGTCTCCCAAACGCAGACAGCTGGCCAAAATCAGGGCTGTCTGGCGAAAATTGACACACTGGCAGAGGGTAAAGTGGAAACCAAGCAGCTAATGGCATCTAAGGACGCAACACAGCGATGACCAACTGCAGAGAGCAGAAATAGAGATAAGCCAGACAATAGCGGGAGTGTAAACAGGGTATGGTCCAGAGTGCAACGACCAGCCGAGGAATTCCAATGCCAATAGAGTGAACAGGAGATCCACCGCTGTCCAAGAAGGAGAGGAGGCAATGGATGGGATGACCGTTACTTGACGTTGGTTCGAAACCTGTGGCTCAGATGGGAGCGGCAGTCATTGCTGCAACACTGCGATTGAGAAGTCAGCGTCATTGCGGCAATGCGTACAGATCAGACAGAAACATAGAAGAGCAAAGAAGACCAAATAACATCAATTGGAAAATCAAAAAGCAGAATCCTTGCTTATTTTCTCTCCCACACTGATATGGATAAGATCGTACCTGTGCTAAAAATTCTCAAAATCTGCTATCTGCAGCACGCCATTGTTATCGATGAGATGATCAGCAGCATTTGTGTGTAGGGTCACTACTAGGGTGTCACTCTGTGAACAGTCATAAGATAAGATTGAGTGAGGCAAAGGCAATCTGTACTTTGAAACAAGCGATACATTCTGGTGCTTGACTGCCTTGAAAACTTTGATCAAGGCGATTAGAGGAAAGCCGGCAAGCCCTCCTTCTCGAAGTTATTATGAATAAAATAACATTTGAGCTACCAGGCTTTTGGTAAGATGGTGGACTGCTTCATAGACCTCTCTGATCATGATGATGAGCTGGTGGTATGTAAACAATTAACTTTGAAGAGGTAGGAGGGCCAGATGGTACTTGCCAGCTCTGCAATGGCATGAACCTCATTATCTCCACCTTGCATCAGGAGCACCTCCAGGCCTGCCACAAACTGGGCAGGAGGACAAAGTACTCAACCTTGAAGTTTTCTTGTGAACTGTGGAGGTGCCACCACCACATTTCTTAAGGGCGTGGTAAGACACCTTCAGATGAGGATCCCTGGTAGTCAGTTATCTTTGGTGAGCGTTTAAGACTCTATCCAGTACTCACATTGCTTGTGTGTATGTTGAAGGCTGAGACCTTCGACATTAGTGGAACTATAACAATATCCCAAACTGAACTTCAGTAAGGGCCGCCGCATCAGATTGTGCCAGAATGTAAAAAGAATGCTTGCAAGATATGCAGTGCTGAAGACTGGGACACACCTGATGAGTGTGACTCATCCAATTCCGGACTTTTCCGATGAGTATTCCGAGCCCCCACATAACTCATCATGCGTCTAACCAGCATTTAATAGAAAAGCCAAACAGGATTTGTACAGAGGTAACGGTAAATCTCATGGTATTTGTTGTACAAGGTCAAGAAACGAGATCCGAGAAGGGACTAGCAAACATCCGATGGAAATACTGTGACTAGTACGCAATGGGCCGAGCCGAAAAGTAGGAAGGCGGTACAGGTGAGCTAAATCTCAGAGACTTGGGGGAACTAAAGCCCTTAGTACTGTTTGGGACGACAATGCAAGAATGAATGATTGGCTGCTGTGTAAACTCGATAGGTTCAACGTCCGTCATGTTCCTCAACCTCTTCCCGTTCTCGTCTGTCATGATTCTCGGAAGACCCGACCTGGGAGCAATAGGCAGGATATTATTCATCCTGAATGTAGAGCATGAGTATGCTCAAACAGCACATTAAATACGTACTTTATGAATGGGAGAGCTTGCACTGTATCTGTCATATACCATATATCCAGTTACAGATCCGATGATCCGGATCTCAGATCCGATGAACATATCCGTCGTCCGGTCCACAGATCCGCTTTGATTCTTATTTCATTTCCTGTTCATATAATTCTAACTATCATTCATCTCCTTTCGGTATTCCTGTACACCGGTATACCGGTTATCCTTTACTTCCGCTTTGCTTACTGATCCGCTACACTTACGAATCTGCTTTTACTTGTACTTCATTCCCAGTTCATGATTCGTGATCCATCCGACTTACCAATACGCTCCACTTAGACTTTGCTTATACTTTCGTACATAGCCTCGCACCTTTGCTTATTGATCATTCCGTTAGCTATCCGTAGTATATAAACCTTTGTATATGCGCTGTAGTAGATCAGTTCGAATATCATCTTAGATTGCACTCATTCCGTCTGGACTCTAAGTCCATCCGTATCCGTCCGGACTTGAGTACGCTACTCTTGTCTACTCCGAGACTTAGGATAGATTCCTATAGTCTACATATCCGCCTCTGTCTTCGGACAGTCCTCACCCGTTAGTTTCTAGTCCGGATCCGATCCGGATTAGCCGTTACTCTATACGTTCGATATCCGGAAGTCTTAACGGATCCGTTGCAATACTTATCCGTTGCGATACAAGACTTATCCGTTACAATACTTATCCGTCTCACTAGACGCGATACTTTAGCTCTCTGAAATAAGGGGCAAGACTCGGGAAAGGGGCACAGCGCACGAGCTGAGGCCGAAGCCCTTCGGATCCGATACTACTTGAGTACGGTCTTAACAGTATCCGTGAATGTCGGAAACATGTTTGGATAATTGTACATTTCATTCAGAGCTGACATGAGAACCCCGTTCATGACTTCTGGTTCAAGATGTTCGATCTTCTCCGAGCTAGCACATTTTTCTTTCATGATGGTGACCATCGACTGGTAGAGCTGAAACATCGATGCAACATCTGTTAATTTGAGAAAACACAAAGGAAATACAAACTCACCAAAGTCATCAAATTGCACACCGGTTTTTGGCCCAGACAGCTGGAATCTGAAAAGATTTCTTCCGAAAAGAAATTGGCTAGCCTCGCACTGCCTTTTCCGTTTGCTAACTTGCTGATTGGGTGAAAGAGTGATGCCCAAAGGAGCTCCAGGAAAGCATGTTCCCCAACGAGTTCGGAAATCACCTTATACACCTGAAAAATGAAAAGTCATGAGCTAGTACAGTAACTGTGGTCTCAAGTCCCGTACGTCATTGATATCTTCGAGTTGAGGAGAATCACGAAGTACATGACCCTCGTTCCTAGTGCATCGGAAGAGGCGCAAAAGTTGGTGTGTGGTGACAGTGCACCTTTGATAACCTTCCTTAGTTCCGCCTTTGAATTGTCAAATGCCTTAGCCAGCTGCTCGCATGAGTAATGGAAAGGCGAAGGCGAAGGCGAAGGCAAGAGAGGGCGTACATTTACATGGAATTCCAGCCACCCAGCAGAAATGGTGCCTCCATTGGTAAATTTGACGGTTACTGATGAAATTGTGATATGATGACTGGTAGAATTCAAGATGCAAGGCACTGACCTGGTAGTTTCTTCATCTCGTCATAAGTTGTGTCACATAGATGAAGCGCGGTGAGAAAGATATTGGTAACTCGGTGTTGTACTTCCAACTGAGAAATCTCGAATGGGTTTGGGCGCTCTCCTACCCACATAGCTCCAACAAATATGGCCCTAGTGAGCATCACGATCCGCCACCAAGACGACTTCTTCATTGCGCGGGTGAGGGTGTCTCGTTGCTTCTTGTTTAAGGTTGCCCATATGCCATCCTTAGACCTTCTCCATTGTAAGTCGGGATGAAAACCCTCGTGGACTGGCTCTCTGTTGAGATCATCATCAACTTCATCCCATTTGTCCAAAAAGGGCATAATAGCTGCATCGTCGACACCATTGAGGGAGGTAATAGTGGATAATCCCCAGTAGTTATAGCCACAATCGAGCTCTTGAAGCTCCGTGGGTGTGAGGTCAAAAGAAGTGGGGGCCAGGAGACCATCCGAGAGCGCGTGATCGAGAGCACTTGAATTGTCAGAGGGCAGCGCCTCATACGTTAGTTGTTGTATGGGGGTGGGAGCGGGAGGCGGATACCCGTTTGGAAACGGAGCATAAGAGAATTGAACTGATGCGTTCAAAAGTTCTTGAAGCTATAAATGTATCACAATAAAAACGTGCACGACAACTGAGCACAGCACTCACGAGCCAAGTAGGCATTGGGATACCTCTGCTGTCAGCCCTACAGTATGTAGGTGTTATTGCACTAATATAAGCGCCGCCAGCTGGCTAGATCTGTCGTTAAAGATGGGATGCTTGATATGACAAATGGCTCACCGCTGTTGTGAATAGCTCGTGAAGGTGCGTAGCATCCCCCTCACCAGGGATAATCAGCCACCCAAGTTGCGTAAGCCGACCAGTCCAAGGCTGGGCCACCTGGAAGGATTTTTCGCACTACAAATAGATCACATGAGATTGAAAATTTGCATTCGAGAAGGAAAACTCACGTAGATGGCTGCTATTTGGTTGTGATTAGCAAGGTACCCTACAACAACATACGATCCTGTAGTAAAGGAGATGAATGGATGCTGAAAGAAAAAATAGGTACAACAAATTATAGTGGATGGACGGCAACAAACCTCCTCATGCTAGAGGAGAAGGTCATCAGCATCAGCGAATCCACTGCATTCAGTCCTGTACTTACGGCAAGCTGAATGAGCTGAAGAATTTCGCCGATAGCGGGCACGTATAGCCACACAGTAGGAGACATTGATTGACCTGTGAGTACGAGGGTGGGGTGGGTAAGGAGGGAATTGATGGCAACCAATCAAGTTAATAAAGGCTGGCCATAAAGTACAAAGCCTGTAATACATTAGCAAAGGTTAAAATTGGGGTAATGCGTACTAATCTGTGTATTGGCCGTTACTTCTCGTTATCGCTAGTTGGTGCCCACCACTTCTCAGCATTGCTGGACGATACCCACCTGTATTGCCTGCCAATCCCTACCTGACAGTGACCGCTGGCAATCTTGATTGAATTGGTGGCCATCAATAATCTCCGGTCATATTATGTATTAGCCATCCTGGGGTCGTGGAGTCGTGCCCATCAGACTACTAGGGTTCGATTGCTGTAAGATAACATCAATTTTCATAATCGAAAGCATGCCTCATGAACATATCATCTACTAGTGCCTCCGCGAGGGACCCCGTGCTTGCGTCCTGTCCTTGTTCAAAGAAGTCCCATTCTTCAACCCCAATATGACTCTCTTCGTCATTTTCATCCTGTTCGTCGTCGCTTGGGTGGCCTATCTCCGTGAAGTTTTCTCCGCCTTTAAAATCGTCATCATTCAGACAGGCGGCTGTCTGAGTGACTGATTCCCGTGATGAGCTATGATTATCTAATATACCTACCCTATGCGAGTACACATGGCCTACCCCGAGGCCATAATGGAACCTCATTAGTGTGTCACGATCTGCGAAACTGGTGGACTCGGAGTTATGATGATATAGATATGACTTTATGGGTAAGAGCACTCACCTGTTGACATAGTATTCTAGCCAGTCATCTTTATCTCCCGAAAGGGAAGAAATCCCCCCGTTAAGATTACGCTGGCCTTGAGCAAAAGCAGGGATTATATGGCAGGCTCTCAGAACTGCTCCTGGATCCACGAAGCCGAAAGCGGTTGGGTTTGTCAACAGCAGGAAGCGAACTCGTTCCAAAGTATGTGTTTCCCATGAATGGTGTTGTATCAGTTCATACCACCGAACAAAAAGAAAATCTATTCGGCAGGACTCATATACGTTATCTGAGCGCACAGCATTGATATGATGGATACCAAGCACTCTCGCATAACGATATTTGACATTGGATTCGTCACCGTGCTGGAGCAGCATGATGTTGCAATGGGGGGTCCGAGGATTTTCACGTCTTGAGCCTTTCGAACGTCGTATGTCGTATAATTAAATCTGACGAGGTTGTGGTGGTAGATTCTGTTGCGTTTGAAGAAAAGTTGTCCCTTGTCGGGATGGGTAGAGTTCTCCACCGAAGATCCAAGAGTCCCTATGCGGCCCAGGATATGATCCATCAAACGTGGTATGAAGTCCTGCGTCATGATGTTAGAACAACGATCGAGCGCCCCGAAAACCTTACCTTTATGGCAGGATCCCCCGCATGACTGCGTAGATAATGTCCCAAATCGTCGAAAATTTTCTCACTTCGTCCAATATGATGGTGTAATTGAGGGTCGATCGCAGTTTCGTCAGCTTGCATACGAGGGGCCGGTGTTGCCTGCCGGTGTTTGATATGATGTAAACGATTTTGACGGCGCTTGATTTGAATTAGCTGGCGAACGAAATTTCTGCGATCGGTTCGACGGTATCTGCCTTTCGAAGTTCAGTGCTCTAACTCTCCCTTATAGTAATTGAGGTAGGGAGCAGACAGGGAGTAAAATATAACTCACTGGTTCTGTACTATACGAGTCTGTTGTGCCAAAGCGACGAATGGAAGCGACATAATCGCCTAACGCATGGAATTTGTACATCTTCAGATTAAGCGACTTCTTCATCCTCGATGGCCTTGGTAAACATGGATCCTGCGACTGCTCAAAATTTGCCTTCTGTTTCCCTTTGGCATTATCCCCTACCCTCTTTTGAGCTGCTATTCTTTGCCCAACACCGTTTGGCACGCTGCCCTCCATGCATCTGATAGCATCCTTTGTCTGCCGACGAGACCTTGCATCGACCTCACGGTCGAGCTCTTGTGTGTGGTATGCAGTGCATACCTTCGTTCTGAAGTGACGGAATTTTTCACCAAGGTGGGTGGTTTGCTTGTCGAGAATCTCTAAGGTGAGGTCGGAATGCATGCGCAGTTTGGCGAGGCCATGCCAATGCGCCATAATGAAAAGAAGATCGAGCAGAATTATGTTGTGAGCATCAGGGAGGAGGCCTTCGAAGACAGGAATAGAACACTTGTACAAAGTTAGTCCATGAACATAAATGAGAATGGTCCCCGAGGTGTACCTGTAAAAGATCCTCAAAGTTGCGTGCCGCCATGTTCGACATTTCGGAGGTGTTGGCGGAGAACCGCCTAATAGTTGCAGGACCAAATGGAGGGACCTGCCTGTACCTGTCAGAGATGGAAATGAGTACCCCGGACTGTCATGAAAAAACAAATTCGGCACCTCTTGTCAAGCTCATGTACTAAGTCCTTGTTCAATGCAGTCAGAATTCTCAGTAAATGAATCAGGAGCATGCGCCATATCCCCAGCTCAAACTCGTGAAGGAGATCGACGACAAGCGCTGCAAATACGTTGAATCCGAATGCACTAAGTTTGTCGGACAGCGCATTCTTATTAAGTATTAGTTCAGGTGACAAATGAGACTAACGATTATGCTCACTAAATTCGGCATCCAGGAATCAGGTTTGAGAAGCGCCTCAACGGCCATACTGTCAACACCATAATTTTTCTCATAGATAAGTTTGCGTGCAGTAGCAATGGGCTGATCCCTCGAGATGTTGGACCATGCCAGGGTTGAACGTTGTTGCCAATCACGGCTCATCCCCAAATTTTGAAGCCGTGCAGTTGGTATGAGACAGCGTGGGCAAGGACAGCCTCCCAGCTGCCGAATGGTTGCAACAAGGACCCTGGATTAGTTAGTTTAGATGGCTTACAGATAATGATCACGACTCACTTTTCAGGGTAATCCGCAGAGTAGGTAAAGACTCGCGGGAAAAACCTGCGTTTGATTCCGTCACAGCAGAGAATGACCATTCCATGTTCATACGCCTCTAAAAACTCTTCGTCGAGCAAGATATTCCACTGAGCTTGAAACAGTTCACGTTGGCAATGCGTCGTGCATTCACGGCCAATCCCTTTGCCTGTTGGTGTAAGTTCCCACAAAATCCTTGAATGTGTCCGGAAGCTGCCAAAGTGTGCTTCAATGGAGAGGATCTCAGGAGGAAATCGTACCTTTTGAAAATATGCGAACATGGTTCCCCAAATTGCAGGATGGCCTACAGCGGCGATACTTAGATTCGTTTCCAATGTACATATAAAGTGGCCACAGCTTCGCGTTACCGAATGCTGTCAGTTGCGTGGCATCTGACCAAAACATCAAAGCGACGACAACGCATGGGGTAAATCACACCCTGGCTCTCCAGGAGACTCAAGGAGATCACTGGTGGGCATCCATAAAGGCTGGTGAGGTGTAAAGCTCGCCTTGAATGTTGACCTCGCGGGGAAGATGGGGAGCGTTCCATCGCAATTGGTAAGGTTCATAATGAAAATGCTCATCATCCTGAGCATTTGCAAGCTTTTCTCGAATGACGGAGGTGAGCGACCGATGGTAAAGTTCAGCTGCGATGTAAGGTTGAGGGCCTGGCTGAGCTACAGTCCGAGAGAAAGGTATTTTGATGTTGACTTGTGTTTTGTGCCAACCGGCATCCTCATCCTCCCATTCCTCCCCCTCGCCATCGTAAACACTTGCACCTAGCTGTGAGTCTATTCTGCCCCATGGTGTACTCCGGACATCATCAGGATTAAAATCTGGATCAGCCGACAATATCAATAAGGTCCTTGAAACTCTGCTGGGACTTCTGCGTGCCTCCATGCCAGTACCAATGACCCAGCTCGAAGGATGATCGATTGGGGTAGGGGAAAAACGAAACATTGTCAGGCTCTGCGAGGGCATCTAGCTCAGTTGGGGCTATAGCCGGGACGTGACTTATATCTTGGAGTGTTACTGCTTCCTCTGGGTCGTGAGAAGGGGGGGTTGATGAAAAGAACTGGCGTATCAACCCAAATACACTTCTAGCAGTACGAAAAGGGGGGGCCTGCAAAGATGAGCAAGCACTGGTAGATGCGTCTGCTGAACTGGCTGGTTGGTCAAGCTCTGGTGCTACAGCAGTATAGCCGGAGGGAAGGCTTGGGGGGGCTTGCGGAAGCACATCCTCGTATTGCCTATAGCTGGAGCGGCAATGGGATGTCAGTGTGTCTGCTCCTCCGCTGCGCCAGTGACAAGCCCTGTTCCGCGTCGATCTCTATAGAAGAGACAGCAAGATCGGCGTTTAATGATAATGTGGGTGCGTGGTCCTGCAGCAGGTCAGCAGATGGGAAAGAGCCATTCGCAAGGTGGCCTGGCTCGCTCGACGCCACTATGATAGGGCCAGTAGACTGTCTATCGAGGTTGTGGTTAACTCATAACCGTTTCACGGAGCCAAGAAGATGTTTTGCTTTGGATAAAGCAGAGAATAATCGTTTCTTGCCCTTAGTGCAAGAGCCCTGATGTTTTGTGTAGGCACTCTCCTGCGTGAACTCACAAGTACAAGCGCATCTGAAGGGAGTCGGCGATGAACCTGCCCAATCCATGAAGGAGAGCTGAAGGGGTAAGGATGTGGTTGAGTCCGACGTTGAAGGGTAGGTGGAAGAACTGACGATTTTGACAGCATAACATAATATGGAGGGTACTAGCGATCGAACCACTAGATTCCCACCTCTGGCAGCAGGGTATAGTGGGTGGGGACATTTTATGGTGGCAGCATTAGCTGGGCAGATGATATTACTACATGTCGCAGTCTCATAAAAGCAGAGTAAATACCGCATATTTGCCGCACTAGATCATACAATGGAAGCCCCATCTTCACCTTCGTCTACCATCACTGCCCCACCTGACTGTCGCGAAACCGCTCGGAGGTTAGCGAAATTAATTGTGGAGGCTACATTCTGTGACTATGCCCTTCTACACTATGACAGCGCCTCAAAGTCCATGGTCGAATGGTGGTGGTGAGACGCGCCTATTTAATATCCAAATTTTGAGTCATGACGCCGCCCCACACAAACGCAGGCCTATCGACGGTGATGGAAAGAAGATTTTGCCATTCAACCTGGAGATCCACCACAAAGAATATGAATTGAAATACCCATGCTGCCTATGCGCCGATGGTAGGGGTAGGACTGCGTACATAGAGTGCGCGGTGTACTCGTGGCGGAATAAGGACACTGGGCAGTTCGATTGGACTGCAAGGTGCGCATCTGATGAATGTGGTTACCGAGGTCAGTATGTTTCACGCTCAAGAGAATCACAACTGAAGAGTCGACCCCACCTAGTCAAAATTGACACGTACTTCAGGCTACCAACTATAACCACCTTCCAGTATCCTCGAAGAGGTACGAGCGTTCGTCCTTGCTTCACTGCAGTACTGCGTCTGACATCATGAACGGTAAAGAACAGCGAGTCTTGCCTATTAAGCTACAGTGGAATCGCAGGGAGCAAAGGGAATTGCTGAACAGACTCGATTCCTGCGTTGGAAATGGTATTACTACCAGGGAGTTCCACATTCTGTTTAGCCACTGCAGACGATGCAAGCGAGTCGGGGTAAGATCAGCGATGAAGTACCACATCTGTTCAGCAGGTGTGAAAAGGCGAAAAGTTCAACTTGAAGGATGATCATTATTGCGCAGTATGGGTTAGGTCGATATGATACTGATATTAGTAGTTGTTATTGTGGTCAAGCACACCAGCCACGACAGTTTTGGCCTTCACGTGCAGATCAGGAATTTCAACTGTTCATGTACTTATCATATGCACTACATGCTACATGCTATTATAATTATGATCTACTTGAAGGAATATGAAATGCGAGACACTATCGAGATTCGAAAGCGACAAGTAAAACCGCTAGCATGCTGCGCTTAGTCGTGTGAATCAACCCCCCCTTACCCCCCCTCCCTTTCACCCCCCCTTTCACCTCCCACCCCACCGCGAGGTATCCTCCAATCCGTGGATATCTGAGACTGCATCTATGCTACGTGCTTGAGTCTTCCTACTGCTTCGGAGAACGGGTTGGGCGAGTAGTGCCTCACTCACAGAAATGAAAGGGATGCCATGCACGTGATCTACCTTGTAGGTATATTAATAGCCTGCGGATATTATGGCCATTGGGCATGTTTGGTGGGCATGTTAGGCGGGCATGTTAGGCGGGTATATTTTGTGGGCATGTTTGATGGATTGATGACTATCGCTTTTTGGTGGCCTCCCTTCCAGCACAAGTTGGGTGTCAGGCTGTGAATTGCTAAGTACCTTCTCCAAACTCTGCGATTTGCTCATTTGCATACTGAATCCAGGTGATCTGAATAAACTGCTCACACATAAATAGTACTTAATTACTCCCACAGCCAAACACCTCCAAGATTACTGTACATACAATAATTGCCTCCCCCCCCCCTACACGATGTGTCTTTCAACAGAATCATTTGATTACTCGACTGCTCGCGCAAGCATTTTTCAACTTTTGAATGCCCTAGGCAGTGAGTCCTTGGATGCCTATATAGGCCTCATAGCAAACCAGAAGGTCAGTGGGTATTTTGTTTAATCCTGATTCTTTCAAACCTTTTCATGTAGCTCCAGACTGAACTATACATTCTGTCATTCTTGCTCAAAAATCGAGTTTATCCTGGTGATCTTTGGGAACTAGTCGGGGAGCGCAGCATAGAGGCGAAGCAAGAGGAAACTTTGCGACACCATCAGAGCATATGTGCTAACGGGCATGCCGGAAGGCATGCGGCTGTCGAACAAATTCTCTTAGACGAGAGGAAGAGACAGTGTCAGATGGAGGTGTCTTTGTACACCCAGGCAATTGAAGTCTTGGATCAACATTGGTTGTGTGAGCTTCTTTTTGTCTGAGTGTGGATGTGCAATCTGAACCCTCTTGACATTTTGTAGCACGTTTTGGTGCTCGATCCAAGCATTTCATCAGGCCTCCCTTGAGGCAAACGATCGCTCCCATGGACCATCTACCTCTTCCGTGCACACCTTTGGCCTGCTCGATATCAGTGCGAGAGATGTGTGAAGTTTGGCGGACGAGCCACGATGCCCATTTCGTGCCAACTGTAACATCTTTGACAGAAGTGTTATCACCTCTGAGCAGCTCCATTTCCTCAGTACGTAGTAATCTCACCTCGCAGGAAGGAAAATCAATGTCTGCCTGTCTGAATGTCAGTATACTTCGACAGTTGGCTTAATTGCTCTGACTGATTGTTCACAGTGTACTGGCCCCTCATTGCCCCTCTCGAGTACATGGGTCACCGTCGATGTCCAGAAATCTTTCTATGAGTCATTCAAGCAGGAACTGACCATACAGGCGGAGCTGATGGTGACATCCCTGGCCACCAGACACAGCAATGCCTACCTGCGCAACCTTGCATTAGATTTGCTCATCTTGCAGGCCAAGAGGCGCTGTGCCCACGCTGAGATAGCGCTATATACAATGGCCATCGATAATATATGTCAGTACAAATTCATGGATACCAGTGAGTACAACAAATCATGCTCCATTTCATGCTAATGATACCGCAGGTTTGTCAACATTCCCGGGTTCAAATATTCTATGACCTCCATGTAATGAAGTGCACCACCGCCCTGACGATGAGAATAGTGAGGATGACGCAGAGGAGAGTTGCGGAGACTATGAAGATTACAAAGACAATGAAGACTGTGAAAGCTACGGCTCGGAAGACTGCGAGGACCTCAACATGCAGTGATACTGGCTTTTTTTTATACCGAGATCTAAACATTTTTGCATGGATCTGTATTTGTTTGGCGTTCGTAAATTATTCTCGCCTTTTTATCGACCGTGGCTAGTACTATCATTACAATTGACCTTGTACTACATCGTTTGTAAATTATCGCGAAGTCCTGCATCATTTGGTTGTGCTACTCTCATGCTGTTCCTTTAAGCCATACGTTCATATCAAGGCCAACCTTCCATTTTGTTGTTAAATATACTTGTATGTTCTCTGCACTCTGAAATTGTCTTTATCACTGTGACGCCAGCCTGAATCCATCAGCAGCAGCAGGCGTGCTGTCACACCCAAGCTGTCACGGTGACCTTACTTGTAGTGCAGATACACCGTGACTTGTCACTCTATCATGATCTGTCTGGCAGGCCTATCCTGATCACTCCCGCTACCTGTGGTTGAACACAATCTGTGAGTTCTCCACCCCACAAATCATTCTGAGGTTATTACATTTAATATCATCTCACAGAATCATATCTGTTTACTTTACAGATGTCAAACGCTCTTGTTGTACTGGCGGAATCCGATATGCTGTTGGTTTGAACGACAACTTTGAGCGACAAGTTGAACATGTCGTGGATTTTGACCGACGAGTATCCAAGCTCTCTGCAAAGGAGGCTCGGTTTGCTATCCAGAGGATCTTCCTTTTGGAACTCGCGGAGACAAAAACAGGATTTTCGAATTTCCATGACCTCGCCATATATGAGCGCAGCTATGCAGGTGCTGCTGCTATTCGACCACATTGTTACCTTGGAAGTGGTGCGTTTTTGTGTATGGAGACGACATTCAAGCTGACAACATGTGGCCTTTCCCTTTCCCTTGCATCCAGCGGTGCCTCACCCTAGCTCGCAATGGTCCTCTACATTCGAGCAGGCGTTGCTAATGCATGCATAATATCACATACTCTGCCTGTTTGTGGTTATTCAAAATTTACAATCTTATCGCTCCCATGAAGCTCCATACCCTCCGATCCGCAAAAAGCCGCAAACGCGGACCATGCTCCAAGCATATAGTATTCAATCTCTCGTTTCGTCGACAAGGTCCTTCGCTGAACTGGTCAGCAGAAGAAGCTACGTTGGTACATGGTTATTTCTGTGTCTATTCTTTCCATGGACTAGTCCTAGTCAGCGCGTCTCAGATATATGCAAGGGCGATCAAGAAACGCCGTGTATGTCTGATGGACAGCAGACAATGATTCCTGTTTTAAAATCGCGGATCGTGTACACGTCTGCTAACTATTTAAGAATAGTGTACACTAGCAGCAGTTGCAGTTGCATTACAACCCCCTGCTCAGATCAAGCCACTGCTGCATCGCCCCGAAAAAGTGGGAATCTATTGCAGCTCCTGTATCTAGGTATTGTCCTCAACTTCGCCATCGTATTCACCTAAGCAGTACAGTCAGATTTTTCTAAGTGAACGTGTTTTCGACGTACTTGGAGTAGGAGAGGGCGCATCCCATGCGATCTGATGGGGAGAGCAAGTACTGAGACCATCTGGTGCATGTTCTTTTAAAATTCTTGCCCGATAATTTTCCTCTAACCAACTGAAGTCTGTACTTCTGGTACAGCTCTTCTAGCCTGGAGCAGTTCATCTCTGCTGACTGCAGTCGCTCTTTGAGCTCGATCGTGGCGTCCACATCGCTCTTTTCAGTTGTGAATCGCTGACACTGGAAGTGGAGCCTCGTCGCTCCGTGCTAAGGAGCTGTCGTCGTTCATGTTGTCCACCAACTCGATTCTAATGAAATACATCAGCACGTGCTGCCGCCAGGTAGAACTATCGGGCTTACCGCAGACTCAAGCTAATACTATGTCCTTGCAGTTTGGAGGTCTGGCGCCTAGTAGGCTGTGGCATATTGGGGGCCTTAGCAGATGCGTTCTTTGGTGCAGAGCTATAATGAAAAATTGAAAGTTCAAGGGAGTTATATATCCTTTTACCATCAGATTTCGAACTTACTATCTAAGCTCAGGTTTATTCGGTACATAAAATTGAGCGGCTACGATGGCCACGTAATTCAAAGTCTCCGTTAATGGTGGCTGTGAATGTGCCGTCATTCAAGGTGGACCTACATGGCGGCCACTTTTTTTGGCCATTGTCAATCTTGCCGTGGCTGTTGCTTTTGCCACCAGTTACCCTGTCATATTACGTAGTGCTGAGTGTAAGACCGCCTCTGGTGTCTGCAGAGCTCAGGCTACTTTCTCCCTCCCCATCTTTTGATGACCAACCAAGACACTGATTCCGGCGTCCCTGAGCAAACGTGGCTTGTCAGCCCTCCAAATGGGACCTCGCAAAAAAGCGTAGGCTGTCCCAGATGCTCGACTGCAACATTCATAGGTTAATAAACTCGTCTCACAGCTCCTTATCTGATCCACTAGTGTCCCACGGAGCCACTTCGGTCGAACAGTGTTCGCACTGTGTAACTACCCCTCATTGCTCACCAATGGTATCTTGAGACTTGAACAAATAGAAGATGTTCCGTTAGAGGACTTCCCTGCCGAGTGAAGAAATTTTACCTCTGCATTCGGCATTTGCTCTTTGGCTGACTGCGTTTGACAGAGAGCAGCGAGAACATCAGCAGTCTTCGAGCAACTTTTAGATTCATATCCCTGGTCTTTTAGAGCGACTGAAAGACGGATCCGAGGAAGAAATCCTTCACGTTGGAGAGCTGGTGCATCATCTTCTGCTTGGCTGGGATTCATGCTTACAATTCGCAGATCGGCAAGGGCGCCGCAGGCGCCAGGGGCGATGACACAAAAACGTTAAAGTCTGCAATACTTGATTGGATCACCCCCAAAGGGGAAGGTATATGGCCCCCTTTACATAGAAACTCTAAGATCGACCTGCGGTTTTAACCATGACCTTACAGGATCTCTTCTATGTCCTGCTGGATTGGACTGGAACGACTTCCAGTACGTTTTTGTTTGCTGGCATCTGTGTAATACTGAATCTTCTTTTGTACCTTTTTCAATGTAGGACTAAAGAGAACCTACGAAGCGGCGAGATGCTGGTCTGTGGGGATCAATGGCCCATTTTTTTGTACGCCCACCACATTTATGACCCTGAAGACCCTGTGGTGCGGGCTTCTTCGGAGCCGCTTACTAGTCTATGTGAGTGCACACTCATTTTTCAGATATCTCATTTGCTATGAGGTATTCCGACAGGCCTACAAGCATGTGGTCACATCTCCAAGTTCAGTTGAAAGGGAACCAAAGGCCACGCGATCCGGAAACGCGCGGCTCCATGGCATGAACTCCGTCACAATCGCCTCCCTAGCGTATATCGCAACCCAGGTCCGTTGAGTATCAATTCTATGGCTAAAAAATTTTGATGTACGATTGAAGGTGCGATTTTCCCTGAGCTCATCCTTGGTGTTCTCTCATACCGACACAACTACAGACTCGGAGACATTCTATCATAGCCTCCTCGACCTATTAGAAGACCCTGAAGAATACAAGGAAATTGACGAGCTACTGACCTGGTGGAATCGGTATTTTTTTTCGCTCTTCGCCATGCCACTAAGGCTGATCATTGTCACTCACTCAGCCAAGTTTTCCCCACTTCCTCTGCGGCCAAGAGACCCATTAGTGCCAACAGCGCGCTATTCAAAATCCGACAAAAATGTTTAGCCCTCAAACAAGCTTCGAATATAAATACCCCCTCTTCATAGTTTTATGTTTATTTATATATTCAGAGTCAATTTAAATGCAATCTAATGACGGCCTAATTCCAGCTTTGTAAAGCCCACGAAAGTAATTGCAGGACGAAAAACGTATAATACTGCTACGCCTTGGTGCGATATAGCCTAACGTTAGAAATTACTATACGATGGCATCATTCAGAGAGGGTTTGCGGTGAACAAAATCCCTCGCTATCTTGCGTCTAATGACTAAACCTCAGCAATTATCTGATGAAGGGCACCACATTGACATGCCTTCGCATTGTGGCGCCAAAAGTATCCCCCATCCAAATAGTCTGGCATTAGAAGACTCCATCAGTGAGGGAGAGAATGTAGAGCATAGAGTGACCAACTGACCTTGTGTGCGGTTACCACGTCTAAACAAGGTTGGGGAGGATGCTAACGTGCCGTCGTTGGTCGCCTGGGTTGTGTACTTAGTGTATCTGAGCAGCATAGGCGGGCATCGCGACCACATAACTAACATCAACATTGGAGGAGTTCTTGTCGGGGGTACAATAGCACGCTGTGCTTGCACGAGTCAACCCCATTGATACAACTTGGTACTGTGTTGCGGATGCGTGGCACCCTTGGGTTGCACGCAGTTCGGTCCAACACAGTCCGGCCATTTAAAACTTTGTCAGGCATTAGCATTTGCTCAGATATTGGGGTGGACAACATGACAAACTAACTTTATGTACACTTATTGTTTCTCATTGAGGTTGGGTCAGATGGCAACACACTGTGGCTTATCACCTGAATTCTGCACTTAGCGGATGTGGGCAACGAAGGATAGGATGACAACCACTTACCTAATGTCAGCGCTGGGGAAGTTCTTGTTGAGGGTGCAATGGCAAGCTGTGCTTGCGTAAAGCAACCACATTGGTCCCGCATTGCGAATGCTCGGCACCCCTGGGTTGTAGGCAGTTCGATCCAATATAGTCTGGCGATATAATTCTATGACTGACACTGGCATCTATTCAGAGATTGCGGAGGAAGTCAACATAGTCAAAGGTTGCATGTCATGACCAGCGCAAGTCAAAATTGTTGTGTATTGTCAACTTGCCCCAAGATGGCACAAATTGCAATACCTGTCCGCCGTGACAGAGTCGCCAGCTATTGCAACCGGACTGCCATAATTGTATATTTGGCGGCTTCCACCCATGTCAGTCCGGGTATTCAAAGCTTTCTCGATTGATATATAATTCTGATAGGTATTATGCAAATTTTAGACAAGATAAAGCTTGCTAATAATTTATCATTTTCGGGTCATTTACCTGATGATCTACGAGGACCCTTGGGGCATGTGCTGTCTCAGCTTAACAAGTGAGCCGAACCAAGTTCACCGTCGCTGGAAACTAAACATCAATCAGGTCAGTTAACCACATCAACAGTGAAGCAGCCTCAAAGACAGAGCAAAGGTTTTGGCAGAGGTTCTTCTCTGTCACAATTGATAGAGACCAGATTGCTCAATGGGAAAAGGACTTGGATCGCATCATCGCACTCTTCAATGTATGTCTGTGCAACTCCATCATGATCTCGAATTTGCTGCTGAATGGTTGTCTCAAGTTTGAAGCAATTGTTCGCATTGCAACAGGTGTGGAGAAGCTCGTTTCGGGACTCAATACTACTAGTGTTCATGTTCTAAAGTAAGTTGTTATTTTAGACGGGTTGTGCATGGCCTCTAATTGAATACAGGTATCACCCAACAGAGCCTCCATCACGGCCTGCCATGCTGTACGGCCACGACGGCCTTGTGGCAGAGTTGACGAACCTCGTCGTCAATGATGAGCATTTGGCCTTGATCGGTCTTGGGGGTATGGGAAAGAGTTCTGTAGCTAAAGCCATCATCAACGAGCCGCTCGTCATGGAGAAATTTGCTGATCGGCGCTTCTTTGCGACATATGATGACCTGGATCCTTCAACCATCACATTCAGAACCTTTATGACTCGTTTTGCGAGAGCCCTTGGCATAGAGATCGCCGGCTCTGATCCTGTGCGCCAAATATCTACCTTTCTCCGTTCTGCCAGTGCCCTCGTTGTCCTCGATAATGCCGAGACCTTTGAAGAGGCCAGTGCACTGTCGGTGCCCGGATACATATTGCAAGCCATTGCTGAAATGGCTAACATCCCTGGCGTCGTTCTGGTCCTCACGTCACGCAGTAGAAGGAATGCACTAAACGTGCAATGGATTACCAAGGATATTCCACCACTGGACTTGAGCTCTGCTCAAGCAGCGTTCTTTCAAATTTATCACCACGCCAGTCGTAGCGAAGCCAAAGAAGACATAAAAGGCCTGTTGGGGGAATTAGATTTTCACCCCCTTTCCATCAACATACTCGCAAACGCTGTGCAACAAAATGGTTGGTCTCCAACCAAGCTGCTCAAGAGATGGAATGATCGGCATAGCAAGGTACTCGATGGTGGCAAGGGGAAGCTGCAAAGCTTATCTGACACCATGCAGCTGTCACTCAGCTTACCGTCGGTCCAGCATCTTGGCGAAGATGGTCTTCGTGTTTTAGCCATCATTGCGTTCTTGCCCCAGGGTCTCAACGAGGACCTGGCTAGTGATTTGTTACCATCACTTCCGCAAGTTGACGCTATATGTGATGTTTTATGCATGCAATCCCTCGTTTATCGTCAAGATAAGTTCTTCAAGATGCTTGCCCCCATTCGGCATTACGTGCAAGATTCATTGCAAGCACCTGACTCCACGTGTTTGCAAGAGATACGTGCCTTCTACTATCGCACTGTCTACTCCTGTTTGGAAGAACACAATCAGTATGCTGATACCATTATCTCGGATCACCTTAACATTGAGCACGTAGTTGCTTTCAACCTTGCCAATATCCCGAATGACGCAGAAGAGACCTATAACACTTGCTGGCAATTTTTGGAATGTTTGGAGAGACACCTGCCTCGCCCGACTACCCTTAACCCTGCTATTTCCAACATCATCGAGAACTCGTCCACATGGGCGCTAAAAGCACTTTGCTTGTCATATCTCGCGCAGCTCTACCAAACGCTTTCTCAGAATGCTGAAGCAATACTGGCCTTTCAAACAGCTGAGGCGCTCTATCTCACCGCCGGTGACCCCAAGGGCATGGGGAATTGTCTTATAACGCGCGCAGACTTGCTGGGATGTCAAGGTTGCTTTATTCAGTCCCGAAATCTCTTAGATGATCTTCAGCACTCTGACTCTTGGGAGTCTCTCAGGGAAACAACGAAAGCCCGAGCTTGGTATTTCTTGGATATAGCCCGGATGTACACATTCACAGCACCTGCGGGCGAATTATTTGTGAAGTCCTCGGAAGACCGCATCTGGGATTTGTCTATCAAGATTTGGCACTGTCTGGCCAAATTTTATCATGGAGGAGACGCTGTCCAGGTGCACGCCCAATTAGAAGACCTATCCGTACAACATGCAGGTTCTGGAAATGTCAGAGCCCTCGAAGACATACATCAGGGGCTTGCAGAAGTTGCATCTTCCGAAGGCAGGTTATATGAAGCAATGGATATCCTGCAAAAGATCGTAGTGATGGATGGACAGTCAGCTGAAGGTGCCCTCTGGTCTACCATGTGGAAGGCTCATGCTGTTAGCAAGCAAGGGGATTATGACCTGGCGAGGGAGCTCATCCGCACAGCCTCGGGACCCTTCCAATTCTTTGCACTGCGCAGTGCACGTACATTCATCCACAAATCTTATGGCTCAGCATGCATCGAGCTCACCGCAGGCGAGTGGGACAGGGCCGAGTCTTATTTCACTGCCACGATCGAAGCCTGCGACATGCAAAGTAATCTGATGCTCAAGGCACTCAGCATACGAGGTTCTGGGGGAGATTGCATTTGTGCTTAATGATTTTGCTCTAGCCACACAGCGTTTTGAAGAGACACAATTATTTTGCGCTGAGATGGGAGTGCCTCCCCAGTATCTGTACAGTTGCGCGCCATTTAATAATTTACAGGACAAATTCAAAGGATGGTCATTATTCTTGGAGGGTCTGTCACCACTTATGAACGATACGAGGTAGATCACGCACGCTAGCCTGCAGTTGTATTTCACGAACAGTTGCATCATCGTTGTATTATGTCCATGGCAAGGAAGTAACGAGACAAATATAAGATATACTACGGCACGGTTTTGAAGATTCTAGGCGTGTCTGACCGCTCGAGGCTGCTCCTGTGCTTCACAAATAACCCTCTCTTTCAGGTGCACGAGTTCATGCTCTTTCATTAAGCCATGTGCATCTGCACCAGGGACATCTCAAATTGAATGTGCACGAAAAGAGTGACACAAACTCACATTGCCAACCGCCACAAAGCTATTCTGTTCGTCGTCTCCAACAGCGAGGTCCTGTCAATTTCTGTGCAAGCACAAGTTGACCACGTGTTCTAGGTCCTCTTCATGCCCTCGGATCACTGCAGCCAATTCACAATTTGGCTATTGGCTCGCCCACCTAGAGGTCACCGACGATCCTCGAGCTGGTCAGATGCGTACTTTGCACTACCTTGGTCTCGTTCAATTCGTCGGGGATTGTATCGCCCAGGTTCGAATCCCCAGTGTTGGTTCACCACAGCAGGGATTTAGGAGGAATGCAACAAGCCTTGTGGCGAGGAGTCAAGTAGATCGATGGATGGTCCAAGAGACCTGAGGTATCCATGTTCGTTGGGGATTCAGTGTGTCTTGGAGATAGGAAGATGGAAGAAAACATATGGCTTATTCATGTAACAGCCTGCCATCATATCTCGGATGATCATACGAGTAGTTTCATCATGATATGGCACCTATGACAAGACAGTGATGAGACGAACGCGGGAGATAAGTGAAGCGGAACACTTGGCACTTCAAGTGCGCACTGAGATTGCTATGGCATGGGAAGGCCATGACACAGATGTTTTACCTAAAAAACGTGTCTGATCCTTCGAGGTTATGCTCTTCATCGCACATCTCATATCCACTTTTCGATTGTAGTGCGCGAGCTGGATCTGCGACATCTCCTCGGATTGAAGGTTCATGAAAAAATATGACAAAAACTCACAATGGGCAATCGCTAGTCTTTCATAGGTAGACCGATAGAGGAAGACAGTTGGACGGCGATGACTACGCACAAGTCATTCATATTCATCTCATCATTTCCAACTGTGAGCTCATTCTCTTGTGCGTCATGTATGTGTTGTCCTACGATTCGCAATGTTTGGCCAGTCCACACCCTTAAAGTCGATAATACTCCATCCTAAACTGGTTGAATGGGTAGGCAGTTCATCCTAAATTGTATTGCCCAGGTTCATATTCCCAGTATTGATTCACCACCGCAAGGATTTTGAAAAGGTTCGGGAAACTACTAACTAGCCTTGCGATGAGGAGTTGAGTCGATCGGTGTAGTGTTTGAGTGGGATAGAACTGCCAACAACAGTAGAGACGATGAGGAGAAACAAAAATAATTTTCTGATCACGTGCAGCTAATTTCACTTGCGCAGCTGAATCTCGACTTCCCCAGGGACAACCTTTGCGGAGTAAAAATGCTTTCTACACAAGACGATCAAACGTCTGTCCACTTCGTTTCCCTAAATATTCGATGTTCAAGCTATCAACGATATATCTCCTTGCTTCATGCCAGCAATCCGACTGCATCGCAGATCACAACAATCTATCATAGGCTCAAGACTGGGTCGAAAGTTGAGATCTAAACTTGATGTCACCATGATAGACGCTGGTATGTTATCATTTATGCTGTGCAGTTTCTCACCCTCTGGTGACTTGAAGCAGAACCCATGTCTGAAACTTGGAATTCACCACGTGCATCCACTGGCAAGCGATGAAGCCGAAAAAAAGAACTCCCAAAAAGCCAAAGGCAAGCAGATACAAAGTTCAGTATCAGCGCCATATATTTGATCTGACATAGAACGGCCCAAATGTTAAAGAACCTTCTTCTGAAACCAAGGAGTCGAGCGATAATGCGATGCAACTGCTGGGCATCACTATAGCGGCAATCAATATTACGAGAGACCTCGTACCTATCGACCTGGCAAAAGGCATCCTCGGAACGGTCGCAAACATCCTGATCATTGCGCAGGTTCGTTGGTGTACCCTTTGCAAATGTTTGTGAAGGATCTTGAGGTCTGTACAGTCAGTGATCAAGAATCAGTCCGATTTCCAGGCGATAGTCGACAAGTGCGAGACTATCAGGGAAATCCTTGAAAGAGCGACCAAGCATGCCACCGACGACGATCTGCGAGGATACTTGGGCCATGCTTTATCTCAGTTGAACAAGTGAGCCGAACTAATTTCACCGCTGCTACAAACTGATGGCGTCGTGCAGATCAGTAAACCATATCAATAGTGAAGTAGCCTCGAAAAAGGAGCAAGGATTTTGGCAGAGACTCCTGTCTGTCACGAGTGATCGTGACCGCATTGCTGGATGGGAAAAAGACTTGGATCGCGTCATCCCACTGTTTAGTGTATGTTTCGGGAACTCCTTTAGAGCCACGGCTACTGAATGATGTTTTAAGGCTGAGATGCTCGTTGGTCTCACGATTGGAATGAACATGCAAACCTTAGGACTCGAGGGCAATGAGAATGGGAACGTCAAAAGGTAAGTTACCATCTCGGTGGGCGTTGTGTATCTTCTAAAGGCAATCAGGTATTGCCCACCTGTACTCCCATCACGTCCCTCCATGTTTTATGGACGTGAGGATCTCGTAGCAGAGCTGACAAATCTTGTCATCAATGATGAACATATCGTGTTGATCGGTTTTGGAGGCATGGGGAAGAGTTCCCTTGCCAAAGCTATCATTAACGAACCACCTGCCATAGAGAAGTTTGCTGATAGGCGCTTCTTTGTGACCTATGATGGCCTCGATCCTTCGACCATCACCTTTGAGACTTTCACGACTCGTTTTGCGGAAACCCTGGGCATAGAGCTTGCTGGTGCTAATCCTATGCGCCAAATATCTACCTTTCTTCGTTCTGCCACCGCCCTCATTGTCCTTGATAATGCTGAAACCTTTGAAGAGGCCAGTGGATCGTCGGCGCTCGGAGAAATACCACCAGCCATTGCTGACATCGCAAACATTCTTGGTGTTATTCTGGTCCTCACGTCACGCAGTCGAAGGAATGCACCGAACGTGCGATGGATAACAAAAGATATTCCGCCATTGGACTTGAGCTCTGCTCAAGCAGCGTTCTTTCAAATTTATCAGCACGCCAGTTGTAGTGAAGCCGGGGAAGACATACGGGACCTACTCAAGGAATTGGAATTCCCACCCCCTTTCCATCAGTTTACTCGCAAACGCTGCGCAGCAAAATAGCTGGTCCCCGGCCATGCTGCTGAAAAGATGGAACAATCGGCACAGCAAGGTGCTGGACCCCGGCAAGGGGAAGCTGCAAAGCTTGTCAGACACTATGCGACTGTCACTCAGCTCACCATCAATGCAGGACCTCGGTGAGGATGGTCGTCGTGTTCTGACCATAATCGCTTTCTTGCCACAGGGCCTCAATGACACCCTGGCTAGCGATTTGTTGCCGTCACTCCCGCAAGTCGATATTATTTGTGATGTCCTTTGCAGGCAATCTCTTGTTTATCGTCAAGACAGCTTCATTAAATTGCTCGCCCCCATTCGGCATTACGTGCGAGATTTGTTGCAAACACTGGACTCCACTTGTTTTGCGAGAAATATGTGCCTTCTACTATCGCATCGTCAACTGCTGCTCGGAAGAACACAATCGCTACGCTGAGATCATTACCTCGGATCACCTTAACATTGAGCACGTAGTGGCTTTCAACCTTGCACACGTCCCAGATGCCACCGAAGAGACTTATGACATCTGCTGGCAGTTTTTGTGGTGCTTGCAGAAGCATCTACCTCGCCCAACCATCCTTACTCCAGTTATCTTCAAAATCACCGAGAACTCCTCCACGCGGGGGCCAAAAGCGTGCTCCCTGCAGTATCTCGGCGCGCTCTACGCCACTCTTACTCAGCTCACCGAAGGGATGAGGGCCTTGAAAACTGCTGAGGCACTCTATCTTACCGTCGACAACCACGAAAATGTGGCACACTGTGTTGTCCAATGCGCAGATATCTATAGATGTCAAGGCCGTTTCATTCAATCCCAACAGGTTCTGGAAGCCTTCCAACACACCGACTCGTGGAAATCTCTCAGCGAAACTTTTAAATCCTACGTCTTGTATTTCTTGGATAAGGCCAGAATATACACATTGACAACGTTCGTAGACGAATTATTTGTTAAGTCCGCGGAAGATCGCGACTGGGGTTTGCCATCTAAGATTTGGCACTGGCGAGCCAAATTTTACCATGGAGGAGACATTGTCCTGGCAATCACGCACTTAGAAGATCTTCTCCCGCAATGCCCAAGTACTGGGGATCTCTTCACCCGCAGGGACGTACTTGAGGGGCTTGCACAAATAGCATTTTGCGAAGACAGGCTTTCCGACGCAATGGTTATTTTGCACAAACTCGTAGAGATGTTCGAGGGTCAATATTCGGATGGTGTCCTTTGGTACACCGTCCAGAAGGCTATTGTTGCGAGCAAACAGGGGAATAATGACCTTGCAAGGGAGCTCATTCATAAAGCCTCAGAGCCCTTCCAATTCTTTGCCCTGTGCAATGCACGCGCATTTCTCCACCGATCTTATGGCGCCGCGCTCATCGAGCTCACCGCAGGCGAGTACGTCAAGGCTGCGTCTCAATTCACTGCCACGATTGAAGGTTGTAATATGCAAGGCAACCTGCACGCTAAAGCGTTCAACATCCGTGGACTGGGCGAGGTTGCCTTTGTGCAAGGTGACTTCGTTTTTAGCAGCACAGCACTTTGCAGAAACGCGGTCTTTGTGCACGGAGATGGGAGTGCCCACCCTGCCATTTGTACAGTTGCTTGCCATTCCACGCTTTGTCAAACAGATTTGAAGGGTGGGGTTTTGTTTTTGGAGGGCCGCTCGTCATTCACGAATCTGACATAGATCATCGTATATGGTGACCGTGGTACATTGTATCTCCACATATCCGGACTGTGACACAAATTATAAGTACCAAGTCTTTAGATAAAAGAAATCCTGGTCATATAAGTCCGAGGATGAGATTACGGTGAGTTGAACTCACCTCATGACAAGGCCTTTGGGCAGACTCATAAGTGTTTCGTCAATATCGTCAATATTCAGCACGTCGATATTGCGGTGATTCACTACAGCTGTCTGTAGGATTAAGGATGGCATAGGCAGCATTGTGTTCGAAAACGATCGAACAACTTGAGACCGTCTGCATTGGCCTGCCTCGGAAAGCAAGATCAATCCGGTTGTGAATAACTGGTAGCTATTAGAACACGAGGGATATGGAGTGGATGGCCTCAAGTATCGCGCAAAAAATTATGCGTGTGATTTGCAGAAACCTCAGTCTCTTCGACGTCAGGCCGGGAGTCCTCTAGTGATTTGTGAAATCCAGTTGAGCGTGTATTGGACATGGAGAAGGCGCACTAGGCGGGTTATCTATAAATGGTTTCAGGACCGCGCTCCACAGCACCATAAACCATGACCTCATTGACCTGAGATTCAATGAGAGCCAGGGATACGTGACAACGCGGTGTGTGACATGCGCATCTAAGTGTCATCACATGACGTGACGACAGACGACCTTATGAAATTTGAAAACTCCGAGTCAGCACTAGCTCATGATGTTACTTCAAGCTTGTACATGTATATCCAGCTACTGTAAAGCTACTCTGTATCAGCTTCTCCCACCAATCACATTTGTCGCTTCCACTTTGCACGAGGTGCGGAAGCTCTCACCAGAGTTTTCGCAGTGTGACGTCTCAATTTTTAAAGACCTTGCAGACGTTTAACCCCAAGATTACACAGAGCACAAATGTTCTCAAGCCTTGACCGTATCAGCGTTCCCATCGCTTCATATGCATGGATCCAGGTTTCAATGACACCAACCATCGGTCGCTGTAAGTTCATATACATGTATTATTAGTAAATCAAGTCAATCAACTTGAATGTGTCCTGCTGATGACCCGTATTAAGTTCACCCAGCATTTAATCCGCCGACCCAATCGTGTTCTAACCATCCCTGGGACAGCCTTTGCGGAGCAGAACATGCATTCTATGCCCACCGCCTTGTCTCCCGAAATATTTGCAGCTGTGGACGACATACCTTGCATTGATTGCAGGCAATCCGCCTCCATCCTGGACTGCAGCAACATAGACAAGATCTTCCGCTGAGCCACAGGTGCATCGCATAAAACGACTAACCCACCAACATTGATGCACTTGGTTGCACATGGCTTGAGGGACAGAACATGGAGACCGTGTAGGCCTTTGGGTTGTTCACGCGAGCACGAAAAGGTGTCACTCAAGGCTGAGGGAGAACTATTGGATATCATCGGGTGATTTTTATTGTAAGTTCTTGCATTGTTCTCTCGAATGCCGGACACTCACTGTTGTGTCTTGAATCATTTTAGCTAGTGTCCCATCATCTTCACGTTGCGGTGCTGGACTGGATATTGCAGTGCTCTTGACCCCAACCGCGACTCCAACTTTGCATCTCCGCGTCCACCCTGTACCTGCGACCTTGACTGTTCGCGCTCGGGAATGAGACGAGACTAAGGTATTGATCTAAGATGTAAGTTTATTGTGTATGATCAGAGACCACTCTACTAGTTTCGACACCATCAAATTTGTGGATACATGTACACGTGACCATACTGTCGGACTGCCATGCTTAGCACTGTACCATCATTTGCATGAATACTAGTATGTCATGGGCGACGTGTGTGTCTAGGTAATATCATAGGCATGCCTGATGTACATGACAACTATTGGCATCCACCAAAAGGTATGCTGGCGACACCGTGATTCGGAGCAGCGGAGGAAAGGCTTACCATTGTGATCTAGACAGGGCGTAAACCAGATGACTGGCTCCAGGCCAGTCTGGTCCCTCAGATGCGCAGTGTGACATATGCGTATAATGATATGGCTCGAGTTCCTGCCAAAGTTGGTTATCTAAGCTGGCCTCGTTCCTCGGCCGGCACAGATTTGAGTCTACGCGCAAATAAGCGAGGTGGCGCAGCGCTTCTTGCTCCTGCCCACCTCGCAGCATTATCCTTTCAGAGTGCTAGTCACTCGTGTCTACCTCTTTTTGCACCCACCCACCACTCCCTGATCAGCGTGTGAACAAGATTTTCATCAGAACATCTCACCGACTTTGTCATCAACTTAACGTTTCAAAACTGAAACAAACAGCTCACTCTCATTTGTTCAACGCATAGTGTACGCTACCTACCGTCGCTCCCACAAGACAATGACCTGATCGGGCCCAACCTGCCCTCACAGCTCACCTTGCGCCATAGGTACGGACCCGTGTTTTGGACCGGAAAAGCCCTGCGGGCTTTCGCCCAAAAACCCAAACAATTAGTATCAACACATGACACTAGTACCATCCGTGTTCAGTACAGCATCGTAAATCATCAGAAGAGCCTCGGCTTCTTCGAATCGCACCAGTTCTCATTGCCACGAGTCATTGAAGCGCATAGATGAGAGCATGAAATATATCGATATGATAGACGCCCAGTAGGTTATGCGTTTATGCCGTACAGTTTCTCACCCTCCACCTTTCCTTTACCTTGAGGTTGACAGAGGCGCTAGTTCACTGGCTGAAACTCACTAGGATTTGAATCCACCACACAATCTCCGGGGATGTTCTCCAAAAATCCAAAGGCTGGAAGAACCAGGCAACCAAAGGCAAGAAGGCAGACATCCACGTTTCACCGCCGTGTATCTGATCTAACATAGAACGGCCCACATACTAAACAACCATCTCCTGAAGATAAGCAGTCCCAGGACGATAATGTGATCCAGCTGCTGGGTATCACTATATCAGCCATCAACGCTACCAAAGACCTTGTGCCTATCGATCTGGCGAAAGGCATCCTTGGAACAATTGCGAACATTTTGACTGTTGCGCAGGTGCGTTGGCCTAATTCTCAGAAAGACTGGTGAAGACCTACGTTTATACAGGCAGTGATCAAGAACAAGTCCGATTTCCAAGCAATAGCTGACAAGTGCGAGACCATCAGGGACATCCTTGAAAGAGCGACCGAGGGTGCTACCAAAGATGATCTGAAAGGATACTTGGGGCATGCATTGACTCAGCTCAACAAGTGCGTCGAACCAGTGTTGCCATCACCAGAATCTGATGACACTGTCCAGATCAGTAAACCGCATCAATAGCGACGTAGAGTCAAAGAAGGAGCAAAGATTTTGGCACAGGCTCCTCTCTGTCACCATCGATCGCGACCGGATTACGAGATGGGAGAAAGACTTGGATGAAGTCCTCATGCTATTCAGAGTATGTTTCTTGAACTCGCCTGAGCTTCTGCTGCTAAGCAATGTCCTTAGACGGAAGCGATTGCTGGCATTGCAATCAGGGTGGACAAGCTGACTTTGGGACCCAGGGATAACACTCGTGGGATCAATGACACCCAGTAAGTTGGCATTTTGGCAAGTGATGTGTGGCCTTAACCGTGATCAGGTATCGTCCACCCGCACCTCCATCACGGCCTCCCATGTTTTATGGCCGTGGGGATCTCGTCGCAGAACTGACCAACCTTGTCATCAATGACGAGCACATTGCGTTGATTGGTCCAGGAGGGATGGGAAAGAGTTCCCTTGCCAAAACTATCCTCCACGAGGCAGCCATCATGGAAAGATTTGCCAACAGGCACTACTTCGTGACATACGATGGGATAGATCCTTCGAACCATTACATTTGAAGCTTTCACGACTCGTTTCGCACAAGCCCTTGGCATAGAGCTTTCCGGCGTTAATCCAGTGCAGCAAATATGCGCCTGTCTTCGTTCTGCTAGCGCCCTTGTTGTTCTAGATAATGCTGAGACTTTCGAAGAGGCCGGTGGATCATCAGCGCTCACGGAAATCCCGCAAGCTATTGCTGAAATTGCAGGCATCCCCGGCGTCATTCTGATTCTTACAATCGCGTAGTAGAAGGAGTGCACTGAATGTACCATGGATTACCAAGGATATTCCACCACTAGATTCAAACTCTGCTCAAGAAGCATTCTTTCGAATTTACCGTCTAGCCAGTCGTGAAAATGCGGACGGAGGAATAGCAAACTTGCTTCGGGATTTGGAATATCACCCGCTTTCCATCAATCTACTCGCAAATGCTGCACAGCAAAACGGTTGGTCTCCGGCTATACTGCTGGAGAGATGGAAGGATCGGCACAGTGCGGTGCTAGACCATGGCGAGGGAAAGCTACAAAGCTTGTCATACACCATGCAGCTGTCACTCAGCTCACCGTCAATCCAGAAACTTGGAGAGAAGGCTCAGCATGCTTTAACTGTCATCGCCTTCTTGCCCCAGGGTCTCAATGAGGCCCTGTCCAAGCGTATCTTGCCATCTACCCTGCAAATCGACGACATATGTGATGTTTTATGGAGGCAATCTCTCGTTTATCGCCAAGGCGGCTTCGTCAAAATGCTCGCACCCATTCGGCATTATGTGCGAGATTCGTTGCCACCACCTGACTCCACATGTTTGGAAGAGATACGCACCTTCTACTATTGCACTGTCCAACAGTGTTCGGCAGAACGAGATGATCATGCTGATATCATTATCTCGGATCACCTCAACATTGAGCATGTTGTTGCTTTCGATCTCACCCAAATCCCTGAGGAGACTTATCGCGCTTGCTGGGAATTTGTGCAGTGCTTGACGTGGCATCTTCCTCGCCCAACTACCCTTACCCCCGCTATTTTCAACATCGTCGAGAGCTCTTCCACGCGATGGCCCAAAGCAGGCTGCTTGTAGCGTCTCGGCTGGCTCAACATGGCTCTTTCTCGGTCCAAAGAAGCCATACAGGCCTTCCAGGCTGCTGAGCCACTCTATCTCACCGTCGGCAACCATGAGATGGTGGCGCGCTGCATTCATCCATGTTCAGACGTATACGCATGCCAAGGCCGCTTCATTCAATCCCAACAGGTCCTTGAGGACCTCCAGCATTCCGATTCATGGCAACATATCAGCGAAACAACAAGAACCTGTGTTTGGTTTTTCTTGTATAGGGCCAAGATGTTCACGTTCACAACATCTGCCGACGAATTATTTGTGAACTCCTTGGACGAAGACTTCTGGGGATTGCGGTCCAAGATTTGCCACTGGCGGGCCAAACACTTCTATGGGGGAGATATTGTGCAGGTGAAGACGCACTTAGAAAACCTTCTCTTGCAATGCCCAAGTACTGGAGACCTCGATGCCCGCAGGGACGCACTCGAGGCGCTTGCAGAGGTAGCATTTTGCGGAGGCAGGTCATCCGACGCAATGCATCGCCTACAGGAAATTGTAGAGATGTACGAAGGACTTGATCCCAGCGTGGCGCTTTGGTATGCCGTCTGGAAAGGCGTCGTTGTGAGCGAACAAGGGCATCATGACCTTGCGAGAGAGATCATTCACAAAGCCTCCGAGCCCTTCCCATTATGTGCCCTGCCCAGTACAGCCGCATTTCTCCATAGATCTTATGGCTTGGCATGCGTCGAGCTCAACGCAGGCGAGTACGACAAGGCAGTCTCTCATTTCACCGCTACCATTGAAGGTTGTAATATCCAAGGACATCTTGACTTCAAGGCGTTCAGCATACGTGGATTGGGGGAGATTGCCTTTGAGAGAGGGGACTTTGCATTAGCCGTACAGCGCTTTGCAGAGACGCTGTCCTTGTGCACTGAGATGGGAGTGTCTCCAAGAAAATTACATGGCATACCATTCGATGCACTGCCAGAAAGATTTAAAGGGTGGACATTGTTTGTGGAAGGGCATTCACCATTTACGAGCGTTGATATGTAGATGATACACGGTAAGCTGCAAGCCGCAGTTGGGCACAGTATCACGCACGTCGATCCATATGTACTGCCAAATACTACCCTTTGTAGAGTATTAGACAGCCAGTGCGACTCCTACTTCTTGTTGAGCTCCTCTGCCCTTCTATGAAGTTCTTCACGACTCTATGAACAGCTATGAGGATACGATGTTTGAAATGCATCTTAACGAACCAATGGGGCTTCGAGGCTATTGACGATGTCCTTGTTAGGCACATGCGGGTCTCGAGCGTGGTAGGCGTAAAACTCGGGCTTGCTGGTCAAGCCCGCATCACACCTGGGCCGCCTGACCAAGTCTTCTGGTTCATTAGATTGCTAGATCAATACTCAGCAAAACTATAGCTAGGGAAAGAAAGCGAAAGCGACTGCGTACAGCAGGATGAGGAAGGATGTTAAATTGTTGCTCCTGCTGTCCCTGTTGGTGACTGGGTGAAGTTGTGGTATCTTTCGTTTGTTGAGACATTTGTTACAGGTAGTAATTGGACCACTATGATAGTGGAAAGCGCAGTGTCGCAGCACTTGGGGTGCTCCCCTATATACGCACCTGCGGAGCCAATCGTACGGATGACATCATTCACACGTGACGATTCATTTGACATTAGCAATTGAACGTTGAACGTTAATATGCAACTCTAGATCGAGTCACTTGCGCAGAGAAAGACAAGAGTAAGTAGAATGCTGAAGTATATTTTATTGTACATGACGCATTCCACATCACTTCGATAGCATCATCTTTCGATAGGTCAGGTTTCTGAAAATGAAATACTATGGAAATGCTAACCTTCACAAATTCTGAACCGATGCGACACGATCGACACGTGAGTACAAATAAGTACGATGCAAAAAAGGAAACGAACCATCATAATTGATCTGGCCATCGCCATCGATGTCTGCCTCACGAATCATTTCATTGACCTCAGCTTCAGTCAATTTCTCGCCTAGAAATGGCATTAATTTATAATTGATACCTGAGCATCACCACTGACCCAGGTTCATCATGACATGTCTCAGCTCAGCAGGGTTGATATAACCGTTCCCGTCCTCATCAAACACTTTAAACGCCTCTTTAATCTCGTCCTCTCTGTCGGTGTCGCGCATTTTGCGCGCCATCATTGTAAGGAACTCTGTGAAGTCGAGGGTACCGTTCCCATCAGCGTCAACCTCGTTGATCATGTCCTGTAGCTCTGCTTCGGTAGGATTTTGACCTATTGAGCGCATCACGGTGCCGAGCTCTTTGGTAGTGATCGAGCCATCGCCATCTACATCGCTTCGGATCAGGTGAAGTAATAATTAACATCACGTTGGTCATACCTATATCGAACAAAGCGAAAGCTTCCTTGAATTCTGTGGCGGGTAAATGAGCGCTGGGATCATCAACGATAACACCAGCGACGATTTCTCACCAGCTATCTGTTCTAGAAAATCGAACAGAAGCAATCAAGTATATCAGCACCGATAACGCCTTTGACCTCCCACCAAGAGAGTATTCACACCTTCAGACTGTGGGTCGTTCCCAGATTATTAATCAATACCGATCTGAAGCCCAGTGCAGTGCACGGCACATCGCGACTCACCAATTCATCCGCCATATTCTAGAAAGTTTCGATAGAAAGCCTTGTTGATTATATAAGGGAATACGATTTGCAAAGAGGATGACGCGGACGGTGACACCACTCAAGTACTCACACGCTGCGCCGGCTGCGGGCCTGCGGCGCGTAGCGTGAAGTCACCGGCACGTGACCTGGACACGAAATGGTGCGTCGTGAATGTTAGTGGATGCCACATCGATATCTCTCATTGCGTCAAATATGTCCTCCTCATCATCTCTAACGCTTAGCACGCTATTATCAATACTACAGACACACCTCAATGCCCAAACCCGACTTCTGCCGACACTCCATGTTCAACTCGGCCTACCACAAACCGCTCCGGAAGACGAACTGCAAACATTACAGCATACTCTGAATAAGGCCATTGAGTCTCGGATAGAGGTGCAGAGGAAACAAGTGGAAGATTGGATAGGAAAATGCGAGGGAGTGGAGTCTGGTTGTGCTCGGTGTTCGAGAGTGCTGGGCACATGCTGAAGTTGCTGGATCGCTCAGCGATCTCAAAGCTGAGAAGGTCTCGCCAAGGAGATATGAAAGCGCCACTACCAGGAGAAAACTAAGACAGGTCAGTCGAATCTTTTGCGCGCGTAATCTACTAAGATGCCAGTTTCTCAGATCTACCCTACGAAACTCAAGCAGCTCACAACGTTGACCAATCGCCTGAACGCCCTCGCACGGACGCTTGGCTCCCAACAAGATATCTTAACTTCAGCGGTTGCTACTACTGAGGAACTAGAAACTACAAGATATTGTACCTGGACGTTTCTCCAAACTTGAAAAAGAGCTTGTACGAGGAAAAGGTGAAGTGGTGAGCCAGTCTTTCCTTGTTTATCTCTGTACCTCTGATCACACATTTACAGTTGAAACGACTAAATCAACTGAGTGAAGTCTCTATTCAGATCGACTCAGAACTAGGTATCGATCCTCCCCCACCCACTGTCACACCTCATCCTCAACACTCGCTGTGCCGAGATATTATATGACACAATCTTCATCCGCCGGTAGCACACGTCTCAACTCGGGTGCAGATCCATCTGCGTCCTTAACCATCGGACCATTGGCTCCCACTCCCTCATCAATCGGGAAACCCAACAACCACATGCCTTGCCCATCGTTTTCTCCCCCACAACCCTATAGAGCCCCTCCAGAAGTCCCTGAGCTCCCCAACGAACGTGAATACCCCAGGTCCCTCGGACGCTTCATCAAACTACTCGACTCGTTGCTGCAAGAATCGTCACCTGGACCCAATCTTAAGTTCATGTGGTATCGACCCGACGCAGGGGGTCTTAGCATGGGCCGATAGACTGCACGTCGAACTCAAGAGGTGCACATCAAAGCTATGTATGACCAGCTGGAGGCGCTTTGGCGACGCATGGGTGTGGACGAGGAGGCTATGTATGATTTTGTCGCGGCGAATCGCAGGACGACGCCTTCTGTGGTTCAAGCGTATGAAGAAGAACTGGAGCGCATGATTGACTTGAAGCACGAGAGAATGTGCGAGTTTATCGCTAATGTTCGCACAGAAATTGAGAGCCTGTGGGAGGAGCTCCTGGTAGAAGAAGAATGAGCGGAATGATTTTGCGGCGTTTGCTGATGGTGAGTTTGTTTCTGCCACCCTCTTCGTGGAGTTTTCATTGAGTGGATGTCATAGATGAACATACAGAAGATTTACTGAGCCAGCACGAGCATGACATCGCCCGCCTGAAAGCGGCAGTGCGGCTCAAGATGCCACTGCTGACATCGATCAAGAAGTACGTGGAAATTTGTGAGGAACAAAGGGAGCCAGCGATCAGACGCGCCTTCTAGGAAGGGATGGGGGACGAGATCCCGGCAGATTGCTCCGGGAAAAGAAGATGCGAAAGAGGGTTGAGAAAGAGAAGCCCAAGGTTTGTCAATTACTATTCATACTCTCAACCTTCCGTCTAATTGTTTTCCGAACAGCTTGAGCAATAACTACTGTCATCGCTGCCTACATGGGAGCAAACGCACGGACGAGCTTTGCTCGTGCATGGTGAAACCATGCTATACTCCAGCTGTTGATGGAGAATGCATCGGCGAACGAACAGGAGAACCGCAAAGAACGCCTACTTCTCAACTCGAACTTCTTCTCAGCTTCACAAATCACACTTTCTCTTTCAGATGGGCGTGCTCATGCTCATTCAGTAAGCCATCTGCATCTGTGGTATATCAAATTAAATATGCACGAAGACCACAAACTGCATCGGCAACCGCCGCAAAGCTATTCCGTTCATAGTCTCCAATAGTGGGGTCCTCACCGACCTGTTGATTTCTGTGCAAGCACAAGTTGATCGCACGTTCTAGGTCCTCTTCATACCCTTGGATCACTACTGCCGTTTTCCTGCAATTTGCAAAATTAGTTATTGGCTCGCCCACCCAGAGGTAACCGACGATCCTCGAGATGATCAAGTGTATAATTCATGCTACTTTATGGTCTTGTTCAGTTCCTAGTGGATTGTATCGCCCAAATTCGAATCTCCAGCGTTGGTTCGCCACAGCAGGGACTTAGGATGTATGCAACGAGCCTTGTGGCGATGAGTCGAGTAGGTCGGTGGATGGTCCGAGACCTAAGGTATTCATGTTCGTTGGGGGTTTCAGTGTGTCTGGAAGACAGGAAGATGGAAGAAACATGCAAATATCGGCTCTCCCGAACGATAGGAGTAGAATTGACGATCTATTAGTCGAGGATACGAATGGATTTGGCTTCGAGCTGAGACATGCAGAAGAAGATTATAGACTGGAATGGCGCGTGTTTCAGACAAAGTAGCAGCCGATGATGTGACATTTGCCAAATGGGGAGGGTCGATGCATAGTTCCGATTGGAGCTAGTCGATCTGAGGGTTAAGCTGTTCGACTGTGAACGTGCACGTATGTCGAGAAGGCCAGACTGCTCACCGCGTCACGTTTTCCTCGTACAAGCTCCCTTTTGGGTTTGGTACACGTTCAAGCATAACATCTCGTGGCGTCGTAGGTTCCTCATCAGTGTTAATATGCCCGGCTAGACGAAATGGGAACCCAGATAACGTGCAAGGGCATTGAGACGATCGTCTGAGCGTCCCGAGCTCTGTATGGTAGATCTAATGATCAATCATGTGCGTATAGACTCAGATGACCCAACTGACCTGTCTTGGGTTCTCGTGGTATACAGTAATTGGCACTTTCACGCCATCTTGATAGGACTTTCTCAATGTCGGGAACGCGGAGCCATCTGATTCCAGTCAACAACTTGTATTCGTGCCCAGTGCTCTAGAACAACAGCTACAACACAATTTTACTATGACATCCCCCTCTCCAATCGTCCACTCCTTTCCTCGCAACTATTTGAGACCCGAAGCTGTATTGCAGGTATGAGGTATAAGAGTTCGTCCTCCTTGTCGGTTTGTGGCGAGCCGAGCTAAGTGTCGTCAAGACATGGCGTCCACCGACAAGCGCTCTGGCGACACCATCATGTACCCAGGCGAACAGGGAGAAAGAACTTGATGTTATGACTCGAAGGAGCTGAAAGAGGAGAGGTATTGCGAAGGAGAAACGGTAACCTTTATAAAACTGGTTACTGGGCGAATGTAACCATGACTAATTCAATCAGCCTGCGTTAACTAAGAAGGTGACATTGTCTTCTTTAGTAGACGAGCTATGAGAAGGGAGAGTGCAAAGGCGGGAACCAGAGGACCTCATGGGGGAGTTGCAGGCTGGAGACGTATTTGACTGGGCTTCCGAAGTACGCGTTCAAAATTTATTAATCACGTGCAGCTGTCAACACCGCGTGAAGTCACTTCAAGTTCAAAGAACACTCTCTAAAATTACTCGACCTTGATTTAGGTCGTGAAATTTGAAAACTCAGCGCCAACTATATGTACATATGGTACTTGTAGATGCATAACCAGCTACTGGAAAGCTACGCTAGATTAGCTTCCCCCACCCACCACATTTGCCACTTCCACCTCGCACGAGGTGCGGCAGCTCTCACCAAAGTGTTCACTGCCTGACACCTATGACCTCACAGACCTTACAGACGTTTAAACCCAACATTACACAGAGCACAAGTGTTCTTGGGCCTTGATCCTATCAGCGCACGAATGTCAAGCCCGTCGCCTCATACGCATGAATCGAGGCTCCAATGACACCAACTATCGGTTCCTGTAAGTTCATATCCCTGTATTACTGGTAAAATCAAGTTAATCAATATGTCATGTTGATGTCCCGTATTAAGTTCACCCAGTATTTGATCCGCCGGCCCTATCGTGTCCTAACTATTCCTGGGACAGCCTTCATGGAACTACATGCATTCTATATCCACCGCCTTGTCTCCCTAAATATTCGCAGCTGTTGACGACATACCTTACATCGATTGCAGGCAATCTGACTCCATCCCGGACTACAGCAACATGGACAAGCTCTTCCGCTGAGCGGCGGACGCACCACATAAAGCAACTAACATACCGATATCGATGCACCTGGTTGCACATGGCTTGAGGGACAGAATATGGAGACCGTGTAGGCCTTTAGGTTATCCATGCGAGCACAAAAAAGCGTTACTCAAGGCTGCGAGAGGACTACTGGACATCATCGGGTGATTTTGATTGTGAGTTCTTGCATTGTTCTCTCGAAGACAGATCACTCACCGATATTATGCCGGACACTCACTGTTGTATCTCGAATCATCTTAGAGCGTTCCATCCTCTTTCACTGTTGCGGTGCTGCACTGGGCAACGAAAGCAGTTATCTCGACCCCAACCACGACTCCAACTTTTGCATTTCCGCTTCTATCCTGTACCTGCGACTTTGACTGTTCATGCTCGGGAATGAAACGAGACTAGGTATTGATCTAAGATGTAGGTTTATTATATGTGATCGCAGAGACTTACTAGCTTTGACACCATCAAGTTTGTGGATACGTGTACACGTAACCATACCGACTGCCATGCTCAGTACTGTACCATCATTTGCATGAATACTAGTATGACATGGGCGACGTGTGCGTCTAGGTGATATCATGGGCATGCTTGATGTACACGACAATTATTGGTATCCACCAAAAGGTACGCTGGTGACACCCAATATCAAAGCGATTCGGAGCAGCGGAGGAAAGACTTACCATCATGATCTAGGCAGGGCGTGAACCAGAGGACTGGCTCCAGGGCAGTCTGGTCCCTCAGATACTGTGATAACGTGGCGTGACATGCGCGTCTAATGATGTGAAGTCTTTCCCAAATCTGCCTCGAGTTCCTGCCAAAGTTGAGAAGATGAAACATATCGATATGATAGACGCCCGGTAGGCTATGCGGTTATGCCGTGCAGTTTCTCACCCTCCACCCTTGCTCTACTTTAAGGTTGGCAAAGGCGCTAGTTTGGTGGCTAAAACTCACTGAGATTTGAATCCACCACACGATCTCGGGCGATGTCCTCCAAAAATCCGAAGGCTAGAAGAACAAGGCAACTAAAGGCAAGAATGCAGATATCCACGTTTCACCGCTGTGTATCTGATCTAACATAGAATGGCCCACATACTAACAAACCATCTCCTGAAGATAAGCAGTCCCAGGACGACAATGTGGTCCAGCTGCTAGGTGCCACTATATCAGCCATCAACGCTACCAAAGAACTTGTGCCTATCAATCTGGCAAAAGGCATCCTTGGAACGATTGCGAACATTTTGACTGTTGCGCAGGTGTGTTGGCCTGACTCTCACAAAGATTGGTGAAGACCTACGTTTATACAGTCGGTGATCAAGAACAAATCCGATTTCCTGGGGATAATCAAGAAATGCGCAACTATCCGGAATGTCCTTGAAAGAGCGACCAAGGATGCTACTGAAGACGATCTGCAAGGATCTTTGGGAAATGCCTTATCAGAGCTTGAAATGTGAGTGCGAGCCACATTGATTTCACTGTCGCTGGAAACTGATGACACCATGTAGATCAGTGGACCGCATCAATAGCGAAGTAGCTTCGAAGACGAAGCACAGATTTTTCCACAGGGTCTTCTCTATCACAATTGACCGCGACCAGATCGCTGAATGGGAAAAGGATTTAGATCGCTTAGTGGCACTCTTCAACGTACGTCTTGATAACTTCATCTCAAATTCTGCTACTGAATGATGTCTCAAGTTTGAAGCAATCGTGGGCATCTCGATTGACATGAAGAAATTGACTTCGGAACTCAAGGGAAATGCCCCTGCTATCAATGTTCCACAGTAAGTTTTTATTTTGGTAGGTTGTCCATGTCCTCTGAACACAACTAGGTATCACCCAATAGAGCCTCCGTCACGACCTTCCATGTTTTATGGCCGTAATAGTCTCGTAGCGGAGTTGACGAATCTTGTCATCAACTTGAACGATGAACATCTTGCGTTAATCGGTCCAGGAGGCATCGGAAAGAGTTCTCTTACCAAAGCTATCCTTCACGAGCCAGTTATCATGGAAAAATTTGCCGACAGACGCTACTTCGTGACCTATGACGGCCTGGATCCTTTGACCATCACTTTTCAAACCTTTATGTCTCGTTTTTCTGGAGCCCTTGGCATGGAGCTTGCTGGTGCTGATCCTGTCCGCCAAATAACCTCCTTTCTTCGTTCCGCTAGTGCCCTCGTCGTTCTCGATAATGCTGAGACCTTTGAAGAGGCCGGTGGGTCTTCGGCGCTCAGGGAAATACCATCAGCTATTGCTGAAATTGCAGACGTCCCCGGTGTCACTCTGATTCTCACGTCACGTAGTAGAAGGAATGCGCCCAACGTGCAGTGGATAATGAAGGACATTCCACCATTGGATTCGAGCTCTGCTCTGAAGGCTTTCTTTCGAATTTACCGTCCAGCCAGTCGTGAAAACGCGGAGGAAGGAATAGCAAATGTACTTCAGGACTTAGAATATCACCCGCTTTCCATCAATCTACTCGCAAATGCTGCACAGCAAAATGGTTGGTCTCCGGCCATACTGCTGGAGAGATGGAAGGATCGACACAGTGCGGTACTAGACCATGGCGAGGGAAAGCTCCAAAGCTTATCATACACCATGCAGCTGTCGCTCAGCTCGCCGTCAATCCAGAAACTCGGAGAGGAGGCTCGGCATGCTTTGGCTGTCATCGCATTCTTGCCCCAGGGTCTCAATGAGGCCCTGTCCAAGCGCATTTTGCCATCTACCCTGCAGATCGACAACATATGTGATGTTTTATGGAGGCAATCTCTCGTTTATCGTCAAGACGGCTTCGTCAAAATGCTCGCACCCATTCGACATTATGTGCGAGATTCGTTGCCACCACCTGACTCCACATGTTTGGAAGAGATACGCACCTTCTACTATTGACGCTGTCCAACAGTGTTCGGAAGAACGAGATGACTATGCTGATATCATTATCTCGGATCACCTCAACATCGAGCATGTCGTTGCTTTTCGACCTCGCCCACATCCCTGAGGAGACTTATCGCGCTTGCTGGGAATTTCTGGATCGCTTAGAGCGGCATCTTCCTCGCCCAACTACCCTTACCCCCGCTATTTTAAACATCGTCGAGAACTCCTCCACGTGAATGGCCCAAAGCAAACTGCTTGTGGTATCTCGGCTGGCTCTACATCACTCTTTCTCAGCACACAGAATCCATGAAGGCCTTCAAAGCTGCTGAGGCACTCTATCTTACCGCCGGCTACCACGAAATGGCGGCCGAATGTATTGCTGAATGTGCGGACATATACTGATGTCAAGGCCGCTTCGTTCAATCCCAACAGGTTCTAGAAGACTTTCAACGCTCCGAGTTGTGGGAGCATCTCAGTGAACCAACGAAAGCCGAAGTTTGGTATTTCTTGGATGGGGCCCGGAGGTACACCTTTGCAACATCTGCGGACGAATTATTTGTGAAGTCCATGGAAGATCGCATCTGGGGCTTGCAGTCCAAGATTTGGCACTGGCGGGCCAAAATCTCCTACGGGGAAGACATTGACCAGGCGAACACGCGCTTAGAAGACCTTCTTCTACAATGCCCAAGTACTGGGAATCTCTTCCCCCGCAGAAACGCACTGGAGGGGCTTGCAGAGGTAGCAATTTACGAGGGCAGGTTATCCGAAGCCATGGATATTCTACAGAAAATTGTCGAGATGTTCAAGGGAGACCTTTCGCACGAGGTCTTGTGGTATACCGTGTTGAAGGCCGTTGTTGCAAGCAAGCAGGGTGATCATGCCCTTGCGAGGGAGCTCATCTACAAAGCCCCAAATCTCTTCCAATTCTTTGCGCTGCGCACTGCATTCGTGTTTCTCCACAGATCTTATAGCTCGGCATGCATCGAGCTCACTGCAGGCGCATACGACAGGGCCGAGTCCCATTTCATCGCCACCATTGAAGGTTGTGATATCCAAGGACATCTTGATTTCAAGGCATACAGCAAACGAGGACTGGGGGAGATTGCCTTTGTGCATGGTGACTTCGTGTTAGCTGCACGATGCTTCACAGAAGTACGGTCTTTGTGCACTGAGATGGGAGTGCCTCCGCGACATTTGTACAGTTGCGAGCTGTTCTATGTTCTGCCGGACAGATTTAGAGGATGGTCATTATTTTTAGAGGATCAGTCGCCATTTGCAAACATTATGTAGATCATATTCATGTAACAGCTTGTCATTGTATCTTGGACGATCAAACATCCCCCATATGTTTCGTTTCCATAGATATTTGAGGTTCAAGCGATTAACGATATATTTCCTTGCTTTGTCCCAATAATCCGACTGCATCACAGACGAAACGTTACGGAGCCCTCTTTTGTTTGTGGTCAAAGGGCGATCACCCTTTACGAACGTTAATATATAGATGATATACAGTAGGCTGGAAGCTCCAGTTGAACAATAGTATCGCGTACGTCGATCCATATGTACTGCCAAATACTACCCTTGAACCTTTGTAGAGTATGGGACAGCACTAAGTGCGACTCCTACTTCTTGTTGAGCTCCTCTCCCCTTTTATGAAGTTCTTCACGACTCTACAAACAGCTATGAGCAAAGGGTATGGTGTTCGAAATGCATCTTAACAAACCAATGGGGCTTCGAGGCTATTGACGATGTCCTTGTGAGGCACATGTGGGTCTCGAGCGTGGTAGGCGTGAAACTCGGGCTTGCTGGTCAAACCCGCATCACACCTGGGCCGCCCGACCAAGTCTGCCGGCTCATTAGATTTCTAGATCAAATAATCAGCAAAACTATAGCTAGGAAATGAAAGTGAAAGCGACTGCGTACAGCAGGGTGAGGAAGGATGTTAAATTGCTGCTCTTGCTGTCCCTGTCGGTGACTGGGTGAAGTTGTGGTATCTTTCGTTTGTTGAGACATTTGTTACAGGTAATAATTGGATATGGTAGTAGTTGTGAAGAACAAGCGCAGTGCCGCAGCACTTGGGTGCTCCCCTATATACGCACCTGCGGAGCCAATCATACATATGACATCATTCCACACGTGACGATTCAAGCAATCCTGGTTGACATTAACAGTTGAACGTAGAACAAGCAACTCTTTCTGCAGACCGAGTCACTTGAGCAGAGAAAGACAAGAGTAAGTAGAATGCTGAAGTATGTTTTATTGTACAGGACGCATTCCACATCACTTCGACAGCATCATCTTTCGAAAGAAAGGTCAGGTTTCTGAAATTGAAATACTGTGAACGAATACTAACCTTCACAAATTCTGAACCGATGCGACACGATCGACACGTGAGTACAAATAAGTACGATGCAAAAAAGGAGACGAACCATCGTAATTGATCTGGCCATCACCATCGACGTCTGCCTCACGAATCATTTCGTCGACCTCAGCATCAGTCAATTTCTCGCCTAGAAATGGAATTAATTTATAATTGATAGCTGAGCATCACCAGTGACTGACCCAGGTTCGTCATGACATGTCTCAGCTCAGCAGCGTTGATATAGCCGTTCCCGTCCTTATCGAACACTTTAAATGCCTCTTTAATCTCTTCCTCGCTGTCGGTGTCACGCATTTTGCGCGCCATCATTGTAAGGAACTCTGGGAAGTCGATGGTACCGTTCCCATCAGCGTCAACCTCATTGATCATATCCTGCAGCTCTGCTTCGGTAGGATTTTGACCTAGTGAGCGCATCACGGTGCCGAGCTCTTTGGTAGTGATCGTGCCATCGCCATCTACATCGCTTCATATCAGGTGAAGTAATAACTAACACCACGTTGGTCATACCTTTGTCGAACAAAGAGAAAGCTTCCTTGAATTCTATGGCGGGTAAATGAGCGCTGGGATCAGCGACAACAACATCAGCGACGATTTCTCACCAGATATTTGTTCTAGCAAATCGCGCAAGAGCAACAAGGTATGTCAGCACCGATATCATCTTTGGTCTCCCACCAAGAGAGTATTCACACCTTCAGACTGTGGGTCGTTCCCAGATCAATATTAATCAATACCCATCTGAAGCCCACACGTGACATCGCGACTCACCAATTGATCCGCCATATTCTAGAAAATCTCTATAGAAAGCCTTGTTGGCTATAAGGGAATGCAATGATTTGGCAAAGAGGATGACGGGGGTCGATGATTGTCGTTGAGCAGAGCAAAGCACGGCCTTGCATTTGGCCAAAGATCATGTCTTCATCGGCAATCGCCACTGCCAAATCAGGCTAACTATCCCAGAGCCCCACACCAAATATTGTTACAGCCTTGATTTCGCACGCAGCACTGCAGCAGACTGACTAAATAGTACTACTAAAAGATCAAACGATGGGGGAACTGCGAAGCATGCCTAAGAGAGTCGGTCACAACAGTCATGCATGCATATGTGTATTAGGGGGTCGGGAACTCACGACTCCTTTCCAGTTATTTCCGGAGCTTCGTTTACCTACCTGTAAGTGCTTCTCATGGCCTCGCTTTATCGCATAAAGGTAAATCCTAATTATGAATGATGTGTAAGAATGTGATTGAAAATAAGTAGCGATATTAGTCCCAGTCGTCGTCATCCTCGTCCTCTTCATCACTATCACCAAGCCTCTTGTTCCTTTCTAGCAAAGCAGCAGCTAACGCGGCGGTCAGATTGCCGCCTGCGCCACCACCACCAGATTCTTCAGCACCAGATGTGGGAGGAGGAGAGGGTGTTGACTGAGGACCACCTGTCTTCCGTAAATTTGACACACCCTGTCCACGAATGGATGCGAGTAGGTCCGCGCGACCAGGCTGTGGGGAAGTGGGTAATGCCATTGTGCTTCCTTCCCCATTTGAGAGTGGTGGAGGTGGAGGTGGAGGGGAGGCGGCGACGGTGCCGTTCCTGCAGGCGGAGGAGGGGCGGAGGGGGCGGAGGGGGCGGAGGGGGTGGAGGAGCATTCCCAGATGAAGGCTAGCAGAGGCGGCGGCGGCGGCGGCTGGTGGTGGAGGGGGAGGAGGAGGAGGAGGAGGAGGAGGAGGAGGAGGAGGGGGAGGATGCGGATGAGGATGAGGATCCTCCTCATATGGAGGTGGAGGGGGTGGCGAGGCATTGACTGGTGGTCGTGCAGGAGGAGCACTGACTGGTGGTCGTGTAGCAGTAGCACTAACTGGTTGTCGTACAGGAGGCGGAGGCGGGAGAGCAGCACTCGTAGGACGAACTGGCGGTAGAGGTGGTCCTGAAGATCTTACTGGTTGTGGCACGGGTACAGGAGGGGCTCGTTGTGGTGGTTGTGGCGGGGGCGGTGGAGCAGCCCAGGTGGGACGCGGGGGTGCTGCAACAGCGGGAAGAGATGGCGCAGCAGAGACTGGACGTAATGGTGGCGGAGGAGTATGGAGAGCAGGTGCAGAATCGCCATTGACTGATGATGCAACACTATCCTGTTGCGTGTGCCCCCTATTTCTAGGCGCAGGTAAGGGCGGCGGTGACTTCTTCTTGACAGCAGGCTGGGGTCTATTTTGTGCATCACGGAGAAAGTCTTTTATGAAATCCATGTCCTGGTTGATGACCTCGCGACTAACGCCTGAACCCTCCAGCTCGCTCAGAAAGGCGGTCCATGATGGATCAATGTTAGTGGAGTTGAAACCCTTCTCAGGATCATAGCCCATGTGTGCAACATGCACGAAGGAACCAGCGGCTGGACCTGAAATCATAGACTTATCTATTCTACCACCCTTGGCAGATTTCTTCTTCTCTGAGGAGGAAGATTTAACTGAAGTAGAGGTCAAATGTGGTCAACTAGAGCTTCTAAATCACCGTACCTTTCTCTGCTTTACGGGTGTTTACTTTCTTGTAGAAAGTTTGTGCATCTTTCTCATCAGCAAAGACAAAGCCAATCATGCATTTCTTGGGTAGAAGTGAGTAATTTCCTTTGAATTGCAAATGGACACTTACATCGCCCGCGAATGAATGGAAGAACGGCCTGTCCTGGTTATACTCGAACGCTTCATATAGTTCGTGTTCCCATATGACGCCCCTCGTCCCCGTTAAATCAACCAGTCTCAACATGAAGGCGTCTCTGGAGTTATCTCGCGTGAAAGCGAGTGCACCTTGCAAGCCACCATACGACCACTTGTTTGGTTGTGGATGTGCAAAGTAGATACGAGCAGCGGTAGCGGTGATTATCTTTTGCGTGGAATTCTCTAAAGTAGATTTTACTCTAGACTTTTCGTCTGCTGAGAGTGCTGATTGGGAGGGCATCTCGGGCAGAAAGTGAATGCAGGACTTGGCCTTATAATGACCGTCACAATACAAACTGCTGTTCGGCGCAGCGTGGGAATCTATCCTAACACTTTACCCAAGCGTGGCTGCGGCAGGCTGTACGCATGGTATAGCTGCTTTGTTACTGCACTCAAGCTACTCACCGTCTAGGGAAGACTCATGGTCAACCTGGTGGCCGGACACCATCCATGTATGATCAATCGCTTGCTTCATGCATATAATTTCAGGAATCGAGAATCTGGACTTGATCATGTTCAAACTGGCGGCTGCCGTGCCAACGACCATCTTCATTCGTCTGTCTAGGGAAAGACTAATTCGCACCAGTGCATGCTACAGCGCTTAGGTAGCTGTGTGCAGACGTTCCGGTATCTTGACATGCACAGGCCTCAATGTGGTCGCTGAGTGTCTCCTTTAAACTTTGGGCTCCGATTGTCAGACCGTTCAGCTATTGAGGCCTCGGGTTTAATCGGTGAGTCTTTTCTCCGACATGATCGCTCGGCCCTCGCCATCGAGGCTTGTCAATATACGGCGAAAGTGTCAGAAAAAGTGCAGTGAAGCATACCTTCTGTAAGAACAGAAATTTGTGTGCTCAGTGGATTTGGCCGTGCACGCGGTTTACACTATCCTTTTTTTTCGCAGGTTTAAGGACTTCTTCACTGACCGTAGACTTTATACCCTTGTCTACAAAACAGGGAGACGAGTTTCCCAGTCCAGCAACTGACACCCCGCCCCGAAGATTCTAGCAGTGCACCAAAGAGTTTCTGGAAGCTCTCCCTTCGAGCTACGAAGTACGAGCCAACTCAGTGGTTCTCATGCAGTCACACACGATCTCGAGTTGATTTAAAGACAACAGATCCGTCAACGATGATTAAGCTCAATGGCAGCGATCAGCAGACCTGCATATTGGCTGGTTCATCAATTTCCTTTGCGACTTCTTCCATATCTTAGAGCACATCCTCGTTGCCATCAAACTCTGATGTCTACCTCGTATCTTCTACAAATGGTGTGTAGTCTGTTATCTCGTGCTGGTGTCTATAAGGGCTGTCCCAATGATTTGGCAATTTGGAAAATCATATTCGAAGTTCCTATTAATTCTAGCGTCCAGTGTCCACCGTACGTCGTACGTTCACTTCATAGTCTCAGACCCTTGATAAAAGGAAGACGGTCGTTCATGCAATTGAGGAATATTCTCGCGCTGCCGGTGCCGCCTACCAAACGGTAGATTGTCGCAGGCATTCGGAGGGGACTTGAGCATCACAATCACACAAGATGATTATTTGCATGAGTTGGTTCATCGTAAACGCTCAGTGGTTCAACCGTCAACATTCGGATTATTCACACTGGTTCTGGCACACGGAAGGTAAGCGGTCCTGTATCTTGTAAAGCTGGTAATCAACACGATTGCATTATCTAGGGGGTTCTAAACGGACAGACCTTACGGGGAGCTTCGGGGGGGCTTTGTGTCCATCCCGATTCTGTAGAGTTGTCTAAAATGTCCGACGCGAAAATATCAGCACCACCACGCCTTTCACCAGCGAACGGCAACGAGCGGATGACTCAGACAACCCGCTGGTGCGTCCAAGCATGTCATTCTTGGCCTTCCCTTCATCATTGAACCTTAGTGTTAGTGCGATGGTTATCCACCAATATAGGACAAGGTACATCTGCGCAATATGGGTTCCGATTAAGTCCTGGGCCACGGGGCAGATAATGTAGGGCCTTCTCCTGGCACACTGATACACAGCTTCCTGCTAACATTCATTTATAGATAAAGTGAGACTCTGGTGATCGTTATCATCATAACTTGGTAAAGTGACACTGCTCCGACATTGTAACATTCTTCAAAATAATTCTAACTGTCAAATTATATTGCGAAATGTGTCATTTCCATTCGCATGGTCTAAAAAAACCATCAAGCTATATGCCGCGAACGTCATTGAATAAAAATCGACCATGCTACAAACGACGGTGTCAATGCTCAAGGTGCGCAATCGGCCATAATCGAGTATTAAACTAAGTGAATTCGGTCACGACCACATGGTGATCGCATGTAATTCTGGAGATCTACTGCGCACATTACGACCCACCACGTTCGCATGTAAAGTCCACATGGCTGTGGGAAGGTTGTGTGGTGTAAGATAGATATCGAGGAATACATTTTGATACCATGTTTGAAGTAGTAATGGAAAGATCGCAGTGACATGGAGCGTGGGAATCTATACTGTGCGCTTGTACAACTCGAGTCAGGCCTTGCCGCGAACATCAACATTACATGATGGCAGCTCACCGCGACCATATGCCTAGGGAAGACTAGCAATTGTCGACTAGCCTGGTGGTTTGTCACCCGATTCTTCTACGATCAACTACTTGCTTTAGTCACAGAATCTTGCGAATCGATCTAGAGTCTAGGACTGCCTTTGGACCAAGATGCACACCGATCCGGAATTTTAAAGTGATAGCTGCGCATGCTACTGCGCTCAGATGACATCATGTATGTATGCAATTGTTCTGGTATCTCGGCGCACGCAAGTCTCATTCGGTGGCTAAGTGTGTCTTTTAGGCTCCGAAGTCTGACACACCGTTCAGCTCTTGAATCAATCCTGTTTGGCATAGACCAAGGACGAATGGTTCATTTTAGTCGGTGAGTTTGATTTCTAGCATGATTGCTCGGGCCTCTACCATTCACCCTGTCACATTTAAGTCGATGTGCAGCATGAACCTGTCAATATACGACAAAGCAACTGCAGAGAAGCACGCCTGTAGGAGCAATTTTTTATGTTCGGTAGATATCCCGTGTACGCGGTCTTACATCTTGTATTCCTTTTAGTTCTGCACAGATTTTAGGTTTTTTCGGCCCCGAACACGGACATTGGTCTAACTCTTGTCCGAGAAGCAGAAGCAGGAAATGAGTGTTCCGGTGACGTCAACCCCATTCATTCCACCACTCCGTTCCGATCACGTACGCCCACATGGTCTTCTTAAAACAAGGAATGACTTAGGCGATACCCGAATCTAACCCATACTTGGCTTACCATCGGGATGGAACTTTGTTGCGCCAGTCAGCCTGTTCCAGCTTCGCGGAGGTTAGTGCTGTTGGTCGACAGCTGTTAATAGCCGAATCTAACCTTGACCTATTATTTTTATTCGCATATCACGGGAAAAAAAGGTTGTTTCGAGAAGAATATAGACCATACATCAGTGTCGGGCTCATAACCGCAAGTGTCTAATACCTGTCCCGGCTTCCTTGCCGCCATCTCGGCTGCGAATGCCCTAAATGTTTTCCACTAGAACTGACAGTCGAAAAGAAGAGCGGGATTACGTCCAGGTTTAGGTTATTTGTACGTTGTTCGTCAAGTCCAGCTAACCTTTAGAAAACGTTTCGGAGGTCCCGTGGATTAACCACAATAACCGCTTGAGGAATAATCGGGACTTCATGCAATGATTGATGAGCTCCCCAAATCTTTCGATTATGATGCCCTACTCGGAATACAGCATCAACATATCCGCAGTTGACTTAGCGCGCGCTGTGCTACTCCGGAAAGCTCCCCATCAATTGCCAAATCAAGACACCCCACAACCGCACCAGTCATTGATCAGCGCATGACCTTTGCCGTACGGATTGCACAGCCAGCCCCTGATGAGACCCCTTATTTCAGGGACGCGTTGCTCCGCGGAACAAAATAAACGTTCACGGCGGGGAGCCGCCAGGGCGACATTTGAACGTTTGAACCCTGGAACTCTATCTGACCTGTACGATCGGATAATGCGGTCATCATAGCTTACTATGATGTATGTCGCCATCTTCGGCTTTGAGCGTGATCACGAGTATAACATGTGAGCATATTAGAAACGCTGTGCTGGCAAAGGCAAGTAATTACATAAGGCGTATGGATATACATGAAGATGCAAAAAAACAAGATGTGATAGAGCGGGATATACAATCAAACGAAATTTAATAACCCTGCAATATCAATCAATTACAAGCTGACTGGGGCAAGAATTTGAGAAGGTCCGTGAAAGTCATTGCCACCTCAGTCTTGGCGGCGCGTATGGTACAGTCCGAGTCTGGTCGTCAAAATTGTTCTCGAATGTTATCTAGCGAAGTCCTGTATGTCGTGGGAGTGTACGAATCGTTATCATAACCTGTTGGTGTTCTTGCGCTTGGACAGCATGGATCGCGAAGCGGTGAGACAGGCGGCACCTGCCAACACGACGACCTTAAAAGGGGTAATGGAGTTTGAGCGGCTTGATCAAGGGACTCCGGCAACGAGGGCTTACAGAAGCAAAGACAAGTGGTCTGTACCAGATGTAAGAGCCATCGACTAGCGCTAATGCACCAGCGATAGGATTGCCCGTGAGGAGTGCAAAGGCAATGACAAAGGAAGTTATGCCTATGCGAGTGCTATACATTGTGAATCTGTCAGGTTAAGGTCTCATAAAAATAACATTAATACTTGCCCAATTTCATTGAGGTCTCTCGAAAACGATGCGGCAGCGGGAGTGATGAGGGATATGACTGGAAGCAAAGTCAGTTGACATTTAATTTTACTAGAAATGAACGTGACGTACAACCGCCAGAGAAGAAACCGTACAAGATACCAAAAGCAATGGTACCGCCAAGGTTTGTGGCCGCGAACATGAGGTAAATTAACCCTCCAGATATGACAGTGCATGGGATCATCACTGCACACCGCCAGTTGTGAGTTCATCGGTGCGGTACCGATAGATGATTCTACATACCATTAAATGGCCCAATGACGTCGCCTAAAAAGTTCGGGATCGTCCTTCCGAATATTGAAGCAGCGTTCATTATGGGAATCTGAGCCACGTTTAGTACTTGATTCAGTTCATTGCTGAACGCTATTTACCGCGTAAAAACCAATGTTCTTCGACAGTCCGTGATCCTCTGAAAAGACTTGGAGGTAGAAGACTATGATAATACAGTGAGCCATGCAGTAAAAAAACATTTCCTATGACTTACATGGAACAAACAGGCCCCAGAATGTCAATGTAGCACTAATTGAAGATGTCAGCTCCTAGTTTGATAAAATTTTAATGACACAGACCCAATAACACATAGCCAGAACCCAACGTCGGACAGTATTGGTTTAATATCAACAGGTTTCGCATTCGGACGCTCTCTCCGACTGGGTAAACGAGTTTTCATGAGCAAGTTTGCGGTTACAAGGAGTCCAAGATCGATGAAACCAGCAGCCCTATGGTACCCAGTTAACGTCAATTTGATTGACATGTTGCATTTCACGCACCTCACTCCCCACCCAAACCCAGCACTGCCATTGAACAAATTATTAAGCATGATGGAATAGATGACGGCACCGAGCGATGAGCCTGGAGGGAGGTCGGCGCAATGTAAGTGAAATAGGTTAAAGACTTACCAGCCAAAACTACACCCATGGCGGCAGCACGTCGCCGCCGGAAATAATGAGAAGTGACGGATATTGCCGGAAGGAAAAGTAGCCCCATTCCAATGCCCATTCCAATACCTTGTGCCAAGAATATTTGATAGTACTGATGGGGTTTGGCGAGCGATAGCATGAATATCCTGAAGATACGTTGACACGGGAGGTTTGAAGATGGTGATCAGAACTTACGAGAACAGGTAAATGAGCGACCCTGCTCCTATGCAGTGGTGGAAGTACCTGCTCAGAGGGAATGGTTAGATGTCAGATGAGAACAGAAACGAAGACTCCAACCCTTCATCAAATAGCTTTCCAGCGGGTAAACCTCCAGCGAACAGTAAGAAGGTCTGCACTGAACCAATCCAACTGATTTCACTCGCGACATATTCTGACAGGTAATGCGACTAAAGACGGACAGGTATGTAAGTGGTGAACTGCGTGCAGACTGGGAGAAATGGTTACAGAGTAGTATGCCTGGTATACACCAAAAGACTGCACCGCGCCGAAGGTGCAAAAAAGTACCATAGACCTGAATAAACACGGAAGGCACGCGGAAGCCGCATGTGAAAAGGTGATCTGACGATGTGATGTGGACTTGGGACATACCCGCCAAGAACTGTTAGCCACGCTTTGAGGCCACCTTCGGGAAAGGGAGGTGGACCTGAAGATTGAGGGGGTTTTTCGACATGAGCAGAGGCGGCAAGTTCAGCATCACCACTAGAGTTATCGCTCTTTGTGAGTGCGAGGTTGGACTTGCTGTCGATCAGAGTTGTTCCGCCATCAGGAGTTGTAGCTGACATGGTTGGTACTGGAGGAAAGGGACGAAAGAACTGCTGTGGGAGATCATGAGGATTTCAAGTTCTTTAGGTGTTAGTCCAGATCCTTGGTGCTTCTTCTCTTCGGGCATGGTTGAATTGACACGAGGCTGCATCAGCAAGAATCCCCAGATCTGGTTGATTGTCAAGACGAAAATTCTTGAAATCTGGAGATTCAAGGCCACCGCTAGCGCCCCGATGGTGATATATTAAGAACGTGTTATCTTCGTTCTCAAAGATCTCACCGTAAGAGTACTATGAGCGCTAAGATCTGGCTAGTACGAGTCGTTTAACGTACCTTGACGTAGGGGTACCCTTACATACGCATCCATCTCCGCCCTTTCGATTTCGTTATTGTTTTATTTAATCGTTTTAATAATCGAGTCCTTGTGATATATATATATATCCGTTCCTCGCAGTAACGGAGGCCGGACTGCGCCGGCGATGATGATCAACACATGATTCTCCTGGGCCGGCATCGCCTGCAAATCACCCTCGCATGCCCTTCGTGGTTACAAAGCATAAATTTAAAATATTTTCTATGTATTCTCCGGTCCGTAGATGAAGTTTAGCATGCACTAACCAAGTTATTTACTAAAGAGCTAGACTCAATGTGTGCGAAAATCCAGCACTTAACCAGAACAAGGCCTCAACAGAGCCGAGATAAAAAAAAAACATAGACCCGATCTGTGACCGAAACACTCGAGCCCTTCCGTGCAGTTCCGTCCAGCCTCAATTCGCTGGGAAGACGCCGAATAAGCGATGTGACCGACTCAGACCAACTCTACAATGTGTTAAATGCCGGTTTCAGACTAGCACGGACCTGCATTTGGAGCGAGAAGACTGACATCAAAGCGAAGTAATACATTACCGAGAGTTCTGGGTTGTAGCCATATCTTAACAAGTCTCACTGGTGTGCTACCGATGATGCGCCATAACACCTTTTCTGTAACAGTTCAGCGGGCTAAGCTACATTGTCCCGTGGTGAGAGTAGTCAAAGAGAACATCGTGCTCACTTGGGAAAACTCGTATGATTAGCTAATCACTTTCCTCGAACAATCTGATCTCTATGATTTTCACCATGAGTTTGCCGCTTCGTGTGGCTTTTGACACCAGGAGGTCCATTTACTGTCAGACAATAACTTTTTAACCGCAAGCGTTGCTAAAATCAATGTCCATCCACCAAATGCCTCAGATTCGCAAGCTGACTCAAATGTTCTGGTGCTGTACTTCGTGTCGCTGACTCTCGGCGATCTCAGTTACGCAAGGGGCTGTTCCCAGATAATAATGGTTCCATTTCATCCTTGTGTGAGTACTAACGCGATATTTCTATTTCTCTCACTCAAGCATCGCCATTTTATACACCTTACTCTTTTCATAGCGGCAGAGCCTTGGCAGCTACCAAAACTTGTCCCGAGTCGAAAACCGTACCGACTTATGCCAAACATCGGCCAAATTGCTTCCTATCGGAAGAATCTGAACTCATGGCCTAAATCCGTGTGTATCTTGGTTCCTGACACTTAGACTCTCTTTCTATCCTCATGTCATACACAAACATGTTAATTTCCTACGATGTTATCCCCTGATTCTCAATCCGGTAGTTCGGTTGTGATGTTATTGATATCATTTGACAGAATCGTTTACTTGGGTCCACGTTTTCAGAGCCCGGAGGTGTTGTTTCGAATTGGTTAGTACCCACCCGACTTGACCTGATGATATGATCGACAAACTCTATAAAAAGCCGGCAAGATAGTCGGAATAACACGCTGTATCCTCCCCGTCAGTCTCGTGGAACATGGCTCATCATCTCCCTCATCATCCCCTCTTCACCACTCGTCTCGAGTTTCTTCCCACCGATGAGCGTGTGTCCCTGTCGTACAAACGGGCGAGACTTCTCATGCAAACCTACAGTACGTTGACCTCTTCATCCTCAAACACCATGACGCAGATACATGTCCCTTCAATCTAGATCTATCGGCTTCTGATGTTCAAGTCTGTTCTCCAAAGTATTGGGCCATGATGACAGACCCTATCATGTCTCTGGATACTGCCATGTTTACCATACTGGCGGCTCACGTCGGTCTTACCATTGGAACACTTTCCCGGCATCTTCACAGACGGCCAGACCTCCGCCCTCTGGTCAACCGTCTGTTGCGTTTTGACACTGTTGGTATCTATCTCCTCACTGAGAGGGGTCATGGTCTGGATGCATTCAACATCGAGACAACAGCAACGAAGACCCCTGAGGGCTTCATTATTAATACACCTCGCGAGGAGGCATGCAAGTACGTACCTTTTCTTAAGCATGTGCAGCCTTGTAATGAATTACAAATAGATTCATGCCTGCTTCCACCCCATCCTTCGGCATTCCGAAGGTCGCTTTGGTCATGGCTAGGCTCATGGTCGACGGCGAAGACCGTGGTCCGCGATTCTTCATCGTGCCCGTCTGCAACGAGCACGAAATGTTCGAAGGTGTCGAGTCGATCAGACTTGGTGCTCGTCCCGGAACTTGCCCTCTCGATTTCTCTATAACCAGTTTCAAACAAGTCCATGTCCCATTCAGTGCACTCGTGTCGTCAAACATCTATGACCATTCCCTGCCAGCCTCACCTCTGGAGAAGTGGTGGGATGAAGTATGGCGCATCCCTCTCGGAACTCTAGCTGTTACGGGGCCCTGGATATCTTCCATCAAGGCAGCTGCGTTCATTGCCGGTCGCTATTCTATGCATCGGTCTCTCGTGGGGAAAGGGACTGATCCCATACCCATTATCACATTCAGGACTCAACAGTGGCCCATCGCTCAGGCAACTGCCGTCGGCCTCGTTATGAGCAATTGGTTTCCAATTGTGGCCAAGAATAATGGTGACAAATTTCTGGATCATCGTGTTAGACATGGCATCGCAGTCATCATTAAAACCACTGTCTGTCGACACTTCCAGCGCTGCGTGCCCGAGGTTGCTGAAAGATGCGGTGCGCAAGGCACCTTCGAGCACAATTATATGGCTCGCATTGAGGTTCGTACGCATTTAATCTAACGATGCTTGACTGACGTATCGTATATTCATTCAGAATGACGGGAAAGGCGTGATCATCGCTGAGGGCGATATTCTCACTTTATGTATACGCCTATTCTCCGAGCTCCTCCTCCAGCGGTACAAGATACCTCTTCCAGACCCAAGCGAGTCGCTTCTCGCTCGGCACGCAACTTCTATATTAGAGGAGAATATCAGCCTTCTTGGCAGCTTGCGCGGGGGGCACCGTAGCGAGTCATTCAACTCTCTCATTCTCCCTCAGGCGGAGCTTGCGGTTGAAGCCATGGGTCACGCGCTTGCTTATTCCGCCGGTTTGAAATCTGGTCTTCCGAAGCCAATCCTTGATGTGTACGAATGTGCCGTCATCCGCCGCGATCCAGCCTGGTATTCCGAGAATGCTGGGTTAACCCGAATTCTGCAACGCATTCGTGAAGATGAGGCTGTTACATCTACCCTTCCCCATCTCGATACTTACCTCAACGATTTGGCTATTGAGGAGTACGTCTCTGCGCCTATCGTTTCTGATGAGGCGTGGAAGGAGTACCACAATGCGATGCCCGTTTTCACTGGTAACGCTATTCCCATCCATGACCAGGTACAGGCCATGTTATAGGCTGTTCTATCGTGAGTGTTAATCTTGGTCTCTCTAAACTCCGCAGCTCACATCGTATCCTTCTCTCGCAGTTGAGACCGCTCTTCTTTTTCTGACGTTCTTTGTAGAGAACCCTTGAAGCTTCCGGAAGTTATCCATACGCTATTTTTGAAATTCCCGGAGATTCATCTCAGCGCGCACTCCCTCGGATATCGGTGATGACCATGCATAGTGTAATATCAACTAGCTAGTACTGTGATTTTCTTTTATTTTTCTGTATGTTTGTTGTAATTGATAGTACCACGAGCTTCTGCGGACTGTATGTACTTAATGACTGGCATGTTTGCTTTTATCTATATGTTTGTATAAATTGGTTGTAATTCCGAGAAATGACTATTTTCAGCATCTGCATTATACATCTATTCCGCCAAACTCCACGTGTGAGATCAAGCTTGCGTATGGATAACCTTGAGAGTTGGATTCTTATTGGAGCACCGGAGAGTGCTTCTTGAACGACTCTGAAACGCAAGTTTGAAGATCAGCATCACGGTCTCTGAGAGATCCAATAGGCACGAGTGAGTTAGTCAAACGCATACCCTCGAAAGAACCCGAAGGGAAAATACATATACTATCAATACAAGAGACCCAATTCTATTTCAAAGATGCTTACTCGCAAGGTTATGTGGTTACGTACGCATGCACCATCATGATTTCAAATTGCGGTACACTCTGATCACCGTCGCACGTATGACCATCGGGTATGATTACATCGTGGGTGATAGGCTTATGTTCATAGCATTCAGACGTTTGTGTGAACGTCTCTCACTCACTCATGACTAGAATTTCCCATCTTCAAGGGGGCGCAATCATGGAGCTGCATTTGGGTTCGCTGGCACAGAAAATTTTGGAAGAGATGGTTTTGGCTCAACTCTATTGCCCAGTGTGTTGCGGCTATGATCGAGCTGATAGGGTGGTACACATCCCGGCTATCGCCCCGACTTCCCTTTTCCTGTCGTACGAGCTAGAAGAACAAAACTAAATTGCGTCGAATCGCTTTAAGTATGGGCAAAGGTCTGATCGTCACCTGTTCGGGTCCGGCGGTCGATGACTTTAGAGAGGGACCCAAGGTGGCGGGTGCGGCGAGTCGGACATATTGGCGGGTAGCTTTGCATTTAATTAGATAACATACGGTCTAACGTGCAATCAACATCGAAAGCGGATGATTGTCGAACTTATCGTATACGGGCCGAGCGAACCCCAGGGTGATATCGAACCATCAGACTTCGTGCTCAAGACTAGTTCGATTGGGGATCAGTTAGTAACGGCGCAAGATGCAATCACTCTTCAGCCAACTCAGGCGTAATACCAAACTGTTGTAACTGAGTTTCAACGTCATGCAGAGAACAAAGAAAATACCTGATATAACACAAATGCTACAGCTGCAAACACAATCAAGAACCGTGCTTGCCTTCGTGGAATGTTTCGAAGAACTGCCTGACGTCAGCTTCACCAACTATTCTGCCTTCCTGAGCGAACGGCCGGAGATATGCAAGTAGGTCATCCCTGTGAAAATGCGCGATGAAGATTCATCAGAGGTATCTGATGGAAATGCTAACCGCATATCATTGAAAGCTCGGATCCCATCAATCGCCCTATCACGAGGAAGGCGCTCCAATGCGCGCATACCGAGTTCCTCCAAAGAAAGAGCTGTCATCAATTGTTTGTGTTAGCATGCGGCCGCTTCAGATAAGAGCCAAGTGCACCAGAATCAGGATCTTCCGGGGGTTCGTAAGTTTCTTCTTCCTCAAGGAGATATGGACGATCGCTGAGAGATGGAAAACACTATAATTCGCCGATGAACGGAAACGTAAGAAAGCGTGCGTATGGGAAGCTCACACGACTGCAACGACACCACCGTTCGCGCCAACCTTCAGTCAAGAAAACGTCACCCTCAGTTAGGGATACTTTTATATCTGACGGTTGCTGTGAACTCTGTAACATTGCTTGTGCAACCGAATTTGGTGCTGGGGCAAGACAAGGCGAGGATGGCTCTGGCGAAATATGTTGTTTTTTCCGCTCTGGTTCCTCTGAGTGAAAAGAATGCGACCGGCTTCGTTTTTGCCCAGAGGCCGTCAAGGAATCATCTATATCTAGTAGATCATCTTCCGCGGTTGTCGGCGCATCCGCGCATAAGGGGTTATTGCCCAGTTTCCTCCATGGGCTATCTTCTGTGTCACGAACCACCATTATGGTACCCTGTGTACCAGCATACCGGCGAAGGGTGTCAATCGAGTGAACGCACGAGGAGCAGACGAATGCATCGTAGTCCTCAGCAGATATGAGCGGCAAAGGCAGCCCTGAAGAGGAGGCTTCAGAATGGTTGTCTTCGGCATCATGGCCGTGGTCTGTGATTTCATGTTCAGGTACAGGGGACGATTCCCGGGAGGATGGTCGTGGCCGTAAATGTAGACACGACTCGTGGAACCAGTCCTTTGGAAACAACGTATATCAATGACAAACGACATAACTTTATTGCACGCGTACGTACCTCGCACGCGAGACACTGGATCATAGTTTCCCTCTCGCATTTTGGATCGTATGGTCGGCCACATCGACAAAAATTGCCCCTAAAATTCTGGTCGTATGAATTTTCCCTGTTTTCCTCCTCTAGACTGCGATGCAGAGTGCACCCGTGTGGGATAGCCGTTGTTGGGCAATCACATCGGAAATTGCGCTTGGGGAATAATTCTATTTGCTCGTGATCCGTGTGGCACGCGATGGAGCACGAAGAACACAGGCCACGGGGCAACTGGCAAGTAAGGCAAAGGTACACGGCTTGCCTGATTGGACCCAGGGAGTACGTGCAGCGAGAGAATTCGTGAGGAAGAGTCAAAGCTGCTTCTCGAAGAAGTTCATCTTGAGAGGCAACAAATTCCGTCAGAGAACTCAAAGAAGCCATTTTCAGACTTTGTGTTCATGAAGTAGGTTTGTATGGCACTTGTAGGACCTGGTAAGTACTACTTACCCAGGCAGGAGATGGTCGCAGGGTCGCCGCAAAGACGAGAGCGTCTTTGGCGTTCATTCAAAAATTAAAATTAAATAAATTATGTAAATGAAATTAATTCGAGCAGGGGAGAATTAACTACCACAACCCTTTGAGTTTCAAGCATCAAAACCTTGCGCATCGCGATATTGCGCGGAATAGTATCGCGGTGCGAAAATTTGCGTGTGTCATTGTAAAAATTCCTCAGGGCCCCGTATCTGGTCTCATGCAATGTCTATTTCAATTTTTCCACAGTCGAACAAACTAACAGGGTGTAAAAGTAGATATCTACTGTACCTAGACCTGCAGTGCTAAGACATCTAGATTCCTTGGTAAGAATCATGGTACTTTCTGAAGTCCGAAGAAAATGGTCAGTGAGTGCATTCAGAGGTTAATGAGAGATTCACAAATTAGCGTGTTTCACCCTTGTAACGGTATAACCTATCAAAATGGTGGGTTGATACGCCGCGGCACACATGTCCTTGGCGCTATCATCAACACCGTACTAGGGAATAGGTCAGTAATTATTTTTACAAGGAGATATTGATAAAGAGGGTGTTGTAACGACCCTGCCGGTTGTGAGTGAAAATTTTGACACGACCGCCGCGTTGAATGTCGAGAACGACAAATGAGAGTTGTTCGAAAGTCTGCAAATGAGGACATTAGTGATGAAATGAGCAAGGGAACATACACATCGAAACCGATGACCGACCCATATTTGCTCTCCGCTGTCACAGCGGAGAGCAAAACAAACAGAGAGGAAGCCACGCACCATGACTTGGCGTGGTATTGTAGCCAGCCATTTGCATCGGGAGAAGCTTGGTCAACTTCGTCTCGCTGCAAGTAGATTCGAAGAGGGTGCGGAGATGTGCAAGAAGATGCAGGGACGTTGTGTTAGGGACGGCGGAGGTGTCAGAGGGTGAGGTAAAGTCCGACAAGGCTAAAAAATTGTGAGAAGTGCTGGGGCGAGCTGCAAGCAGAGAGAATACATGAATCTGCAACAAAGCAGGAAGTGTGGAATCACTCACCAAAATTTCGGCGGAGCACACTCCCGAATAATATAGCTTGCAAGATGGAGTTGCAAGTTCAAATCTTCGAATGAAGATTGTTGTGACCATCCGTAAAGCAGGTACTAGGGGATGACAAAAATCTGTTAGAACACTTCAAATCAATGTATTTACTTACTGAAAAAGACCTGGCAATCTTTAGAAACACATGAGAGTCGGACTGAAGACTACAATGAGGCTTGAAGCTTGAAGCTTGAAGTCGGAGTCATGTGTGTCGTCGACGGTGGCAGCGAAACAGACCTGAGGTAAAAGAATTGGCGGGCCGGCACGTTCCGCAAGGCTATATTTCAAACTCCGTCAGGACCTCCACCTAATGACCGTAAGTCTATAGTTGGACCGCCTAGAGTCTAGACACGCCTATGTATACAGATAATGTGCCCTCATGATCAGGTCGAACTGCGACGCCTTATCGGATATCGATATAATTACATGGTGGAATGACCACCATTGAGCGATACGTGTCTCACATCAACGGCCATCCTTTAATCTCGGACTACACTTCCTTGGCAATACCAGATGGCTACCCTCGACATCGACGGAGTTCGTGCTTCCTTCCCGTCCCTGGAATCAGGGTACATCTATGCCGATAATGCGGGAGGATCGCAGACTGCTCAAGGAGTGATCGATCGGATCGTAGATTATCTGACCAACACCAACGTACAGTTGGGAGCTGATTATTTTGTCGGCACGCTGAGTACCCAGCGCGTGGACGAGGGCTCTTTCACCGTTGCAGAGTTGTTCAATGCTGCTTCCATCGACGAAGTCGCGTTTGGACCGAGTTCGACGATGATTATTGAGAACATCGCTAGAGCGCTCGAAAACGATATCCAACCCGGAGATGAATTCATCATTACCTATGAACATGAAGGTTTCTACATTATTTTGCTGTATCCCTTTGTAAAAAACAACTCAACACTCATCATAGCCAACAACGGTCCTTGGAAGCGTCTGGCTGAGCGGTGCAATGCCGTGGTCAAATATTGGCGACCTACACCAGTGTCTGCGGAAAACCCTTACTCAGTCGCATACAAGGTCGAAGAACTATTGCCACTTGTTTCTTCACGAACCAGGCTGGCCGCCATCACTGCATGCTCCAACATTTTGGGATCGGTGGTTCCTGTGGAAGAAGCAGTGAAGGCACTTCGCCAGCGTGCAAAAGAACAGGGAGCGAGAAAGGTTGAGGTGTCTGTGGATTGTGTTGCATACGCACCACATAGAAAAATGGACGTACAAAAGTGGGATATTGATTACTGTGTGTTTTCTTTGTACAAGGTTTTGATATCCGCGACTCCCTTCGATTTTGCATCTGACGCTGTTTTTTTAGGTGTACGGGGCTCATAATGCTGCTGCCTACGTGCGGTCGGCGTCTCTGCAGACATCTCTTACATCCATCGCACATCATTTCCTGAAGGTGGACGATAAGCCATATAAGTTGCAACCAGGTGGTCCAGGCTACGAGCTGGTGTATGGTGCAACAGCAGTTGTGCCATATCTAAAGTCTTTAACGCCAGAAGATGATCTTGCAGTATCTTATGACGCAATCGCAAACCATGAGCAAAAACTTCTGGTCCCTTTACTCCGCTTTTTGACGGACGCAAAACAAGTTGGCAGGGGTGTTCGCATTGTTGGGACAAGCGAGATCAATCTCTCAAGAGTTCCCACTGTCAGCTTTGTTGTCGTTGGACAGAACACGATCAAGAGCAAGGATATCGTAGGAGCGTTTGACAAAAAGGGAGGGGTAAGTCCGACTTTCAATGATCTTATTGTATTCGATTATGCATGTTGCACAGATCGGAATTCGATACGGCCACTTTTACGCATATTCTCTTGTTGACAATCTACGCCCAAAACTGGACGTGGATGATGGGGTCGTCCGCATCTCACTTGTCCATTATAACACCGTCGGGGAAGTGGAGAAGATTGTGGATGTTTTGAGGGAAGTTTTAGCTTGAGCAATAGTGTAAAATTGTGTGAACATGTATGTAACTATCTGGGACATTCTGGGGATGTATTTTTCTAGCACGGTGCCATCAATGGTGTATGTATGATCTCGAGAGTTATAACCCTGTAAGATGTATGCCTGAGGTTGCTTATCTCAGCACGGACTCGGAGGTCCTCGTCCCGAGTCGCCCGCGCTTGTGATCGTCTTGTGATCTGTCCTCATGCACATGATTCATTATCATTTGCCCCAGATAGTGTTACATGAAGCAGCAGCCTGAGATTAAGCCTTCAAGCCTGCAGAGTCTCGCATTATTCACCAGAGTCAATCATGGCTGTCACTAAACCATCTAGCGGTCCTGACCCCATTCTGCTTACGCTCTTCGCGAATCGTTTTATGAGCGTCGCAGAAGCAATGGGCAGGTCTTTGCAACAAACCTCGATCAGTACTAACATAAAGGAACGCTTGGACTTCTCCTGTGCACTTTTCGCCCCTGACGGCGATTTGGTCGCAAATGCGCCCTTCATCCCGATTCACCTTGGATCTATGAGCTTGTGAGTCTTTAAAGCAGTTGCTGAGTGTCTTTGACGCACGGCTTAATCTGGAGTCAGTGCTGTGAAGTACCAAATGAAACTTCATGGAAAGGAGTTGAAAGATGGTGATGTGCTAATGACCAACTCTCCTCATGCTGGGGGATCGTACGTGCAGCTTTCCTTCACGGTTGCACATATTCACCAAGAGGCAGTCACCTGCCAGATATTACTATCATCACTCCAGTTTTTGACAAAGGGACTAACGAGATCATATTCTTTACCGCCTCCCGGGGACACCATGCTGATATCGGCGGCATACTGCCTGGGTCTATGCCGCCCACGTCTGTGAATATATTCGAAGAGGGAGCGGAAATCGTGAGCCTGAAGATTGTACATGGCGGCATGTTTGACAAGAAGGGGTTGTACGAGTATATGGTCGAAAAACCAGCACAGTATCCGGGAAGCTCTGGTTGCAGGAACATCAAGGACGTCGAGAGTGACCTCAAGGCGGTAGGCCACCCGAAAGTACTCCTTTCAGAATTCGTTGCTCACTCATGTTTCAAAGCAAATTGCGGCCAACTACAAGGGAGTTCAGCTCATCACAGCACGTCTGTCATGTTAACTATTTACCTGCTCATGCACTGACTATCATGTTTTGCTGCAGTCGTTGAAGACTACAGTCTAGAGACTGTTCAAGAATACATGTATCACATCAGGAATAACGCCGAGAACTCGGTTCGAAGTCTGCTACGCGACGTCGTCAAACAGTCGGGAACTAATTCTCTCAGTGCCGTGGACTATCTAGATGATGGATCTCCAGTGAGTTCCGATCGCCGTTCACACAAAATCATGGCGCTAAGAATCATGACATTACTCACAGATTCAGTTGAAGGTGGAGATTGACGAGGAAAAAGGATCTGCTGTCTTAGATTTCGAGGGTACAGGCTGCGAAGTTAGGGGAAACCTGAATGCCCCGATTTCAGTGGTGCACTCCGCCGTGATCTATTGCATGCGTGCAATGTTGAACGTTGACATCCCGCTCAACGCTGGCTGTCTTGTCCCCATTGAGAGTACGTTCTTTGGCACAAACCGAAAGTTCAGCGATCGTATTGACATGAATTACCGCAGTCAAGATTCCAAAAAAAATCCCTTCTTTCCCCATCCAGGACCGCTGCTGTGTGTGGCGGAAATGTATTGACCTCGCAGCGCATCGTAGATGTTGTTCTCAAGGCTTTTCATGCGTGTGCTGCTAGTCAAGGATGCACCAAGTTCGTTATTCCTTTTCAAATAGCTTTGTTCTGAATGTTTTACAGCAACTTGACCTTTGGTACGGGCGGTAAAGATAAGAATGGCGTGGCCATTGCTGGATGGGGTTATTACGAGGTATGACGTTTTATTACAATTAGCGTTGGAGTTTACGTGCTTCTTTAGACCATCGCGGGTGGATCAGGAGGCGGCCCAGGATGGCATGGCACATCGGGTGTACATACTCATATCACAAACACTCGTATTGGCGATGTCGAAATTCTTGAACGCCGCTATCCCGTTCTTATACACCGCTTCGGTCTTAGACCAGGCTCTGCAGGGAAAGGTAAATGGAATGGCGGCGATGGTGTTATCCGAGAGTTCGAATTTATGCAAGGGATGCAAGTGTCCATCCTAAGCGAAGTATGTTATTTCGGGTGTGCCCTTCCTCTGGTGAAACTCACATATGTGGCAGAGACGTACACGTGCACCATACGGCATGGCAGGTGGTGAACACGCCATAATGGGACGCAATACTTGGATTAAGCAACGGCGTGCCGAAGAGGGTGATATACCCGAGGAAACTTCTGAGGAAGATCTGGGGCCACGCCACATAAACATAGGAGGGAAAGCGACGGTGTTCATGGGAAAGGGAGATCACCTGTTGATCGAAACACCTGGTGGCGGAGGTTGGGGTAGGCCTGACGAAGGTCAGTTAGAGGCCACTGACCAATACAAGCATCCCTGGGAAGCAAGAGGAAGTTTCGCAGAGAGGGCTGCTGCGCAAGCTGGGTTCTAGGGGCTATTTCGTGACAAGTTTCCGGTGTATGTTTTCCAAGTCCGGTGTGTATGTAATAATTTGAAGGCGCAGCACCATTCCAGTTAGCACTGCAGTAGTGCATTAAGTTCGGCTAGTACTTTGTATACGTAGTGGATAGTAAGATGCTCCAATAATGGTTTGGCAGCTAGACTTGAGCTAACAGCAGTTCTTCAACTGACAACATTTTGCCGAACCGATCATGCTTGGTACCAATCTCTGTTCCATGGCGTATGAAGTAATATATTATACCTTTTGTGCCTTGTATACATTCGGAGCCGATCGTGACGGAGAGGTCTGCTGCTCTTCTCGGCCCAAAGCTGGTTCGGGGTCTTTTAGTCCAATCACAGCCCGAATTTGCGGGACTTCTTTGCTCAGTGCACCACGTTGGGCCCGGTTCGAATTAGATTTATCGCCAGACGAGCCGCCGCTCTATCAACAACTTAAAGTCTCACTGATGGCGGCCGGATACGAGGCTCTCTCTACGTCTCCCTTTGTATCAAACTCATGCGCTAGTTATGACCTTTACGATTACACGATTTGTCTCTCTGGGTCTTTCTGCTCGAACGAGCAAGGCTTCCTTGCGATTATTTCCACCCGCAAGCGCTAGCCCCAGATGTATCAATATTCATCCATTATCGCGACCAATTAAGACCCCTCCGACCCGCCGATTGTATAGTACGGCTACAGTTGGAACTGCCAAGACCTTTGGATCTGCAGTGGCAGTCGCTGTAATCGCCGGTGGAGCTTCACTCTTCCTTGCCCTGGCACGCTCTCGAGATACCGCCCCTCCAAACCCGACGGCGGAAGCTGTTGTTGAGGTTATTCCCACTCCTCCTCAGACTGGTTCTGAGCCGACACACAATTTTGCCAAGGCCCTCGAAGACTTGCAGGCAGAATTCCCAGAATACTCCATTGTATCTACCGACCCCGGTGAACTGTATGCTTATGCACAGTCAGCCTACTCTCAATTTGTTGGTCAGTCAGCTTCTCAGTCTTCCTCGAGCTCTAGAACATGAAGTTTCACAGGATTACCGCATACCATTGTTGTACACGTTCGAAGCACCGAAGATGTTGTAAAGGTAGTAAAAATAGCTAACAAGTATCTCGTTCCAATTGTACCATATTCAGGAGGAACAAGCCTGGAAGGGAATTTGTCTGCTGTACGAAAATATACTCAGTGTCATCATAACTCTTTCTGACTGTGAATCTTGCTTCTGCATTCTATAGCCACCCTCTGGATCAATATGCGTAGATCTCTCTGCCCTTGACAAGATCATAGCAATCCATGGTGGGTAGTGATTCTACACGATTTTAAATTCCCGTCGATGCTAATATGATCTCAGAGTCGGATGCAGATGTGGTTTGTCAAGCTGGAGTCACCTGGAATGATCTGAATGAAACGCTGAGGGAAAAGGGTATGTCACTGTGTAGTCGGTGTCACAAGACTGACCGACATATTCTCAGGCATTCCGTTGTTTTTTTCCGGTATGTACCAGGAAAATGAAACCATTTTTCCGTAGTCATGAGGATATACTAGCTTGACCCTGGTCGCAATGCCACGATAGGTGGCATGATTTCGACTGGGTGCTCTGGAAGTGAGTCAGAACCTCGCGAAACCCAAAGAAATCTATTGAACTCGCTCAAGCCAATGCGGTCAAATATGGAACAGCAAGAGGCGAATGGATTCTTAACGCCGTGAGTGAGCTTTTCAGTTATGCTAAGAATATCATTTGGCTTATGAAGGAGGTTTGTAAGACGGTGGTGCTTCCGTCGGGCGAAGTGATCAAGACACGACAGCGCGCCCGCAAGTCATCGGTGGGTTTTGATGTCACCAAATTGTTCATAGGTGCAGAAGGCACTCTTGGAATTATCACGGAAGGTGGGTGGAGTGTGTCCGTGTGTATTTGGTTACACTTACTAAGGCTCCTTTGGTGGCATGTCATTTTGTTACAGCTACATTACGTCTAGCCCCCGTTCTGCCAAGCACTGTTGCTGTGGCGCAATTCCCTGATATTCGACATGCAACTGATGCAGTGTGTGACGTCTTGAACCATGGCGCAGCACTGCGTAAGTCACAAGCACTTCAGAGGTGTCAAATGCTAAGCGGGGCATGCCTGTTCCCCACAGAATGCGTCGAGATCATTGATGAACTTACGATCAAGGCGCTAAACCAATTTGGGACGTCTGCGAGAAAGTGGCCAGAGAAAGTTACTCTCTTCTTCAAGTTCCAAGGCTCGGACGATGTGATTCAGGAAACGTCGCGCCATGTGGAAAGCGCGGTTGCGAAGCATGGTGCAACCGACTACCAACTTGCTTCAAACAAGCAGGAAAGCGAGGACATCTGGCAGGACCGGAGAAATGCGCTTTTCGCGTGCCTTGCATACCGTCCAGGATGTCAAGGGTGGATCACTGACGTATGGTAAGTAAGCGATGTCATTCCTAGGGTTGCCGACCCGGCGGCGACCTATAATGACACCACATCATTTGCTCTTATTCAGCGTCCCAGTGTCACGCCTACCCGATCTTATCTCTGCTGCAAAGAAAGATTTTGAGGAACTCGGTCTAATTGCACCAATTGCTGGTCATGTTGGCGATGGTGCGTTCCTTGGCACACTTGTTCACGTATTTACTGATACTGCGCTACGAAGGTAACTTCCATGCTCTCGTTCTCTATGCGGATGACGCGGAGCTTGCCCTTGTACGAGAAGCAGTTAGCAGGATCAATCACAAAGCCATTGAACTTGAAGGAACATGTGAGTGTTGTCTTTGGTTAAGTGTCAGTTTTCATAATCTAGCTGACGCTTTAGGCACTGGGGAACACGGCGTTGGTACGGGTAAACGCAACTACCTCTTGACTGAACTTGGAGAAGGCACGGTAGCCCTCATGAGAACCATCAAACAGACGCTCGATCCCCACAACTTGTTTAATCCAGGAAAGGTATGTAGTTCCTCTGTGAACTAGACGTTTGATACGATTGTATCTTACAGCTGTATCCCGATGTTTTGCCGCCGTCCGACACGAATGCGTTGACAGAAGGTCACGCTATCTCAGCCAGCAGCAAATCTTGAGTCTCAGAGTCGGGCGCTCGTAATTTTTTTTTCACCTTTAAAGGTTGTACAATGTGACGTATCTTCTTGATGACATTCTGTTCCTTATGAGAAGGACAACCAAGTATTTGACTAATCGGTAGTTTGATTATTCGACGGCCCTATTTCAGATTTTCGGCCATCTTGAGTGATTTCTCAGTATTGGTGGGAGCCCTGAGCAGGGCCTTCAGCATTGTGCTATTTTGACGTGTATCCTGTGAAGTAATGTCGATTGCCAACAAGTTGAATGAACTGGGATGCGTCTGCAACAGCCTAACTTTTGACTCTTCAGAGTGACGCCGAGTGGAATAAACTCTGTCAATGCCAGGATAACCCCCACGAACCGAGCGTTGCAAGATGGCATCCCAGGGTAAATTCTTCACGCGGTAGAAACTTCGGCTCGTACAAAGTCCACTCCGGATGCTAATTACTAAACCTTTTGATCCGCGGTATTCTTATTGGTTGGGCTAGACCTTTGACATATCAGGCTACATACCATCAACACAGGACACCTGTACATGGTTTTTTTTTATGTAAAAAAAAATCACTCGTGGCAGAAAAAAACAGCCAGAATAGCACAGTCAACCCCCCATTCCCTGACGTTACATCGCTTCCCCAACCTGAGAAGGAAGAATTTCCAATATTCCTTTGATAACCTATTAGGTGAGTATCTAAAATATTTCTTGGTCTACCAAGACTAAATCTATACAAACAACATAAATATCTTCTCTCTAGTGAGTATGAAACAAGAATCACAGCGCGTCGTGGGATGGCCGGTTTTTGATCAGACCGACCTGCGTGTGATGATGAAAAACTGATAACGAATTACACAGACAGAATCAAGGATCTGGGGAATCTTCTTTTGCAGTGCATGTAGCGGACCATATATTAATGGTCTAGCTTCCCTGAATCTTCTAGCGAGACTGTCTTTTTTTACCTACCGAGGACAACAAAGTCCACTTTTGCCCACCATTCGACTAGAGTCACCGCTTTGGACTCAAGTTCTCTTCTATCAGGCTACAGAACCATTTGCTACCCTGGACTCGTCCCTATTACTTTTTATCATTGTAGGACTCATCACTCATCGGTCATCATGCCAGGAGGATCGCTTAACATGCCCAGAAGTACTTCGCAGATGTTACGCTTCATAGTCGTTGGAGGGAGCATCGCAGGCGTCGCTTGCGCATATGCGCTACAAGCAGCAGGCCACCAAGTATTAGTTGTGGAGCAGGGCGATGGGAGGTGTGATGTATGTAATCCATCCCATCGAGTCCTACGCGATATGAACTTTATCCCCAACCTAGAGTCACGGCGGCATACGGTCTCCACCAAATATGACGCGCCTGCTGAATCATTGGGGACTCGGACCTGCTATCTCCCGAGTTGCGATAAAAGCCAACAGATTTACTTTCATGGATGGTAAATGATGGGCAAAGAAATCTCCGTTATCCGTCGGTTCATATACCTTCCTTGCAGGGAAATCTGGGGAAGAACTTGGCACTCTCGTACTGCACGAGAAGCTTATGAAGGCGTTGGCGGCGGACTTTCTATATATCCAGGTTTGTCACGTTCATGACATGCGACATATCCGGATCTTTGATGAACATATCAATTCTGGTCATAGCATGGAGCACTGCACACGATATTCGTCGAGTATGCCAAAAATGCCGGCGTTCAGTTCCGATATAACACGGAAGTCGTATCGGTCGATCCGTGGAAGGGCATGGTGATTATGCGCAATGGTGCTAAATTGTCTGCGGACGTAATTGTTGGCGCGGATGGTTATAGGAGCGTCGTGCGTCCTGTGGTGGTTGGTCCTGAAGGAGTGAAAGGCGTTTTGGATAAGCGTGTATCGGTAAAGTAAGCACTGCTTTTGCTACTCGGTTGATCACGGTTGATGTTGATTGGCGCTCATAGCATCACCGTACCCACAGACCTGATGCGGCAACACAAAGATCTTGTTAAATTAACGGTCTCACCAGAGGTATGAAGATGAAGATGATGATCGCATCCTTGTATGACATTAATGTTTAATTAGTGGTCACTATGGTTGGGTGATGATTGCGCGACGCATGGGCTACTCACCGTGCGTACCCTGATCACAAATATTTGATAGAACACCGCCTAACTTTCTAGAAGGTTGATCCCCGGTCACTCAAGAAAGAATATGCAGTAGTCATGCATGTTCCTACGGATGGAAAACCGGCACCAAACTCGTGGGATCGGTCACAACCTTTGGATAAGAAATTTTTGAAGCTGGACCGCTTTGAACCTAGGTATGTCTGTGGTTCATTTGCCTCGACATTGCTGATGTTGGTGAACAGAATACAAAAGCTAGTAGGACTTGCGCAAACTATGACTCCAACTGGCCATACTATTTACGAACCCTTTGATAATTGGGTTCATGAGAGCGGAAAGGTAGTACTAGTTGGTGAGGCCGCCCACCCATTGATGGTATGTATTTTTGCTTCCTAATCATATACATCGCCCAATGATCGCTGGTTTCCGCAGCCCAACGGGTCACATAATGCTGCAATGTCGATAGAGGACGCCATGACACTATCGACTCTCTTTTCTCTCCCAGCATCTAAATCGCATACGTCCGTTCTCCTTTCCGCTTACGAAGAGCTGCGACAGCCACGTTGCGCTGCGACGCAAGCTTCTGAATTACGGAAACGAGATTTCATATGCTTGCCTTTGGGTCCTGATCAACAACTTCGCGATGACGGTTTGCGAGATGCAAGAGCGCGGGCGTTGCTTGACTGGGACGATGCGGAAGAAGAGTTTTTACGTGATACATGGGAGGAATATATCGACCTATTCGCTTTTGACGCTCAGGAAGCGGTGGAGGATTGGTGGACAAAATGGGGGCCGGCTATATCGCGCCCGCGGATGGTAGACTCTCGAATAGAGAGCGCAGTGGGCAGGTTTGAATCGTTGCATCTGAAAGTGGATATTTCGTAGGAGGCGGTAGTATGAGTGCTTTTGCAGGAGGAGGAACGAAATAATCGTGCTTCGATACCTTGGACGCTATTTACCCACACGACGACACCCCAAGCTGAAGGACGATCAGTTTAGATGCTCGCGCCTCATTGCTTTCATATCGATACCATGTATTAATATTACCATTGTCGTACGGGATTTGGATGTAGTTTCTGTTTCTTGCTTGTTATACTACTACAACCTGTCGTTTGTTTACCGATGTGACCGTTCGTTTGCGTCGACAGCCTGAAAGCAACTACATGTACATGTACACGTTGCAGTCTAAATCATCGCATAGGGTGGTATGTTGAACCCGGGTCGACGCGAGAAACTGCCAGTGCACTCACCGCGATAGACCGTCATTTCGCCAGCACGTGACAAGCACGCAAGCCACATCGTGCCACAAGGGCTTTCAGAAAGTTGGTGTTGTGCTGAAGTCATATTTCATAGTTCCAATGTCCCCTCGCAGTGCCGGCCTGTGTGTCAAATTTTAAGCAAAGAACATACACATACCAGCGCTACTACGGGCCAATGGAATACCAAATCTCAAGCATACATGCACCAACCCTTTAAATTAGATCTGGGCCTGCAAGAGAAATCTGCGCATAGAATACTGTTATCCATGGTTACAATTGAATGTGAGATAGCATCATGGGATATTCGAACTAGCAAACCCACAAGAAGAAGCTGCGGATGACGCTGTCACTATCTGCACCACATGTGAAATATAGAGTTCAAATTTTGAAGTGCAGGGTCAAGCATCGGCAACTCGGAACTATTGACCTGAGGGACGAAAAATGAAGCAATCGTGCACTGACTCCAGAAACCTTGGTTGCAAGGTGATATAATCATGAGATGACTGTATCCGTCTATGGGTGGGTGATAAGTGCGAGCACTCTACAGAGGGTGGGAGAGATTTGGAGCGTTCGAATGCGCCAGTCTTGCCTCCCTCCTTCTCCCTTGCTTGCTCTGCAAGCTGTAGAAGGGCGATAAGCATTGTGAGTCCACGATAAGGTAATTGTACGAACCAAGGCTTGCCATGAGTGGTCAACCGGCCGCTGGAAGGAATTAGCATCTACACCATGTGGATACATGAAACTCGGAACTCACCGCGCTGAAGGGCGGCCTGGCGCTGATTGTGCGTGAGGATCCCAGCGCCAATTAAGACGCCAATAGTCAGGCCCTGTGCCCACATACGCACTTGAACGATCTTTTGGGGTAACGTCTGATGTCTGCACACACATGTCTGCATCAGAGACGTGGAACAACCGTCGACTTAAGAGAACCCACAAACCTATCTTTAGAGATAATGCTGCCAGCGACTGCCATTGACAGAGCCCAGCTTCCAAGAATGATGCTGTACTGGTGTCGTGTTGCCCAGTCCTCCGATTTTGTCTTTTGTTGTCAGAGCTCCCCATCGTGCTTCTTCCTCTGCTGCTTCTCTATCCAGTTCCATTTTACCTGCGCCGGTCCTGCGGGGCGTTAGACGGTAATATTTGTTTCAGGCATTGGGACCTACCAGTGTGCACGATCGAATGCTAGACCGCGCCTTTCAGCCTGGATGGATATACAAGGCGCGATCATTATGACGGTACCCATGACCTTTAAGGGCAGAGGGAGTGCTCGGTAGGATGCCCATCGGCGGTTTAGCAGCAGTGAACCGGGGATAGCGACGGCTGCGCTTAGAAGTGCACCTTCTGCTGCACCGCGGATGGTAGCATTGGTGTGGCCGTCGATTTCTTCCTGAGTGACGATCTTCATTACTGTATTTGTGTGAAACTTTTGACTTTGCCTTTCACGATGGTGGTTTGTCAAACACGCAACCCTGCCGTACTTATATTAGGCGATTGACGCTCGCGAGCCGCCCCGGCGAGGACTGATCGCGTTCGGAATAGTACGGGCAACCAAGATGCGTCATAGATTGATCAGCCCGAGTAATTCCGATCTCACGTCGTAGTCACGTACGAATTTGCCACCACGACGAACTCGGAGCAACACTACTGGCATGAACAACCTTGGCCTGTCGAGCTGCACTAGAAATCCGGTTCGAACGGAGCCACCTGCGTTTTATTTTCTCTGACAACGCTGTGCGGAAGCTAATATTGACGTGTACTCCGGGACTAATAATTACCTATTCAATATACTAACGGTCCTGAAAATTTACATTTCTGCACCCCCTCTGAATTCTCTGAATCGGTTGCCCCTGGATTCAACTCGAATCTGGTATACTTGCCTTGCGAAATGGCATTTGCGATCTCCAGCTCTTCGAAGCTTCAAAGCTTCACTAGCCTATGTCGATTGCAATGCGTTGACTGTTTGTGAACAGTCCGCTAAAGATCTCCGCCGCTGCGTGTGACGTCATCAGGTATGTTGTAACTTTTGTTGTGAATTTTGTGAAGAGCCTCATAAGCGAATGGAGCCCGGTAAGCGGATGCACTAACACTATAATGGCTTCTTCCGCAAGTCCTAGCATATATAACGGGCATTTTATCGTCTCTTTACCTTCAGTGCCTCCCTCCCCACTTCCCTCACCTTCCGCATCTCACCTCACATTCTTTTTCCAAGTCGTTCTTTACCATGAAATTGTCATCGTTTGCTCTCCCCATCCTCTCTGCGTCAACCGCGTTCGCTTTGTTTCCTGGTCCTCCTGGTCCGCCGCGTCCTTTTAGGCGTACCCTTACGCAGGATACCTGCGGTTGTCTCGACACCGACCTGACTCTTCAGGAGGTCCTCGATAGTCAAGGTATGCTGCCTTTCTTTCGCTCTAAGACTCAAAAGCCGACCGTCATTTAAATCAGGCAAAGCCACCGTCGCAGGCCACCTCAACGCCTGCCTTTGCACCGCGGATGTTGTCGCATTCGTAAAATCAAACGTCGTTGCACAAAAAGCTGTCAAACTTGTTGGCGACTCCACCAAGGTGGAAACCTTGATCTCGAACATGGTAATATTTTTGCATGATCCCCAGCTGCATTCACTGACTTTTTTGATAATAGATCACAGGCCTTGCGACAGCCGAACACTGCTCTTACCCTGATCACGCCAGTGCTCTTTGCACGGACTCCAACCCGTGCAATTTTGAATGCACTGATGGCTACCTTCCGTTCCCTCCCGATAGACCCACTTCTTGCAAATGTCCTGAGCAGCTCATGGAGTGCGATGGCAAGTGCGGTCACTTCAAGCAATGCCCCAGCAAACCGGCTCCGTCTCGTCGTGTCAATGAGCCCAAGTGTGCCGATGGCCTCACCATGTGTGGCGTCCCTGATACCACTGGTCAGCCTTGGAAGTGCGTCGATGTTAAAACCGATGTCGAAACATGTAAGTTGTCTCTTCGCGGTTACATCACCAGACTCTGATGCATCGACAGGTGGTGGATGTGTCAAGGGATGTCCTTACGGAAAAGCACCCGTTAATGGCGTGAACTGCAAGAATATCAAGGGCGTCAATCGCGATACTGTCAGTTGTGGTAACGGCCTTTGCATTGTGAAAGACTGTGCCGAGGGCTACACCCTTTCTCCTGCTTCGGATACGTGCATTCCTGTGTCCAAACAAGAAAGCGAAGCTGCTATTCCTAAACCTAGTGGTTCAACTGGAAACGCCGAAGTTCCCAAGGTTTCTCGTGACGAGCGTACCGCAGCATTGAAGAATGGTGCAGTTGTCCCTATCACCCCCATCGGTGTTCCAGTTGGCGGATCGAAGGTCCCTCGTGATCTTACTGGTGGTATTCAGCAAAGCGCTGAAGTCGTTGTCAAGCCAGTCCTTGGTGCAACTGAGCGTCTCACTGCCGGTGGTTCTGCAGGTCCTGGGCGCGTCGTCGCTGGTGTTACAGAGGCCGTCAAGGTAGTTTCTCCTGTCGTAAGTGGAGCAGAGAGCCTCACGGGTAGCTTCAAATCTCGTGATGCAGGACTGGTGCACGGTCTTGCGCCTATTGATGGTGCTGTGAAGGGTTTCAATGCCCATAAGGGCGCACTCGCTGGCATGCATGGGACCCGTGGTTTTAGCAAGCGCTTGATACCTGGCTTTGGCACTTATTTTGAAGATGCTAAGGCTGTTGTGCCTGGTATGACGGCTTGATTTGTTTTAGCTCTCCACCCTGCGCTTACGATAATATACCTATTGCGACTCGTCTACAAATACTTGTCAAATAATCAAGTTCCTTTTGATGCGGTATAGCATATTTGCTCCCGTCCGAGCCACCAATGACGCCACACAGTTATCCATTGACGTCACAATTAAATATTTGCAGGAGTATGTGGGGCTCATGAAGAGTATAAAACCCAGGCCAATCGCAGTGCCATTCTCCTCAAATCTACTCTCGAATAACTTGCTCAACTCAAATTCATAACTATACCAGCGAAATGTCTTCGTCTGACGCACACCCATCTGCCGTAGGCACTAATACCCAACCCGGAACGTCGACTGTGCCTTCCACGGATGCTCCAACTCAAGCAACGTCTGAATCCTCCACCAAAGATAGCCAGGTTCCGCCACAAAGACACGCAGGAGCTGTTGGGCTCGGTCCCGCATACAAACAAGGAGCAGTAAGTTTACATCCACCACATCTCAGAGCTAAACGAAGTCGCGTCGCGTCATAATAGGATTTCGGAGACAAGCTCGGCGGTTTGCAAGAGGAGATCAAGGGAAAGATTATGAGGAACCCAGAGCTAGTCGAACATGGACGTGAGCGGCGTACGGGGGTTTTGAAGAAGAAAGAGCAAGAACAGCAGGTACGGAATCGAGCGTTCCACTACTCCAGCTCTTCATGGAACTCATGTATGTTAACTAGGATGAAGAAGACCCGTTCGCGAAACCATCATAGAGATAGTGGGAGAAGCTATCATCACATGCTGGCGTGCATTGGTGCACGAACGGTAACTTGAGTATATTTAGACATGAACGTCATTGCATAGTTACGTCATCGATGATATCTACATACGCACGCATAAATTCCAAGGGGTTGAACGACAGTGAACATCACAAGTTGTCACAGACAATCATGCGTAGTCCTCCTCCCGAGCCCCGTCGTGGTGATCATGGCTCCAACATCATCGGGCCTCGAAACCCTGAGCGTGAAAAGCAAGCTCCTGATCTCGTCCACCCTCCCTCGACGGATCGGGGCACTCTCCCTTCGCTCAAATGGTCATTCGCAGACTCGCATATGCGTATTGAAGATGGCGGATGGGCACGTCAGACCACAGTCCGCGAATTGCCCGCCTCCAGAGAGCTCGCGGGGGTGAATATGCGTCTCGATGAGGGAGCCATCCGAGAGCTTCATTGGCATCGCGAAGCAGAATGGGCGTATATGCTCGAGGGCAGCTGCAGGTTCACAGTTCTTGATGTTGAAGGGGGTGCTTACGAGGCCGATCTGACCAAGGGGGATATCTGGTACGCACCAAAAGGTCGTCCTCATTCCATCCAGGGCGTCGGTAAGGGTGGGTGCGAGTTCATGCTTATCTTCGACGATGGAAATTTCTCCGAGGATGAGACCTTCCTCCTTTCAGACTGGTTGGCTCATACTCCGAAGGAGGTGGTGGCCAAGAACTTTGGCCTTGATCCTAGCGTGTTCGACAAACTGTCGCAGAAAGGTGATGCATCTGACGATACCGTCAGTTCTTGCCATTGTAAAAAAATTAATGTCGTCAACAGAAAAGTACATGTTTCGCGGGATCACACCTGATACGTCCTCGCCTGGCTTGCCGTCTGACGTACCGAAGTCCAAGCATCGTTTTACGCACAGCCTTCTCGCCCAACCCTCGCTCAAGACACCAGGCGGTACAGTCCGCATCGTTGACACCTCAAATTTCCCTGTCTCGACAACGATTGCCGCCGCCCATGTGACTATAGAACCTCATGGCCTACGGGAGCTCCACTGGCACCCGAATGCCGATGAATGGTCGTTCTTCATTCGTGGTCGTGCTCGAATAACTGTTTTCGCTGGCAGCGGGAACGCGCGTACTTTTGATTATCAACCTGGAGACGTCGGAATTGTGCCCCGCAGCCTTGGTCATTACGTGGAGAACATCGGGGATGAAGAAGTGGAGATGCTTGAGGTCTTTCGTGCACCGAAGTTTGAAGACTTTTCTTTGGAGCAATGGTTAAAAGGTTCTCCTAGCCAGATGGTGTTGGAACACCTGAACTTGCAAGACAGTGAGGAAGGGAGGAAGTTTATGGAAGCGCTGCGGAAGAGCGAGGGAAAGGAGCCAGTGAAGCCTGCAAAGGCCAAGTTGTGATTGTCAAAGCGCTGATCCGCATAATGTAGTATGACTCGAATCCTTGATAACCATGACGCGGCTGCTCATCAGTTCATTGATAGGCTTGGCCAGGCATCAGCCTGACTCGGAGTCTACTGGCTCGTTGCAGTGGCCAGGAGTCCAGGACCAACACTAACATTACGGATACTGTTGAATGCCTCGAGTCGCTTGAAAAATCGTCTATATACCGTCTCCTTGAACCACAAGGCTTGTTGCGTGCAAAATTATCGAACCTATATCGCCAGAGCGGGCCAGGTGAAATTGACCCGGTCCTGCCGCGCCTGGCGCCTGTGACCACTGACACGGCACTGCCGCGGCTTATGTGACGCGGCAACCGTCACAAATCCTAGGCACAGATTATGTTCAAACCAAGTTCAAACACTATCTTATATGTCGCTCGAAATGAATTCCAAACACTTTGAATCCTCGCTAATGATCAACATATGAATGTTCATCTGCGTACAGACCCTGGAGTGCTGCATTCAGCTCATCAGTTTTACAGTGCTTGTCCTCCGTGTTCGTACTACTTGGGAATGTTGTGTGTATCTTGTGTTTGTATTGTATTGCCTCTAATCATTGATCAATGTTTGTTTTCAGACAGCAGGTGTGAAGTATTGTCTCACTGTCAAGCTTCAACTTCACCTTGTCAAGTCTGATATAGCCTCTGTACTCTGTATTACCACGTCAAGCCCCCAACCATGCCATGTCGAGCCTCAGTCAGGCCTGGGTCAAGCACTACTCATACCACGACAACTTCTCCTCAACATCTTCGTCAGCCCCCGTACTAATATAAACCTCCTCACTTACCTATGCCGTGTCAAGGGCCGGGCCCAGTTGCATGCCGCGTCACAGGCGCGTGAATGCCGCATCACGACCCCGTCAAACCTCATCAATGCCGCGTCAGGACTTTTTAACTGTCAGTGTCACTAAGGTACCCGTCATAATAAATAATTTTCTGACAGCGTCTCTGTCCTAACAGAATCAGATGTCGTACACTGTAGTTGTCCATAGGCAGTAATCAAATCATTTCTCCCGCATCGACTCCTGTGGCTTAGAGCAGAACTGGCATCGCGCTTTTGGACATCTGTATATACCATACCTTTTGTGAGTGCTTTGAGATGCGGAGTGTACTTACTTCAACCATCCTCTAGGAATTTTTTGTAGTATCCCAACGAGAGAGGGAATTAAAATCATCCAGAACAGCCACTGGGTGTTGGGGACCATATTCCCTGCTATGACTGCTCGGGTGCGCCGCTCTTTGCGAACCCAAATCCGACAAGTGAACAGGTATTGTAATAGCTTATCTTCCGGCCTCTGTGCAGGACCGCGTCACAATAGTTACGCCCACTTTCAAAGATTCAAACACGTTGGGTGCCATCCTTTCTTCGTCTTTCGGCGGTGGAGCAGCCGACAAAAACCAAATAGTGGCCGAGGCTATGAAGGGGATCTTTGCTAGACTTATGATGTGCTGCTGAACTGCATTCGGAGCCTCCGGTAAGTCACCTTATATACCTGAACACTGTCACCTCCAGACGTTCCATAGGCGACAAAATTCTCAGGAAATAACATGTCGTCAGGCGAGGGAAGTCCTTTGGTCTCCAAGGATTGATGAGCTGAGAAACTTTTCTTAAGCGTGATCAAGTGGGGACTTCTGTTCTGTAGAAGTCGACACAGGGGTTGATGAGCTGTCAAACTTTCCTTATTGTCCAATAATTGACGTGATTTGTTGCCTTATTGCCAGCGTCCCCCCACGGAGTAGCAAGGATAAGGCTGTAGACGCTTACCTAGAAAAGTTTAACCTAGATGGACTCAAGGATGGACATATAATACTTCTCAACGCTTGTATTCGTTGCTTTGGGTACGGACGCCGATATCGAGTGTAAGCCACTGTAGGCTTGACAGCGCTTTCCACCCCTTGAATAAGCTCATCCGTCAAATGATCTGATCTGCGAACAAGGTCGTTTAATCTGCTCGTAAGTATGGTGTCTAGAAGCTGACACTGACGTGAGAGTTCGCATTTCCAGTCTCATTACATCCCCCTCAAATTTACAACTACAGCACCCTCGTACTTAAGTAGACATATTTACTAGTAAGTTGTAAATGCTGTACTTGCTCGCTTATGCCAAACACTAACGCTCTTGCTTGATTGCCGAGCTCACTTTGTGGCATACTGCGACTTAGTACGGTGTCATTTGCGTGACTGCCGGGTGTCAAAGCCTTGAGGTTACGCGCCAAGCCCCCCGACTTCTCTTTTGCACGCTTGCTCATCCCTGTAACCATTCGAATCGTTTTACTCACATGTCGAGTGTCGTCTAATCACTCATCGGAGTTGCTATACCAGTACTTAGACGTACTGCTTGTCACTTGATAATCGCGTTGATCTACATAATGTCTTCTTCCTCGCAATCTACCGACTCATAGCAACGGCCCTCTGGGCATACCGGGACCCTTTCCAGGATTTGCACTATATGCTGGTAACACAGGACGCATTTGTTTGACAGTTTCGCGAGTCAGTTTTTGAGTGACCACCAAAAATGACACACATTGCATCCCGCAGTTCGTCAGACGCGTCATGACTAGGTGGCAATAAATTGCGCAGTTCAGTAGAATCTTGTGGCCTGATAGCGATGTTGCCCTGATTATATCGTTGAGAACCTTCCTCCCCGAGCCAATTGCGCTGCCCAGATGATTTATATGAATAAAAATGTGTGATACGCGAGAGAAATCACGCCTGGCAGACTTCAAATGTTTGAAAACGAGAAGATTCGGCGCACAATCAGAGTTGCAGATGTGCACACGCAACAGATCTCGTACATAATCCTTGCGATCGGCAGATTTGACAGAGACTGAATGAACCCGAGCAATGTCTATGTATTGTTTGCGAGTGAAAGTCAAGAAATGATCAATAAGATGTCCGAGACTAGGACACGTAACTGGCAAGAAATCACCCGACAGAAACTGATTCACAAAACGCAGACGAACTCGAGTGACCCCAAAATACCTGCGTAAAACGCATGTCAAGACGACCGTCGACCGAGGATCCATCATTGGAATGTTCTTGGTCAGAGACCACCATGGCGACAGGAGGAGCCAAAGCATCAGAAAGAGGATGAGAGGATGAGGAACAGCCCATGATGAGGGCAACCGAAATGAACTGAGGGAAAAAGATAGAGGGGGAAGTATCAAGCCGAATGGACAAATAAATATCGACAAACAATATAAGATCGGTGTTTCAGACTGAGAGAACTGACATCCTGAAACCAGTACACTGTAGTCTGTGGCCACCAAGACATCAATACATTAATGATTTACCGATACATCATCATGTGTAATCGATTAATCAATCGTCCACTGTCCAGTTGGATGTATCCTCAGCGAAAATCACTACAGTACCTTTTCGGCGCTTGCCATACTTCCAAACCATCCAACCTGGGCCTAGAAACTTTGGCTCTCAATGGGGTCTGAGTGCAGATCCAAATTATCTTGTCATCATAACAGATATACTACCCTGCTCAAATTGTAGAAAGAAGTACTTCAAGTTACCAGGTATCATTTGTTTCTTCGGCTATCAACTGTGATAGGGTCTGAACAATTGATCTGTTTTGGAGATTTGCAACAGGTGACAGCGTCAAAGCGTCTATATATTTTGGTGTGATCTTGAGCCTAATGCAGGATCACAATTGCAGCAGACTTTCGAGTGCGTTGGTTCCTGTCAGTCATACCCAGTCATACTTTTACAGACATGACATTGATGAGTGGCATACTAGACAGTCGGATTGATCGACAATACGGGAAGTGGAGCCGGCGGAGAAATCAGACGTATCCTACAGATAAAGTCCCTCCTCCACTAGCATGTGTGGGAGTCAAGGGTTACGAGGACGGAACTTCTTCATGAGAATCAACGCCAACTTGAAGTATTCTCACTGAGAGTTCTCAGGGCCTGTCTCAGCAGATCTGGCAGAGATGCGGGCCAACGACTCTTCTCGAAAGCCAACACATGTTGTTTGAGTTTGATGCATCATGACGTCGCCACGGCCAATGATTGCGTTCGTGCATTCACCCATCTAGTACGACATTTATTTTTGTCTATTACTAAGAAACATGGTATAAAACCACTGACGGGAGCACTGTTTTTTCTTCATTCCCAAAAGATGACGAACTTGAATGAACCGGAGGCCAAACTTGAAGCTCTCTTGGACATCATCAATTCCTCTGCACGCCAAGCAATCGCGGAATACAAGAACACAGGACATGGGGTCCCTAGTGCCGACGCAACCGCCTTCCACCCTCTCGACTCGGCGACAGATACAATTGCCCTCAAAAAGGCAATTAGGCTGCTCGAAGGTGCATACCACCAATTGAGCGCAATACTGGCTCCCCCCCAACACTCGGTGATGAATGTGAGTCCCTCTTGCAAATGATCTCTCCTCTATTGCTCATTTCCTAAGCTTGTTTTCAATTACAATTGGGCTTGCACAGATGTTGCTTCGCGAGCGCGCATTGCAGATGTTTTGGACGAACATCCAGAAGGTCTTAGTGTGGACAGGCTGGCTGAAGCAGTCAACCTCGACAAGAGCAAGACTGCTCGCATCTTGCGAGCTTTATCCCTCATGGGTTGCTTTAAAGAAGGTAATGTGCATGACAATTGACAACGTTTCTCTGAAGCCTGTAATGTACTATTAAACAGTCGAACGAGACGTCTTCGCGAACACTCGACTATCCCTGATACTCAAGTCAACAAACAACACTGGATGTTTTGCAGGACTTCATACTCAGATGATCTCGAAATACGCCGCAGTTCTCTATGAGAGTATGATTGACGAAGAATTTGCTCATTCAAATGAGCTCGACAAAGCACCTCGGGTATTGGCCTTCAGGAAGGAGGGTATGAATGCTAACTACTTTCAAGCGATCAAGGACGATGTGAGCTTTCGTTGTCACACTGTCCTCAGGCTTCGCTTGACAATTTTTATAGGATGAGAAACGAGAGGTGCGTGCAGAGCACTCTGCTTCATCCACGACTGCCGGTTCACAGAGTCACATGTATAGCTGTATCATAGGGCCATGCTTGGCCAAAATGAGACGGTGGGCGGTTCTGCAGTTCTACATCGTAAGTCATCGCTATTTATGAATCGTTAGCGTGTCTGATGTAGGTCGCAAGACTATCCTTGGGACAATATCTCATCTGTGGTGGATATCGGATGTGGCATTGGGACATTCTCCACTCCTCTGGCGAAAATGTTCCCTCATATCAGAATAACTGATCAGGATCTTCCGGAAGTTCTTCTGGAGGCACAGAATGTGAGTTCAAATATCCAGTACCCATAATCACCTCAGCGGGTACCTTATTCATATTTGATTAGGTATGGAAGAAGAATGCTCCCGAGGCACTGCTGGACGGGCGTGTGGAGTTCGTGCCACTCAATTTTCTCGAGGATGTACCTGTTGCTGGGAAGGATGTTTATTATGTAAGAGCTTCTTTTCCTCCCTGCATCCCCAGGAACTCGAGCATCTTATTATGTAGTTAAGGCACGTTATCCACGACTGGCACGACCGCGAGGCAACGATTATCCTTCGTAATATTCGCAAGGTCATGGGACCAAACAGCAGAGTGCTAATTCGTAAGTCAGCTGCGGTTCAGTGGAGTATTTTCTGCAAAGCCAATGCCTTGTGTGCTAGATGATTGCGTGCTCTTTCACACATTGCAGGAACGTGACATTGGAACCGACGAGCTAAGCACCGTGAGTTTCAGAGTGCAGTCCGGTGTATTTCTGAATTCATGATCCCAAGGCCCCTGAACCTATGTTACCGAACTTTGGGGCAGGCGCTCTCATACCATACCAAATGGACATGACGATGTGGCTTGCTCATAATTCGAAGGAACGAACCCTGGACGAAGTGAAGATCCTTGGGTAAGTTCATTCTAGTATATTTTGATATGACGGTGGTTGACTGGTGATAATTGACAGGGCCTCTGTTGGCTTAGTATTCACCCAGGTTTATGATCTTGTGGATACCATGGTCATGGAGTTCAGAATCGCTCAGAACTGAGTCCAGAGGCAAGCTCTTCGATACGTGGTGTATATCATTGTCTGCCACCATAATTTACTGAAGACGACGAGGACGACAAGCAAACTTGAAGTTAGTAGTAAAACAGACCATGGCAACTTACACACATACTAGAACCAAGTCTCCGCGCTAAATCACACATGATTATCGAATGTCATTGGACATTTCATAAGTCGTGCTCGGTGCTGAACATTAATGTTCCAAGGTCACTGCATGCCGGAAGAATAACGAGGAGGATCAGATGCCGATAGCGGCATTAAGTGCAATGCAGCAATAACCAGTCAGTGGTGAGTACTCGCATTGAATATTGAACAAAGACGGTAGAAAACAGCGTGTCGAGCCGGACCCTCTATCACTGCTACTAGGCCGCTATCACCGTACCTGATCGACATCGTCTCGAACGGCGTGCATAGTACTGTGCCCTCTTGTATGGATATAAACAGGGCCGCACAACACCTCCAATGGTCCGTAAGGGTAACCAAATAATATGATTTATGCGAGCAAAGAGGAAGAGTTCGGAACGTGATCGACCTGAAGCGCAAGCCAACGTAATTGCTTGATACACAAGGTGCCCACTCTATGCTCTATTGATCACGAACAACTTAATTGTCTAATGTAGAGTCATAGTCTGGCTGTTTTTTTTATCAGGAATTCGGCAGGTCAATTGGCCACTCGTATCATCATCATTTCCAACCTCATCCACACGCGGGCGTCGATTGTGAAGACAGTGGTTGAATTGGTTATTTCTTTCTCCTTCCTCCACTATTCTTGACCAGGACGCTTAACTGAGTTATCTTCCGATTAAGCATGAGCACGCCCATCTGACAGAGAAAGTGTGATTTGCAAAGCAGAGAAGAGGTTCGAGCGGTCAGAACAACCTAGAATGAGGACTAATCAAGGGCTGACCGTACTATATCTGGGGTTTGTCCCATTACTTCCTTGCCATAGATATAATTCAATGTTGACGAAACTACTCGTGAAATACAACCCGCTGGCTACATAACGTATACGATCTACGTAGTATCGTTCGCAAATGGCGATAGGCCCTCCAGGAATAACGACCATCCTTTGAATTTGTCTGGTAATGTATAGAGTGGCAAGCAACAACTGTACAGATGCTGGACAGGCACTCCCATCTCAACGCACAAAGACCGTGTCTCTTCGAAGCGCTGCGCAGCTAGAGCAAAATTACTACGCGCAAATGCAATCTCCCCCAGACCACGTGTGCTGCATGCCTTGAGCAGCAGATTGCTTTGCATGTCGCAGGCTTCGATTATAGTGGTGAAATAAGTCTCGGCCCTGTCGCAGTCGCCTGCGGTGAGCTCGATGCATGCCGAGCCGTAAGATCGCTGGAGGAATATGCGCGCATTGCTTACCACGAAGAATGGGAAGGATTCCGAGGCTTTCTGTATGAGCTTCCTCGCAAGGTCACAATTCCCTTGCTTGCTCGCGACAACAGCCTTTCCCACAATGGCCCGAAGGGCGTCATCGGAATGTTGTCCCTCAAAAATCCCTACAAGCGTATGCAGGATATCCATTGCGTCGGATAACCTGCCTTCACAAACTGCTATTTGTGCAAGCCCGTCAAGTGCGTCCCTGCGGTTGAAGAGATTTCCGGTACTTGTGGATTGCAGGAACAGGTCTTCTAAGTGGGTGTGCACCTGGACAGCGTCTCCCCCATGACAAAATTTGGCCCGCCAGTGCCAAATCTTGGAATCCAAGCCCCAGACATGATCTTCCGTCGACTTCACAAATAGTTCATCCGCAGATACTGTGAATGTGTACATCCGGGCCATATCCATAACAATCCGAGCTCGGGCTTTTGTTGTTTCGCTGAGAGACTCCCAAGAGTCGGAGTGCTGAAGATCATCTAAGAGATTTTGGGACTGAATAAAGCGACCTTGAGCTCTCAGTGCGTCTGCACGAATTGTAAGACAATACCCCATGCTCTCGGGGTTGCCGGCAGTGAGGTAGAGCGCCTCGGCAGCTTGAAAAGCCTGCGATGCTTCGACGAGTTGAGAAAGTGTGCTGTATAGGTGCGCAAGAGTCAACAAGCAGTGTGCTTTTAGCGTCCACGTGGAAGAGTTTTCGACGACTCGGATATTGGAAATAGCAGGGGTAAGAGTAGTCGGGCGAGGTAGATGCTGCTTTAAACACTGTAAAAACCTCCAGCAAATGTCATAGGTCTCTTTATTGCCATCTTGGACGCAGGCAAGGTTGATACCAATTACGTGCTCGATGTTGAGGTGATCCGAGATAATGATATCAGCATGACTATCTCGTTTGTTTGAATACCGTCGGACAGTGTAATAGTAGAAGGTACACATATCTTGCAAACACGCAGAGTCAGGTGCTTGCAACGAATCTTGCACGTAATGCCGAATGGGGGCGAGCACCTTGATAAAGTTATCTTGATGATAAACGAGTGATTGCATGCATAGGACATCGCATATAGTGTCGACTTGCGGAAGCGATGGCAATAAATCAGTAGCCAGGTCCTCGTTGAGACCCTGAGGCGAGAAGGCGATAATGGCTAAAGCACGAAGACCATCTTTGCCGAGATTCTGGACTGATGGCGAGCTGAGCGACAGCTGCATTGTGTCTGACAAGCTCCGCAGCTTCCCCTGGCCAGCGTCGAGCACCTTGCTGTGCCGATCGTTCCATCTCTTGAGCAGCGTGGCTGGAGACCAGCCATTTTGTTGTGCAGCGTTTGCGAGTATGCTGATGGAAAGGGGATGAAAATCCAACTCCTCGAGCAAGCCTTTTATATCTTCTTCAGTTTCGCTAGAATTGGCGTGCTGATAAATTTGAAAGAACATTACTTGAGCAGAGCTCAGGTCCAGTGGCAGAATATCCTTGGTAATCCATCGCACGTTTAGTACATTTCTTCTACTGCGTGACGTGAGAACCAGAATGACGCCAGGGATATTAGCCATTTCAGCGATGGCTGGCGGTATTTCTCCAAGTGCCGACGATGCACTGGCCTCTTCAAAGGTCTCAGCATTATCCAGGACAATGAGGGCGCTGGCAGAGCGAAGAAAAGTAGAAATCTGCCGCATGGGATCAGTGCCGGCGATCTCAATGCCAAGGGTTCTTGCGAAACGAGTCATAAAAATTTCGAAGGTGATGGTCGAAGGATCTAGGCCATCGTAAGTCACGAAAAAGCGCCAATTGGCAAATTTCTCCATGACAAGCGGCTCATTAATGATGGCTTTGGCCACAGAACTCTTTCCCATGCCCCCAGGACTGATCAACGCCAAATGCTCATCATTGACGATGAGGTTTGTCAACTCTGCCACAAGATCATCACGGCTAGTGTTGCCGCGGCTCCGGCTCATGGCCGGCTTTAGCCGTGAGTGGAGCTTTAGTTAGCCAAACCGTGTATGTAGTTATAGCTTATGTAATTAGTAGCTTGGTCTAGTTAATGGAGCCGCATTTAAGGTCTTCAAGCCAGCTCAAGCCAGCTCTAGTAGAATAATAATAATAATAATATATATATATGATATTGTGCTACAGGGGGTGTTGGAGGAGATGCTGTTGATGCCGGAGACGTTGATGGTGAATAACTTGGTAATGGCGTGTCGGACGATGTGGGTGGTGTGATGTAGGAAGAGTTGGGTGGAGGGAATTTTGGGATACCTGGTGAAGACGAAGCTGAAATGATGCGAGTCCCATACCTGGGGGTGTTGGAGGAGATACCGTTGATGCTGGAGACGTTGGTGTTGAATAACTTGGTGATGGCGTGTCCGCTGATGTGGGTGGTGTGATGTAGGAAGAGTTGGGTGGAGGGAATTTTGGGATACCTAGTGAAGACGAAGCTGAAATGATGCGAGTCCCATACCTGGGGGTGTTGGAGGAGATACCGTTGATGCTGGAGACGTTGGTGTTGAATAACTTGGTGATGGCGTGTCCGCTGATGTGGGTGGTGTGATGTAGGAAGAGTTGGGCGGAGGGAATTTTGGGATACCTGGTGAAGACGAAGCTGAAACGATGCGAGTCGTACAGTCCTCCATACCTGGGGGTGTTGGAGGAGATGCTGTTGACGCTGGAGACGTTGATGTTAAATAACTTGGTGACGGCGTGTCTGGCGATGTGGGTGGTGTGATGTAGGAAGAGTTGGGCGGAGGGAAATCAGGCTTTGGCGGTGAAGGATAATGATGGCCATATGTAGGCGTAGGTGCCAAAGTGGTTGGAGGAAGCGGGCAGGGATCTGTGGTAGGAGGAGGGGTTGTCTTAGATGATGAGGGAAGAATGTAAGTTGGGAAAGGTCCTTGACCTACAAAATCCTTCTTGACCATGTCCTCGAACTCCCTAAGCGTCACTGGATCCACATTGAGCTCCCAATCCAGATACTGACACATCTTGCGCTCTATCTGAAGCCCACAGGCTTTTTGGCCCACCGCATGCATCTGATCCTGAAAAGTTTCAAGGTGAGCTGTGATGGGCGGGAGGGCACAGATCAGGAAGCCCTGCATACCTTTAAGCATTGGAAGGGCAAGCATAGACTGCGGCCTCATGCGAGAGGATGAGGCGGAGGAATGTCGTAGGTGAAGCGCGATTTGGTACCTTGTATGGCGTGTACTTGAGCGAGGAGCTCAAATACTGAAGGTCGCTGTGTGCCGTGCTCGCGAAGCATGGAGGCTGCATAAATAACTCAGTATATTTGGACGTGATGGAAGCAAAGAATAACTCACCAATAAGTTGTGTTCATCTGCGACGAGTAAACGGGATATGGCGGAATGCGGTACTGTCGTGACCAGTGAGGCTAGAATTTACTAAGTCTAAGATGCCCGTCGGCGACTAAAGAGAGCGCCCAGCTGAGAATAAGTTACTAAAAATAGATTATCGCCTTGATCTACGGCCAGCAAGCTATCAATATCTACTACTACAGGATCTACAATCATCGTCAATCGACATATAACAATTCAAGTACCTATGGGTCCCCAAGATAACGTACAGTGGTCCGATGAATGTTTGATCAAAATCTAAAGTAAATGTTAGTTGTACTGCAGTGTTGTTCGCGCGTGATACTTACGAGAGCAACGGATGACTGAGCGACAGCACAGAGCCGAAAGACAAGCCGCAGGACAGAGACTTGGAGGGGAGAGAGGAGAGCAGAGTAGAGAGAGAGCAGGGGAGAGAGGAGGGGAAAGAGGGGAAAAAGCAAGGGAGAGAGGAGAGGAAGGAGGAGGTCGTATGCCGCGGAGATCGAGGTGGCGATATTGGTTGTTGAGGATGTTGGGGAGGCAGGAATAGAAGCGGCTGTTGTAGGACAGGTCCAATATGGGTTCTACAAATGTACAGTACACCATGACCACGATCATACGCAAACTCATGCTGGGAGCTCGAACTTCTGGCCGTGGAGGACTCTGGGAATGACATCTTGCACGCCTTGGCCTGGATCCTGCTCTTGATAATTTACCAGACGAAGATATCAATAGGCTCTTCGAACGCATCACAAAGGTGAAGTCGATGCGAGACCACAACTCCAAACTGTGACAAGAAAGTAGCCTTAGCTGTTCGAGACGATATCTGGAGCGAATCAGGTTGACCTTTCTCGAGTGACTGCTACTACAGATGACACAAGCCTTGAAGCCGGAGCTGAGTCATAGTACACCTGATGTTGACGGACCTCTAAAGGACGTTCAGTACCAACTCGAGTCTCGTCTTCAAGCTATCACAGAGTCAAGTGAGGCGGAAGACTTGAAAGTAGAAAAAGATCATATGACATTGATGAGCATGCATTTGGCGCAGGGATCATGTTATAAAAGACCCACTTTGTAAAGTAAACGTAGAAGAAGTCGAGGTAAAGCCCGGTTTGCACCAGTCCAGCTGTGACAGCTATGGGATCCACCACGTCCTCCGTAAAGTATCTGGAGGGCAAAATTGTTCGACCATAAACAGAATCCACCGAACGCGTGCATACCTATATATCCAGTTGGGAAGGTACAGAGCACGATAAAGACCCAGAGCAGCCAAATAGTGCGTTGTAATTGTCTCCGCCTCGCCAGTACGCTGCAACATGAACAACTGGGGGAAAATGGCGACAGATTCGAGATATATAGAAAATGTCCAGAGAATTTCGGTTGGCTCGAACGCGTAGTTGAATATCAGCGATAGAAAGAAGGATGGCCCAAGAAGATATTCAATCTTGAACGTGTCAATGGAGGGGTCATGCGTCGGACTATCAAAACCAAGGTCAATATTCATGCGGAAGGCAGTCATTAGTGAGTACGAACCGGAAACGGTACGTCATGATGTAGAGGATGTGACAACTACTGCTTATGAAGAATAGCTTCATGACGAAGTTGTAAACAGACACCCAGCGAAATAGCAGGTCGATGTAGCGTGTCATGAATACGAGGGCGTAGAGAGCCTGTGTCTTGAATGAAATACCTAGCAGACATGGGACACGCTTGAGAAAGGACAAATCTGTGAATCAACATTGAATGCTTTGAGGGTGACCGTCTTCGACATCGAGACTCCATTGAAGATTGTTCTGAGAGCAGTCAGCCTGAGGGAGGAAGTAGAAATCAATCGCTTTATCATAGTCCTTCGCGGAAAAGGCTCACCTCTGGCGGAAAGCGGCTTGGGCGTCAGAATGACAAGCACAGACGAGTGCAGATACGGATATCGAGCTAATCGTGTGGTTGGCTTTGTCAAATATCCATTGAGCTCAAGCTTGCGCGATTCTGGCAATTTTTCCGTGTTCTAAAAAAACCGCATCAATCAGCAAGAAGAACAGCGATATGGAAAATCGACTCACTTCCACAAACTGTGCGAACACCGGATTGGAGCTCTTCTCTTTTTCGAACTCATACTTGCCATACAGTTGGTGAGCACCATAGCTTACGAAGGGTGCGAAATGCAGCACAGAATCCAGAAGGATGTCCCCGATGTGCTCCACGACAGTGTACGACTTTTGTTGCTTGTTGAGTGCGTCTCGAAGGCGGGTATTTACTGTGATGATTTCGTGGATGTTCCAGAAGACCTGTGTGATGAAGTCTGCACGATGTTCAGCGGGGATGATGTCACTATCTTTCAGCCCATTTATCCAGACCTGTGCAGAAGGTGGTGCAGAGTACATGAGAGCAGTGTCGAGTTGGATGAATGTAGGGTTTAGCGCTAATTTAACGGTCGAACTTTGGGTGATGTGAAGTCCAGTCATAACAGAAAGGGCGACTCATTGAACTGATAAGTAGTATTAACACTTTGCTCGAATCATACAAACATAAAGATACTCACATTTAAAGTGGGTATAATTCGGTGGCCTTTTCTTTCGATGCGGCGATCACGCCAATAAGGATAAATGACTTTCGCCAGGCGCAGTAGTAGAGCAGGTTTGTGGTATCCAAGTCGGTACCGTGAACATGGCAAACATAGAGGGCGGTAGTGGGGAAGAGAATGCTTCTTGATAGTCTGTAAATGGAGGAAATGTCATGCCGGACTCGAGGCCCTGTGAGACGCATCAGCGTGCAATATGGTAGTCAGGTAAATCAACTTGCATGGTGCAAAAACTCCGTTGTGTCATGGGTGACCTTCTCAAAGATGCCCATTACAAGCTCGAACTCGTCTTCCGTATGCTGTGTGCGAGGAGCCCTCAAATGAGCAGGGGGGATTCCCAATTAACGCCTATGGTGAATGACATGAGGTCACTAACCCTGGTATTCTGCCGAGTTTGGGGGGATTCCCAATGAACGAGGGTGGAAGACTGAATGGTCCTCCTGGTCAGCCGGCAGTGAACAACATGAGGTCACTTACAGCCGGAATTTTGCCTGACAAACGAACCTTAGGTCAGACGCCTATGGTGAACGACATGAGGTCACTTACCTCTGGTATTCTGCCGAGGAAATCATTCTTTATGTCGGCCATGATCACTAAAGATGAATCTTCAGAAGTATGTCCTTGACTACCAGATGGCCGAGGCGGCCCAGAGTTTGAGCTGTAATTAATGTAAGGAGGACGCAAAAAATATTTGAGGCAGAATGCTTCATTCCCGATGACACTGGCAGCTGTACCACTAGTGGTCTAGAATTATCCTCCCGCAAACAAGTGCAGATGAGCACAAATGAGTACAGATGGGCACACATGAGTGAAGATGGGCACGCACAAGTGCAGACAGGCACAAACGAGTGAGGGCTTGCTAAGACCAAATGAAGATAGTCAAGGAAGATAGAACAGTTCACAATTGAAATCACGATATGACGCAAGAAACATTGCAAGATGCCAGGCAAACAGAAGTAAGAGCAGTGTAAGAAGGAGTGAAACAAAATCCACAACAATTGAGCAGGAAAAGCAAACATCACAAGTCGTAGGTAGTAGGAGCATCGTCAATATCATCACACTCCTCCTCTGCAATAGCTCTGAGGAGAGTGTCGCATACATCACCTGTCATTCCGCCGCTGGAA